CCTGTTACATTCATTTCTTGTTATAGTTTGTTCTTGTTATGCTGTTAAACCACTTATAGCTTGTTCTTAATATAATAATGTTATGCTGTTAAACCACTGTCCCAATTAAGTAAGTGGGAGGATTGGATGCCAGCAAACATGTTTAACCCCACTACATTTTAATGTGCTTGTCCCAATTCAGGAGCCTGTAATATAGGGGTGGTTGTTTTTTGCTGTATATCATATTTGTTTTATCATCTATTGTTAAATTTGTACATATAAATCAGGCTGTAAGTTTTCTCATCTGAATTTTTTTGTTTTACATTTGTCATAATGTTGAAGGCTATTTGGTGACCAATAGCTATTATTGTTAACTTCTACGTCTTTTGGTCTCTAGTGGAGAATGGTCTCGTTGGCAATATACCACTTCTTCTGATTTTCATATTTATTCTTATTACGCTTGTCTAAAACTGACTTATTCTTGTCTGTGGCTAATGAAGAGTATTTATCAATCAAAACTTTCACATATTTCGTGTTTATGATTAAGCAAATATACTTTTTGAGAGCATTTGATGTCACTACTAGTGTGCAATTTTCCAAGTTATAAAGGGACATAATTCTAGAACAATAAGTGACTCACAGCTCAAATTCAAAACACTTTTTACGAGTTTTGGTTCTGAGCATTGCACATGAGTTTCTCAAATTTTTTAGCAAAACTTGGCCCAACTGCAGAAACCAGCATATTAACGTACCTTAAAAAAATAAAAAAATTACCTGTGTTATTTCCCTTATTGACTTTGGTATATCGAAGGCTCTTCATATCATAGCACAGTTTAAATATCTGTAAGTGTTGAGATCATTTCAAACTTGACATATATACTTTTAACTCTGTTTAAATTGATCAATTAAGTTTTTATAAAATGTGTAGTCATTATTAACATGGATAGGCTTAAACATATTGTTTACTTGATATCTATACTTTTAAACGAGAAGACCTCATTTTGTGTGTCGCTTCTCTTCCTTCCCCAATAAATTAATCATCATGCCTCTGTATGTGTCCTATAGGTACCATGCATAGTCGCATTTGTCATCCATTCTTATGATTATTCAGTTTGGGTTATTTTGGGAGAAAAACGAAGAAAAAGTCGTCCGAATATTGTTTCCGTCATCAGACCGACTTTTAAGTCATACCCAAGACTTCCGATTTTAAACTTAAAAAGAGGGGGTAAAGGGTTATTTTCGTGCAACATGTTTTGCCACTTTTTATTTCACGTGCAGCCGTGAAAAAGGTTCGTTTTTCACCATGTTTCTTGAAATCGATAAAAAGATCAACGTGCAAGAAATTTTTAATTGTTCGCTCATTGTGAAATGGCATTTTTATTTTGCGTTCTTCCGTGCAGATACCCCTACCCCCCCTTACTCCCCTCTTTAAACATAATTTTCATAATTACTCTGGGACAGGCAGTGATCTGGAAGGATTTTTTCTCTATGGGCCCACTGGGCCCCCCAAAAATAAATTCAATGGGCCATTTTTAGAATTAATGGGCCATGTTGTCAAATGAGTGGGCCATTCGTTTACAATAAAAAATAAATGAAAAAAAAGTGTATATTTCACTGTACTAACAAGTATGATTCTAATTAATATCATGGATATTGTTCCTGTGATTTTGTAATTTCAATTTCAATGAATATACAATAACTTCTTCCAAACCGGGCAATATTTACGATAACCTTTATTTACAATATTTAAACTGGTACTGTTCCCTTGTTCATGTTCATGTTTTTTTTACATTAAATTTGGGTCTTTGTCGATACCATACTTATTCCAGATGTTCCGTATTAGAGGACGTTTCTGGCATTTCCTCTGCACTTGTATTATTATTACTTCATCACGATGACAAGAATAACAGTATAGAGCAACGTTTATTGACAAGACACAACAACAATTCGCTGAAGGCATGTTTACAAAATGTCAAAACAAGCCAAAGACAAAATAATTGGCAAGGACAGTTAAGCCCCTTTTATGGAGACAAATACTATACTATTCATAAAAAGGCTTTTGGGTTTTTCAATCAAAATAATAGCAAGCTTACTTAAAAGATTATAATTAGAGAAGAATTCTCGCCTGTACTAGCCAATTTTCACAAATTTAAAGTTGTTTATAAAAAATTATATCATGAATGATGGTTAATTACGTTTTTTGGTTAATCAGTCATATCGCATGTTGCTATTATTACCATAGGAAAACACCAGAGACGTCCCAAAAATATATAGGTGCTCCTATCATTGGAGTAAACACTACACAGTTGTGTACTCACACATGGCGGCATGAAATACGATCGGAAATCCATTTGACGATATCTCAACGTTTCAAAACGAAGTGAAAAATATCATGCGCCACGCGGGCGCTTACATTTGTCACTTTATGCGCCATTTCTGATCGATAAGCGCAATTGGCGCAAGGCGCACGTCCTTCCCGATCACTGGACAGGATAATTATTTTCGCGTTATTCTGCATGTATACTATGATTATAATCCTATAATATATAAAGACTCTCTTTATAATCCTATAATATATAGAGACTCTCTATATAATATGGCAGTGAACGCCGTGGAGAAGAACTTGACTTGGAATTGATAGTTCATGAATTGTGATAGACACAATCTTTTTAATTGAAAATGTTCTAAATGATAAAGCACATTAAATGAAATACAGGGTTAGTCCCCAGGGGTCACCCCACCCCCTGCCATTTAAGAAAGTTCTAATACCTTGTAAGTGGTCAAGATCCCCACCCCTAAACCATATATATTCTGGTTTGTCATGCTAAGATGGTTTGAATGATATACAGGGTTAGTCCCAAGGGGTCATCCCGACCCCCTGCCATTTGAGAAAGTTCTAATATCTTGTAAATGGTCGAGATCCCCACCCCTAACCCCTATATTTTCTGGTTTGTCATTATAAAGCAAATCAAATGAAATACAGGGTTAGTCTCCAGGGGTCACCCCCACCCCCTGCCATTTAAGAAAGTTCTTATATCTTGTAAGTGGTCAAGATCCCCACCCCTAAACCATATATATTCTGGTTTGTCATGCAAAGATGGTTTGAATGTTATACAGGGTTAGTCCCCAGGGGTCACCCCCACCCCCTGCCATTTAAGAAAGTTCTAATATCTTGTAAGTGGTCAAGATCCCCACCCCTAAACCATATATATTCTGGTTTGTCATGCTAAGATGGTTTGAATGATATACAGGGTTAGTCCAAAGGGGTCATCCCGACCCCCTGCCATTTGAGAAAGTTCTAATATCTTGTAAATGGTCGAGATCCCCACCCCTAACCCCTATATTTTCTGGTTTGTCATTATAAAGCAAATCAAGTGAAATACAGGGTTAGTCTCCAGGGGTCACCCCCACCCCCTGCCATTTAAGAAAGTTCTTATATCTTGTAAGTGGTCAAGATCCCCACCCCTAAACCATATATATTCTGGTTTGTCATGCAAAGATGGTTTGAATGTTATACAGGGTTAGTCCCCAGGGGTCACCCCCACCCCCTGCCATTTAAGAAAGTTCTAATATCTTGTAAGTGGTCAAGATCCCCACCCCTAAACCATATATATTCTGGTTTGTCATGCTAAGATGGTTTGAATGATATACAGGGTTAGTCCAAAGGGGTCATCCCGACCCCCTGCCATTTGAGAAAGTTCTAATATCTTGTAAATGGTCGAGATCCCCACCCCTAACCCCTATATTTTCTGGTTTGTCATTATAAAGCAAATCAAGTGAAATACAGGGTTAGTCTCCAGGGGTCACCCCCACCCCCTGCCATTTAAGAAAGTTCTTATATCTTGTAAGTGGTCAAGATCCCCACCCCTAAACCATATATATTCTGGTTTGTCATGCAAAGATGGTTTGAATGTTATACAGGGCAAGTCCCCAGGGGTCACCCCCACCCCCTGCCATTTAAGAAAGTTCTAATATCTTGTAAGTGGTCAAGATCCGCACCCCTAAACCATATATATTCCGGTTTGTCATGCAAAGATGGTTTGAATTATATACAGGGTTAGTCCCCAGGGGTCACCCCCACCCCCTGCCATTTAAGAAAGTTCTTATATCTTGTAGTGGTCAAGATCCCCACACAAAACCATATATTTTCTGGTTTGTCATGCAAAGATGGTTTGAATGATATACAAGGTTAGTCCCCAGGGGTCATCCCCCACCCCTTGCCATTTGAGAAAGTTCTAATATCTTGTAAATGGTCGAGATCCCCACCCCTAAACCATATATATTCCTGTTCGTCATGTCTCGAACATTTGAATGACATATAGGGTCAGTCCCCAGGGGTTCCCCCACCCCCAATGTTCTAATATCTTGTTAATGGTTGAGATCCCCACCCCTAAACCATATATATTCTTGTTCGTCATGTCTCAAACATTTGAATGATGTATAGATCCCCACCCCTAAACCATATATATTCTGGTTTGTCATGCCAAGATGATTTGAATGATATACAGGGTTAGTCCCCAGGCATCACTAATGCATATAACTTTACCAAATCAATTTTCACTGGACTTTGCCCAATGTCAGACGACCCTGGGAATTACAAATTATGGGAGCTTCGTTTGGGAGACTTCGTAACAACATCCTGTTACAATCATTTCTTGTATTATATGTATGTTCATAGTATACAGAAACGCGAAAATCATGGAATTTATCAGAGAGCAAAAAAATAACGGACTTTGAAAAAAAGGAAGAGGACTTAAAATAATTGTCCTGTCTCCAAGTGCCTATGACTCAGTTTGATACCTTTTCTGAAATTCTCCAGACATAAAATCTTTTACAAAAATTCATCCTATAACAGTTTACATACTTTCAACCAAGCTCTAATTAACCGCTATTTCGCGGGTGTGTTCTAGTGATATTTATAATCGGATGCTTATTCTAAGTTGGATATGGCACCTATTACAATTATATCAGTAGTTTACAAATCTAAAGTTTTCAATAATTGAATTATTTTTATATTGTAGATGATGTTTTTGGTATAGAGCGGAACTATAATGGAGGGGACAGCCGTAGATGAAACTTTTGAGATAGAAGATCTAATGTTGTACTGAGAAGACAGTTCTGCTGGGAGTTTTGTGATGTAGAGGTTTGAGATTCTCTAAATTTGACTTAAAGATATTGGTAATGAGATTGGTTAAATTAGACATTTAAAAAAAAAGATGTTTTTAAGGGCCGATGATCCATTTCCTTTATTTTCTAAATATACATGTTTCCAGAAATGAAGTCTGCAGATGACTTATTGCAGTTTAACTACATCCAGAATCGTGTGAAGAATCAACTTTCTACTTTACCGTTAAAAAGTCACTAATTATTGAGTTATTTTTCTTTTTAAGTGGCCACCAAAATTAAGGTGAAATTATGCTGAAATATCAAAATATTAGAATTTCCCCAAAAAACTCTAGCCTTTATATCACACATCTTTTGTTGGCGCGGCAGTATATTTAAGAAAAATGAAAAAAGTAAAAAAAAAATGTGGAGAACTGAAGAAAAAAATAATGATACTGCTGAAAACCTGTGTGATATAGAGGTTTGAGTTTCTCTAAATTTGAGTTCAAAGAAATTGGTTATAAGATTTGTTATATTAGACCTTTATTTTTTAAAGCATGTTAAATTTATAAGGGTGAAGATCTATTTACTTTATTTTTTAATACACATGCTCCCAGAAATGAAGTCTGCAGATGACTTATTGCAGTTTAACTACATGCTGAATTTTAGTTTATGAATCATGGGAAAAATTGACTTTCAACTTTATCTTTTAAAACCATAATTATTCAGTAGATTCTTTTTAAACAGCCATTGAATTTAAGGTAAACATTTTGATAAAATTTGAAATTTTAGAATTTCCAATGAATAAATAGCCTTTATATTACACATCTTTTGTTGGCGCGGCTGTATATTTAAGAAAAATGATAATAGTAAAAAAAAAAACTATGCTGAAATATCAAAATATTGGAATTTCCCCAAAAAACTCTAGCCTTTATATCACACATCTTTTGTTGGCGCGGCAGTATATTTAAGAAAAATGAAAAAAGTAAAAAAAAAAATGTGGAGAACTGAAGAAAAAAATATGATACTGCTGAAAACCTGTGTGATATAGAGGTTTGAGTTTCTCTAAATTTGAGTTAAAAGAATTTGGTTATAAGATTTGTTATATTAGACCTTTAATTAATTTTTTAAAGTATGTTTTATAAGGGTGAAATCTATTTCATTTATTTTTTAATACACATGCTCCCAGAAATAAAGTCTGCAGATGACTTATTGCAGTTTAACTACATGCTGAATTTTAGTTTATGAATCATGGGAAAAATTGACTTTCAACTTTATCTTTAAAAACCCTAATTATTCAGTAGATTCTTTTTAAGTAGCCACCAAAATTTAGGTGAAATTATGCTGAAATATCAAAATATTAGAATTTCCCAAAAAAACTCTAGCCTTTATATTACACATCTTTTGTTGGCGCAGTAGTATAAGAAAAATGAAAAAAGTAAAAAAAAAATGTGGAGAACTGAAGAAAAAAATATGATACTGCTGAAAATTTGTGGGATTTGAGTTTTTATAAAATTTGAATATAGAGATATAAGTATTAAGGATCTTGTACAGTCAAACCTGTTTTAAGCATGTCACTCATGGGAAGTATCAAAAGGGACGGCTCGAGAAAAGTGACCTTTAAAAAGAGTTTCTGTGGCTGGGAATGCAACTTGGTTTAGTGTTTTAGTTGGAAGATTTATCATTCGTTCGTTTGTTTCGTTCGTGTGAGCAGACAAATATTAAAGGGTGGACTCTTGCACTGTCAATTTGAAGAAGACATTTATTGATTTAAAGATGTTGATATAATTGGATAAACAAGTCTGTGAAATGCTTTTCAATGGTATTAATTGAAAGGAGTGGAATACAAGGATTCACCTATTGCAAGATCTGTTGCAAACCATGAAACGGGTTCCGATTCTCATTTTGATTTTGATACTGAACACATATATTTTTCATCATGATTATAATTATAATTAAAAACAGTAAAATGATGATTTCGTGCATAAAATAAGGTGACCGCATCGGACGGGTGATCTCTGAAATGAGTTAAATATATAGAGAAAATGCTTGAGAGGGTCACCAAGAGACCGTTAGAGATAGTTGACCTCTTAAACAAGGTGGTGACCTTAAGGCAGGTTTGACTGTATATGATTATTTTTTTCACATCTAGAATTTTTGTAATCAATAAATCATGTAAAGAGTGACTTTCAATCAACTTGATCATTAACAACCATTGTTTTAGAAGTTTCTTTTTAAGCATAAGCAGCAACTGTTTTTTTTAAAGGAAATACCTACATGCATGAGATGCAAAGAGTGGAATAATCAGCAAGGAGACATGAAATTCATTTTCAGGTATAATTGGATTGCTGCTACATAAGAAAAGTTCACAATCAGGAAATTGAAGTCTCTTTTGTCAAATTATTAGCTCTCAGCTGGTCCTTGCTGATAGTTTCTGGGCGACGGCAAGTTTTGAAGCACAGTATCCGTATCTGTTGTATCCTTCTTCTGGTTCAGTGGGTTAGGTGTGATCAACTTTTGAGTTATCTATATTAAAAGAGATCGCCTTCATAATGTGAAATGTGAAATTAAGGGATAATGCTTGATCTTTTTATCCTTGATAAGTGCCTGTATGAAGTCTGTCTTAAAAGGGGCAGGGTTCCCATAGCAATGTCAACATTTTTAGCTCACCTGGCCCTTTGGGCCAAGTGAGCTTTTCTCATCACTTGGCGTCTGTCGTCTGTTGTCGTCCGTCGTCGTCGTTAACTTTTAAATATAAATACATTTTGAACTAGTGAATGGAAAGAAACCAAACATGGCATGATTGTTTCTTATTAGATGCTGACCAAGTGTTGTTACTTTGTAGCCGATCCATCATCCAAGATGGCCGCCAGCGTGGGACTTAGTTTAACATAGGACCCTATGGACAATACATGTACATACAAATGTCTTCTTTTAGAGAACCACTGAATGGAATGAAACTAAACATGGCATGAATTTTCCTTATGAGGTGCTGACTAAATGTTGTTACTTTGAAGCTGATCCATCTTCCAAGATGCCCGCCAGCGTGGGACTTAAGTTCAACAAAGGACCCTATGGACAATACATACAAATGTGTTCTTTTAGAGAACCACTGAATGGAATGAAATTAAACATGGCATGAATGTTCCTTATGAGGTGTTGACCAAGTGTTGTTACTTTGTAGGTGATCAATCATCCAAGATGGCCAACAGTGGGGGACTTAGTTTAACATAGGACCCTATGGACAATACATGTACATACAAATGTCTTCTTTTAGAGAACCACTGAATGGAATGAAACCAAACATGGCATGATTGTTCCTTATGAGGTGCTGACCAAGAGTTGTTACTTTGTAGCCGATCCATCATCCAAGATGGCTGCCAGCATGAGACTTAGTTTAACATAGGACCCTATGGACAATACATACAAATGTCTTCTTTTAGAGAACAACTGAATGAAATGAAACTAAACATGGCATGAATGTTCCTTATGAGGTGCTGACCAAGTGTTGTTACTTTGAAGGAAGCCGATCCATCTTCCAAGATGGCTGCCAGCAGGGGACTTCGTTTAACATTGGACCATAATGGATAATACATACAAATGTCTTCTTTTAGAGAACCACTAAATGGAATGAAACAAACCATGGCATGAATGTTCCTTATGAGGTGTTGACCAATTGTTGTTACTTTGAAGCCGATCAGTCATCCAAGATGGCCGCCAGAGAGGGACTTAGTTTAACATAGGACCCCAAGGACAATACATACAAATGTCTTCTTTTAGAGAACCACTGAATGTAATGAAACTAAACATGGCATGAATTTTCCTTATGAGGTGCTGACCAAGTGTTGTTACTTTGTAGCCAAGCAATCATCCAAGATGGCTACCAGAGGGTAACTTAGTTTAAGGACCCTAGCTATGTGAAATACATACAAAAATCTTCTTTTGAAGAACCACTGAATGGAATGAAACTAAACATGGCATGAATGTTCCTTATGAGGTGCTGACCAAGTGTTGTTACTTTGTAGCAAATCCATCAACCAAGATGGATGCTAGCAGGGGGACTTAGTTTAACAAAGGACCCTATGGGAAATATATACAAATGTCTTCTTCTAGAAAACCGCCTAATGGATTGAAACCAAACATGGTATGAAAGTTTCTTTAGAGGTGCTGACCAAGTGTTGTTACTTTGTAGCTGATTTGTCATCCAAGATGGCTGCCAGCAGGGGGAGTAAGTTTAACATAGGACCCTATGGGAAATACATACAAGTGTTTTCTTCTAGAGAACAACTGAATAGAATGAAACCAAACATGGCATGAATGTTTCTAATGAGGTGCTGACTAAGTGTTGTTACTTTGTAGCTGAACCATCCTTCAAGATGGCTGCCAGCAGGGGACTTAGTTTAACATAAGACCCTATGGGAAATAGTCATACCCCAAGATTTTTTATTTAATTACGGGGCCAATATTAAACCAAATTTGGCCTCAATCATCATTAGGGTATCCATTATGATTTCCAAAACCAAAGTAGAATCAGGTGAGCGACACAGGCTCTTGAGAGCCTCTAGTTTGTTTTAGTTCTTTTTTTAAATTTTTTTATAGTTTTCTTATGCCATTTTTTCCTTTTTCAGATGAAAAAAAATTCTCCCTCTTCAACATTATTTCATTATTTAATTAATTATAACCTTTTTCTCATTCTGAATCAGTATTAAGGTCTGCAGTAATGCTTTTAGAAATTTAAATTATTATTTTTATTCCTCTAAATTTCTGGACAGTTTATCTCTTTTGGTTGGCTTTTTAATGATCATGAAAAACTTTGTTTTTGGCTCCACAAAGTTGTGGTCTCTGGCAATCTTAATGAAGGTTATTCCACTAACCAGTTGGCTACACTGAAAATTGTAACATCCATTCATTTAAGTTTATGAAATATTTTAATTTCTTTAAAAAATTATACTTGTCCCTCCATGTCTTAAGTACTTCATTTAAAAATCTTTTTATTTTTTGAAGTATCAACACTAACCTGGGGGGTTTACTAACATGATACTTCCTAAATAGGTTGTAAGTTATTAGTGGCGTGATAGATGGCGCAAGGGAGAGAGAGATTGATGTATGACATTCTAATAAGGGTTTGGGGTACTAACCAGATGGAGGGATATGGTTGCATGCTTTATATTTATTAAGTATGTGTGCACAATAGAATTTATTGGGCTGAGACTTTCTGTCGTTAGTAAATAACTTTCAAAAAAAGAAAAAGTGCCATAAATTTAGTCTAACATGATTATAACTTCAGATGAATATGTACCTAATACCTAAAATTCAGAATGGGACAGTTAAATAAGGAATCTCTTTGGGGTGATGAAATGTCAAATTCAGACCAAATTTCACGTTTAGAATTTTTTTTTACATTCTTTGCATTTCGATTGACCATTATTATAATATTCAAATTTCAATTTCATGGGGAACAGTTAATGACCACCTTCCTTTTAAACTCAGTTTATCACCAATTTAATGTCCTATTTTTGTAGCGCAGTTGACATTTCTATAGGAACCAACTACTGTAAACCAACTTATTTTATGGACATTTTATTTGTGTTGCGCCATTCCTATTATATTTCACAGCTGATATTTTTTTTGGCGTAGCAACATTTTTTCATATTTCGCAGCTGATATTTTTTTTCGCATATCACCATTTCTATCATATTTCACATAGGAATTTTTCCACGTATATATAAAAAAGAAGATTTGGTATGATTGCCAATGAGACAACTCTCCACAAGAGACTAAATGACACAGAAATTAACAGCTTATACATTGTAGGTAACTGTACGGCCCTCAACGATGAGCAAAGCCCCAACCACATAGTCAGTTTTAAAATGCCCAGAAATCACATATGATATGTAAAACAATTCAAACAAAAAAACTAACGACCATATAGACATTTCTATCATAATTTGAAGCTGATACTTTTTTTCGCGTATCGCCATTTCTCTCATATTTCACATAGGATTTTTTCTGCTTACATGTATATATAAAAAAAGAAGATGTGGTATGATTGCCAAAGAGACAACTCTCCACAAGAGACTAAATGACACAGAAATTAACAGCTATAGATAACTGTACGGCCCTCAACGATGAGCTAAGCCCAAACCACATAGTCAGCTATAAAAGGCCCAGAAATCACAAATGTAAAACAATTCAAACGAAAAGACTTATCGACCTTTTTTTAGCATATTTCACATGGATATGTTTCGTGATTATCTAATTTTGCGGGTTATTTCATACAACAGACAATTCTATTTTGAAATTCTCGTGATTTATATTCGGCTTACTTCTTTTCTTTGAAGTCTATTAAATAAATTGTCCAAAAAATGAGTTGGTTCACAGTATGCTCCTCTTCTAGTCTTGGTCATCCCCCTGTAGCAGTCTCAATAATCCTTTATTCCCCGCCCCAGCTGAGTCAAAGGTAGAGACTTCAAAACTGGTATTGCTATATTCCTTCACTACCCAAAAAAACCTAAAGAGAAAGAGCAAAGACAAGTTGGCTTTGAAGAAAAACTAGATCTTTTTCTTAAGGAGTCTTTATCTTATCTAGTAATTGTTCTAAAAATGACTCAGCATATGTATAAAAGGATATGTGGGATAATTAACGTCAATGAGACAGCATTTACTTACTAACAACAAAATATGGCCAAGACACATAATAACTAGGTTAACATACTGTCTTCAACAATAAAATGCTGTTCTAGAATACAAATATGGAGATGTGATATGATTGCCAATAGACAAACTCTTCAAGACCAAATGACAGAGATTGATACAGGGTCTTTAACAATGGAGCAATGACCTAATATTTCATATTCAAATCACATTTACATATTAACATCAGATGTGGTATGATTGCCATTGGGACAAGTATGCTGCTGGTTTTAGATATCCACCCTATCGTTCATTTTTACATATGAAGTAGACTTGATTCAGGGGCTTCTTGGGGAAGACAGAGGAACTTGCATTGTACTTTTACTTCACTTTTATTTCCCAATTTAGGCATTTCTTTTTTCCAAGTTTGTTGACATTATTGATTCGATCCTTCTGTAATTCCTACATAGCTAGTAATAAGGAGCATCCGATACAGGAACTGGCTCATAGCTTGACCTTAGCCTGGGGGTTGTTGGTGAGGTCAGTTGGGAACTATAAAAAATTACAACAAAGGAGACTTCTTTTTTCTGATTGTGAACCGTCTATTACTATGTAGCATGAATCCAGGTATACTTGTATATATGGATTTTGTATCACCATGTTGATTATTCCACTCTTTGCATGTGCTGTAGGACATTTTTCCTTAATAAAATGTTTGCTGTTTTTAAAGGATATCACTGAACCAAGGGTTCTTAATGATAAAAGTTGTAAACATAATTACAAGAACATGTGGTATGATTGCCAATGAGACAACTCTCCACAAGAGACCAAAATGAATAAAGATAACAACAGTATATCGTGTTCAGAAGTCATAAATCGATTGAGAGAAAAACTAACAAATCTGGGTAACAAAACTAATACTGAGGGAAACATATCAACTACAAGAGGAAAACAACAGAAACACTGAAGTGCAACAAAAAAAAACACTAATGGAACATGCATAGAAAAGACAAAAATGACATAGCAATTAACAACTATAAGTTACCGTACGACCTTCAATAATGAGCAAAAGCACCAACCCTCCCTTTACTTTTGACATTTGATCTTTTTATTATCTAGAGCTCTGTTAAAAAAAAAATATGAAAAAAAATTTAAAAAAATAAATACCAAAAATTAAATGAAAACAAAATTGTTAACAGATTTTTAGCTAATAAACATGGAGGGTGGTGAAAAAAGTGGGATTTTTTTAGATATTATTTATTCACCCGCTGTACATTCATTCCAAAATTGGTCTCCATTCTCCTAACTTTAGCTTGACTGGACCTTATGTTATAAAATGTGTACACAACGATTAATTTACTACAAAACGTAGATCAAGTTTAAATTTGGTTGTCGTCACTTTTACCTTTGTAAATGTGAAATTTTTCAACAATGAGCACAGTCGGCAATGAAAGGCCCTGAAATTACAGCTATAAAACAATTAAAACGAGAAAGCAAAATAATGAACGAAAAACAAACATGATATATAGCATGAACAAATGACAATCGCTGAATTGCAGGCTCCTGACGTGGGACAGCCATATACAGAACAAGGGGTTTGGGGTTAAACTAGTTTGAAGGTTCCAGTACCCTCCCTCCCCTTACCTGAGACAGTTGTGAAACAGTACAACATAACAAACTATTAAAATAAGTTGAAGATGGCTAATAACTCATCAGATTGATACAAAGCAGAAATACATCTAACAAATACACAAAACTGACCGGAAGGAGAAGGGTACTTATACATTCTCGCAACAACAAAAAAACACTACCGTGTACAGATCTGATAAGAGTACAAGCTTTAAGTAGTTGCTGACAGTTAGTTCAAAGACAATAACAACTAATAAAAAAATTATGCATCTATGACTAAAATATCAATCAGTACACATCCACACCAATGGATTTAGTGTAAAGACATCATTAACAGTTGGAGAAAACCATACCTTCTTGTGCATGTTCATTTCTTTGTATGATTTATTCATGATTAACCAAAATTCTAGAAATAAAAAATTATTCAAATATTAAATCCTTATAATGGTGTATGATAGATACAAATATAAGTTTGTAAATTATTTAGAAATTAAACAGCATCTAAGACAAAAGTTTGATCTTTATTTAATTTCTGTATTTTACTGATAAATAGACTCTCTCTTTTTTTAAATTCTATATTACACTGACAGCAGCTATAGCAGGCAATACATTAGGTTCCACACAACCCCTTATGAAATTTTTAATCTTTGACATGAAATCAAACTGACTACTTCAAATGGTACTATACCATTGCATGTTTTTGTCTGTATTTATGTGTACATCATGTGATATGATCATCTGCAGACTTTTTTTTTATATTTATGTGTACATCATTTGATATGAACAATCTGCAGACTTCAGAGGCCATATTCTCAAGATTTAATTTGATGGTGTCTAGTCTAAAATTTATACAAATGTTTTACTTTTTTGGGGAATCAAGGCATTGTTCATTGTTTCTTTTTGACTTTTTATATGCCCGTTTACGGGACGTATATATGGTTGACCGTCCGTCCGTCTGTCTGTCTGTCCGTCCGTCGTCGACATTAATTCAAAAACACTTTCACCAATTTGCATGAAACTTTGGTGAATTGTTTATATCTATTGACGTGAGCACTCAGTCAACAAAACTGTTATTTAAGGAAATATGAATATTTTTTAACCAAAAATGATCAGAAAACGTTTGAGAAATCATTTTGAAATTATTTCAACAAAATCTCTCCAGACAGTGATATTTGAGGCTAAAGTATTGGAAAGTCAAAAACTCAATACAATCATTTAAGAACTTTAAACCAAAAATATAGTAAAACCTTGACAGAGATTCAGAACTATGCACTACGGTATAGTTCCAATGTGTAGGGACAGTGCCACTCTGCACGTTAAAGAACCCTTGCCACAAGTCTTTGAGGGGTCAGTAGGTGGCCTGTTGCAAGGCTTAATTTCTGTCCAACATATCCTCCTCTCAGTTGGCAGTCAAAATTTCCCTTACCTTCGTCATCGGCCTACTTTATAGAACCTACAAATTGATTTGTTATGAAAAGAAGAGATGCGAGACAACTATCCTACAGAGACCAAATGAAGTTGCATGTTACTGTATGAACTTCAACAATGAGAAAATCCACTTACATTAAAATTTTGCAATATTCTGAATTAAAATGACTTTTTTAATACCTGTAACCTTTAACATCCGATATTTTTATTATCTAGAGCTCTGTAAAAAAATATAAAAAAAAAATATAAAAAATGAAAATACCAAAAAATAATATGAAAACAAAATTATTTGTAAACAGAGTTCTAGATAATAGACATTGAGGGTGGTGTAAAAGGTGGGATTATTGTAATATTTTTTATGACCCCTGCTTTAAAGTCTTCTAAAGTTATCATGTTTTAAACAAACAAAAATTGGAATGGCAATTTAAAAAGTAAAGTTCCTATGTGTAGGTAATTTCTGCCCAACATATCCTCCTCTCAGTTGGCAGTCAAAATTTCCCCTACCTTCATCATCGGCCCACTTTATAGAACCTACAAATTGATTTGTTATGAAATGAAGAGATGCCAGACATTACTATCCTACAGAGAGACCAAATGATGTTGATGTAAAATAGGTTACTGTATGGACTTCAACAATGAGAAAATCAACTAACATTAAAATTTTGCAATATTCTGAATTAGAATGACTTTGTTAATACCTCTAACCTTTAACATCTGATATTTTTAGTATCTAGAGCTCTGTAAAAAAAAAAATTAAAAAAAATATAAAAAATGAAAATACTATAAAATAATATGAAAACAAAATCGTTTGTAAACAGAGTTCTAGATAATTAACATTGAGGGTGGTGTAAAAGGTGGGATTATTGTAATATTTTTTATGACCCCCACTTTAAAGTCTTCTAAAGTTATCATGTTTAAAACAAACAAAAATTGGAAAGGCAATTTAAAAACTATAGTTCCTATGTGTAGGGACAGTGCCACTCTGCACGTTAAAGAACCCTTGCCACAACTCTTTGAGGGGTCAGTAGGTGGCCTGTTGCAAGGCTTAATTTCTGTCCAACATATCCTCCTCTCAGTTGGCAGTCAAAAACAATGAGAAAATCAACTAACATTAAAATTTTGCAATATTCTGAATTAGAATGACTTTGTTAATACCTCTAACCTTTAACATCTGATATTTTTATTATCTAGAGCTCTGTAAAAAAAATATAAAAAAAAATATAAAAAAAGAAAATACCAAAAAATAATATATGAAAACAAAATCGTTTGTAAACAGAGTTCTAGATAATATATAAACATTGAGGGTGGTGTAAAAGGTGGGATTATTGCAATATTTTTTATGACCCCCACCTTAAAGTCTTCTTATGTTATCATGTTTAAAACAAACAAAAATTGGAATGGCAATTTAAAAAGTATAGTTCCTATATGTGTAGGGACAGTGCAACTCTGCACGTTAAAAAACCCTTGCCACAAGTCTTTGAGGGGTCAGTAGGTGGCCTGTTGCAAGGCTTAATTTCTGTCCAACATATCCTCCTCTCAGTTGGCAGTCAAAATTTCCCTTACCTTCGTCATGGGCCCACTTTATAGAACCTACAAATTGATTTGTTATGAAAAGAAGAGATGCGAGACAACTATCCTACAGAGACCAAATGAAGTTGCATGTTACTGTATGGACTTCAACAATGAGAAAATCAACTAACATTAAAATTTTGCAATATTCTGAATTAGAATGACTTTGTTAATACCTCTAACCTTTAACATCTGATAATTTTAGTATATAGAGCTCTGTAAAAAAAAATAAAAAAAATATATAAAAAATGAAAATACTATAAAATAATATGAAAACAAAATCGTTTGTAAACAGAGTTCTAGATAATAAACATTGAGGGTGGTGTAAAAGGTGGGATTATTGTAATATTTTTTATGACCCCCACTTTAAAGTCTTCTAAAGTTATCATGTTTAAAACAAACAAAAATTGGAATGGCAATTTAAAAAGTATAGTTCCTATGTGTAGGGACAGTGCCACTCTGCACGTTAAAGAACCCTTGCCACAAGTTTTTTAGGGGTCAGTAGGTGGCCTGTTGCAAGGCTTTATTTCTGTCCAACATATCCTCCTCTCAGTTGGCAGTCAAAATGTCCCTTACCTTCGTCATGGGCCCACTTGATAGAACCTACAAATTGATTTGTTATGAAAAGAAGAGATGGAGACAACTATCCTACAGAGACAAAATGAAGTTGCATGTTACTGTATGGACTTCAACAATGAGAAAATCAACTAACATTAAAATTTTGCAATATTCTGAATTAGAATGACTTTGTTAATACCTCTAACCTTTAACATCTGATATTTTTAGTATCTAGAGCTCTGTAAAAAAAAAAATAAAAAAAAATATAAAAAATGAAAATACTATAAAATAATATGAAAACAAAATCGTTTGTAAACAGAGTTCTAGATAATAAACATTGAGGGTGGTGTAAAAGGTGGGATTATTGTAATATTTTTTATGACCCCTACCTTAAAGTCTATTTATGTAATCATGTTTAAAACAAACAAAAATTGGAATGGCAATTTAGAAAGTATAGTTCCTATATGTGTAGGGACAGTGCCACTATGTACGTTAAAGAACCCTTGCCACAAGTCTTTGAGGGGTCAGTAGGTGGCCTGTTGCAAGGCTTAATTTCTGCCCAACATATCCTCCTCTCAGTTGGCAGTCAAAATTTTCCCTACCTTCATCATGGGCCCACTTTATAGAACCTACAAATTGATTTGTTATGAAATGAAAAGATGTGAGACATTACTATCCTACAGAGAGACCAAATGATGTTGATGTAAAATAGGTTACTGTATGGACTTCAACAAATTGAGAAAATCAACTAACATTAAAATTTTGCAATATTCTGAATTAGAATGACTTTGTTAATACCTCTAACCTTTAACATCTGATACTTTTAGTATCTAGAGCTCTGTAAAAAAAAAATTAAAAAAAATATAAAAAATGAAAATACTATAAAATAATATGAAAACAAAATCGTTTGTAAACAGAGTTCTAGATAATAAACATTGAGGGTGGTGTAAAAGGTGGGATTATTGTAATATTTTTTATGACCCCCACTTTAAAGTCTTCTAAAGTTATGTTTAAAACAAACAAAAATTGGAATGGCAATTTAAAAAGTAGAGTTCCTATGTGTAGGCCCCCAAGGGTGACTGGGGAATAGAAGTATGGTCACCATTGGTCTTCCTCCGACCGGCAGTAAAACCCGTGCTAAAGTGGGGCGTCCGTTTGGCTGTGCGGGATGTACAAATTTGCAGCCACGTCCGGTCAGAATGGGGACGTTAAATCCGATGCCTCGTGTAAAGAGAGTGCCACGCTCTCTGCACATTAAGAACCCTTGCAACAACTCTTTGAGGGGTCGGTAGGTGACCTGTTGCAAGGCTAAATTTCTGTCCCTATCCAATATACCCTCATTTCCCGTGGCAGTCTAAATTTCTCCGACCTTAATCCCTTAATCTATTACAGAACCTACCTATTGTATTTATTGTGAACTTGTTCTGGTCCTGAATATGCATGAAATATTTGCCACTGGACGTTAAGCAACCAACAATCAATCAATCCTATGTGTAGGGACAGTGCCACTCTGCACGTTAAAGAACCCTTGCCACAACTCTTTGAGGGGTCAGTAGGTGGCCTGTTGCAAGGCTTAATTTCTGTCCAACATATCCTCCTCTCAGTTGGCAGTCAAAAACAATGAGAAAATCAACTAACATTAAAATTTTGCCAGATTCTGAATTAGAATGACTTTGTTAATACCTCTAACCTTTAACATCTGATATTTTTATTATCTAGAGCTCTGTAAAAAAAATATAAAAAAAGAAAATACCAAAAAATAATATATGAAAACAAAATCGTTTGTAAACAGAGTTCTAGATAATAAACATTGAGGGTGGTGTAAAAGGTGGGATTATTGTAATATTTTTTATGACCCCCACTTTAAAGTCTTCTAAAGTTATCATGTTTAAAACAAACAAAAATTGGAATGGCAATTTAAAAAGTATAGTTCCTATGTGTAGGGACAGTGCCACTCTGCACGTTAAAGAACCCTTGCCACAAGTTTTTGAGGGGTCAGTAGGTGGCCTGTTGCAAGGCTTTATTTCTGTCCAACATATCCTCCTGTCAGTTGGCAGTCAAAATTTCCCTTACCTTCGTCATGGGCCCACTTGATAGAACCTACAAATTGATTTGTTATGAAAAGAAGAGATGCGAGACAACTATCCTACAGAGACAAAATGAAGTTGCATGTTACTGTATGGACTTCAACAATGAGAAAATCAACTAACATTAAAATTTTGCAATATTCTGAATTAGAATGACTTTGTTAATACCTCTAACCTTTAACATCTGATATTTTTAGTATCTAGAGCTCTGTAAAAAAAAAAATAAAAAAAAATATAAAAAATGAAAATACTATAAAATAATATGAAAACAAAATCGTTTGTAAACAGAGTTCTAGATAATAAACATTGAGGGTGGTGTAAAAGGTGGGATTATTGTAATATTTTTTATGACCCCCACCTTAAAGTCTTCTTATGTTATCATGTTTAAAACAAACAAAAATTGGAATGGCAATTTAAAAAGTATAGTTCCTATATGTGTAGGGACAGTGCCACTATGTACATTAAAGAACCCTTGCCACAAGTATTTGAGGGGTCAGTAGGTGGCCTGTTGCAAGGCTTAATTTCTGCCCAACATATCCTCCTCTCAGTTGGCAGTCAAAATTTCCCCTACCTTCATCATCGGCCCACTTTATAGAACCTACAAATTGATTTGTTATGAAATGAAGTGATGCAAGACAACTATCCTCCAGAGACCAAATGATGTTGATGTAAAATAGGTTACTGTATGGACTAACAACAAATTGAGAAAATCAACTAACATTAAAATTTTGCAATATTCTGAATTAGAATGACTTTGTTAATACCTCTAACCTTTAACATCTGATACTTTTAGTATCTAGAGCTCTGTAAAAAAAAAAATAAAAAAAAATATAAAAAATGAAAATACTATAAAATAATATGAAAACAAAATCGTTTGTAAACAGAGTTCTAGATAATAAACATTGAGGGTGGTGTAAAAGGTGGGATTATTGTAATATTTTTTATGACCCCCACTTTAAAGTCTTCTAAAGTTATGTTTAAAACAAACAAAAATTGGAATGGCAATTTAAAAAGTAGAGTTCCTATGTGTAGGCCCCCAAGGGTGACTGGGGAATAGAAGTATGGTCACCATTGGTCTTCCTCCGACCGGCAGTAAAACCCGTGCTAAAGTGGGGCGTCCGTTTGGCTGTGCGGGATGTACAAATTTGCAGCCACGTCCGGTCAGAATGGGGACATTAAATCCGATGCCTCGTGTAAAGAGAGTGCCACGCTCTTTGCACGTTAAGAACCCTTGCAACAACTCTTTGAGGGGTCCGTAGGTGGCCTGTTGCAAGGCTTAATTTCTGTCCAACATATCCTCCTCTCAGTTGGCAGTCAAAATTTCCCTTACCTTCGTCATGGGCCAACTTTATAGAACCTACAAATTGATTTGTTGTGAAAAGAAGAGATGCGAGACAACTATCCTACAGAGACCAAATGAAGTTGCATGTTACTGTATGGACTTCAACAATGAGAAAATCAACTAACATTAAAATTTTGCAATATTCTGAATTAGAATGACTTTGTTAATACCTCTAACCTTTAACATCTGATATCTTTAGTATCTAGAGCTCTGTAAAAAAAAATAAAAAAAAATATAAAAAATGAAAATACTATAAAATAATATGAAAACAAAATCATTTGTAAACAGAGTTCTAGATAATAAACATTGAGGGTGGTGTAAAAGGTGGGATTATTGTAATATTTTTTATGACCCCCACTTTAAAGTCTTCTAAAGTTATCATGTTTAAAACAAACAAAAATTGGAATGGCAATTTAAAAAGTATAGTTCCTATATGTGTAGGGACAGTGCCACTCTGCACGTTAAAGAACCCTTGCCACAACTTTTTGAGGGGTCAGTAGGTGGCCTGTTACAAGGCTTTATTTCTGTCCAACATATCCTCCTCTCAGTTGGCAGTCAAAATTTCCTTTACCTTCGTCATGGGCCCACTTTATAGAACCTACAAATTGATTTGTTATGGAAAGAAGAGATGCGAGACAACTATCCTACAGAGACCAAATGAAGTTGCATGTTACTGTATGGACTTCAACAATGAGAAAATCAACTAACATTAAAATTTTGCAATATTCTGAATTAGAATGACTTTGTTAATACCTCTAACCTTTAACATCTGATATTTTTAGTATCTAGAGCTCTGTAAAAAAAAATTAAAAAAAATATAAAAAATGAAAATACTATAAAATAATATGAAAACAAAATCATTTGTAAACAGAGTTCTAGATAATAAACATTGAGGGTGGTGTAAAAGGTGGGATTATTGTAATATTTAATATGACCCCCACTTTAAAGTCTTCTAAAGTTATCATGTTTAAAACAAACAAAAATTGGAATGGCAATTTAAAAAGTATAGTTCCTATATGTGTAGGGACAGTGCCACTCTGCACGTTAAAGAACCCTTGCCACAACTCTTTGAGGGGTCAGTAGGTGGCCTGTTGCAAGGCTTAATTTCTGTCCAACATATCCTCCTCTCAGTTGGCAGTCAAAAACAATGAGAAAATCAACTAACATTAATATTTTGCAATATTCTGAATTAGAATGACTTTGTTAATACCTCTAACCTTTAACATCTGATATTTTTATTATCTAGAGCTCTGTAAAAAAAATATAAAAAAAAATATAAAAAAAGAAAATACCAAAAAATAATATATGAAAACAAAATCGTTTGTAAACAGAGTTCTAGATAATAAACATTGAGGGTGCTGTAAAAGGTGGGATTATTGCAATATTTTTTATGACCCCCACCTTAAAGTCTGCTAAAGTTATCATGTTTAAAACAAACAAAAATTGGAATGACAATTTAAAAAGTATAGTTCCTATGTGTAGGGACAGTGCCACTCTGCACGTTAAAGAACCCTTGCCACAACTCTTTGAGGGGTCAGTAGGTGGCCTGTTGCAAGGCTTTATTTCTGTCCAACATATCCTCCTCTCAGTTGGCAGTCAAAATTTCCCTTACCTTCATCATCGGCCAACTTTATAGAACCTACAAATTGATTTGTTATGAAAAGAAGAGATGCAAGACAACTATCCTACAGAGACCAAATGAAGTTGCATGTTACTGTATGGACTTCAACAATGAGAAAATCAACTAACATTAAAATTTTGCAATATTCTGAATTAGAATGACTTTGTTAATACCTCTAACCTTTAACATCTGATATTTTTATTATCTAGAGCTCTGTAAAAAAAAATATCAAAAAAAATATAAAAAAAGAAAATACCAAAAAATAATATATGAAAACAAAATCGTTTGTAAACAGAGTTCTAGATAATAAACATTGAGGGTGGTGTAAAAGGTGGGATTATTTTAATATTTTTGATGACCCCTGCTTTAAAGTCTTCTAAAGTCATCATGTTTAAAGCAAACAAAAATTGGAATGGCAATATAAAAAGTATAGTTCCTATGTGTAGGGACAGTGCCACTCTGCACGTTAAAGAACCCTTGCCACAAGTTTTTGAGGGTCAGTAGGTGGCCTGTTGCAAGGCTTAATTTCTGTCCAACATATCCTCCTCTCAGTTGGCAGTTAAAATTTCCCTTACCTTCATCATCGGCCCACTTTATAGAACCTACAAATTGATTTGTTATGAAATGAAGAGATGCGAGACATTACTATTCTACAGAGACCAAATGATGTTGATGTAAAATAGGTTACTGTATGGACTTCAACAATGAGAAAAATCAACCAACATTAAAATTTTGCAATATTCTGAATTAGAATGACTTTGTTAATACGTCTAACCTTTAACATCTGATATTTTTATTATCTAGAGCTCTGTAAAAAAAAATATCAAAAAAAATATAAAAAATGAAAATACCAAAAAATAATATATGAAAACAAAATCGTTTGTAAACAGAGTTCTAGATAATAAACATTGAGGGTGGTGTAAAAGGTGGGATTATTGTAATATTTTTTATGACCACCACCTTAAAGCCTTTTTATGTTATCATTTTTAAAACAAACAAAAATTGGAATGGCAATTTAAAAAGTATAGTTCCTATGTGAAGGGACAGTGCCATTATGTACGTTAAAGAACCCTTGCCACAAGTCTTTGAGGGGTTAGTAGGTGGCCTGTTGCAAGGCTTAATTTCTGTCCAACATGTCCTCCTCTCAGTTGGCAGTCAAAATTTCCCCTACCTTCATCATCAGCCCACTTTATAGAACCTACAAATTAATTTGTTATGAAATGAAGAGATGCGAGACAACTATCCTACAGAGACCAAATGAAGTTGCATGTTACTGTATGGACTTCAACAATGAGAAAATCAACTAACATTAAAATTTTAAATTGCAATATTCTCAATTAGAATGACTTTGTTAATACCTCTAACCTTTAACATCTGATATTTTTATTATCTAGAGCTCTGTAAAAAAAAATATCAAAAAAAATATAAAAAAAGAAAATACCAAAAAATAATATATGAAAACAAAATCGTTTGTAAACAGAGTTCTAGATAATAAACATTGAGGGTGGTGTAAAAGGTGGGATTATTTTAATATTTTTTATGACCCCCGCTTTAAAGTCTTCTAAAGTCATCATGTTTAAAACAAAAATTGGAATGGCAATATAAAAAGTATAGTTCCTATGTGTAGGGACAGTGCCACTCTGCACGTTAAAGAACCCTTGCCACAAGTTTTTGAGGGTCAGTAGGTGGCCTGTTGCAAGGCTTAATTTCTGTCCAACATATCCTCCTCTCAGTTGGCAGTCAAAATTTCCCTTACCTTCGTCATGGGCCCACTTTATAGAACCTACAAATTGATTTGTTATGAAATGAAGAGATGCGAGACATTACTATTCTACAGAGACCAAATGATGTTGATGTAAAATAGGTTACTGTATGGACTTCAACAATGAGAAAAATCAACCAACATTATAATTTTGCAATATTCTGAATTAGAATGACTTTGTTAATACCTCTAACCTTTAACATCTGATATTTTTATTATCTAGAGCTCTGTAAAAAAAAATATAAAAAAAAATATAAAAAATGAAAATACCAAAAAATAATATATGAAAACAAAATCGTTTGTAAACAGAGTTCTAGATAATTAACATTGAGGGTGGTGTAAAAGGTGGGATTATTGTAATATTTTTTATGACCACCACCTTAAAGCCTTTTTATGTTATCATTTTTAAAACAAACAAAAATTGGAATTGCAATTTAAAAAGTATAGTTCCTATGTGAAGGGACAGTGCCATTATGTACGTTAAAGAACCCTTGCCACAAGTCTTTGAGGGGTTAGTAGGTGGCCTGTTGCAAGGCTTAATTTCTGTCCAACATATCCTCCTCTCAGTTGGCAGTCAAAATTTCCCCTACCTTCATCATCAGCCCACTTTATAGAACCTACAAATTGATTTGTTATGAAATGAAGAGATGCAAGACAACTATCCTACAGAGACCAATTGAAGTTGCATGTTACTGTATGGACTTCAACAATGAGAAAATCAACTAACATTAAAATTTTGCAATATTCTGAATTAGAATGACTTTGTTAATACCTCTAACCTTTAACATCTGATATTTTTATTATCTAGAGCTCTGTAAAAAAAAATATCAAAAAAAATATAAAAAAAGAAAATACCAAAAAATAATATATGAAAACAAAATCGTTTGTAAACAGAGTTCTAGATAATAAACATTGAGGGTGGTGTAAAAGGTGGGATTATTTTAATATTTTTGATGACCCCCGCTTGAAAGTCTTCTAAAGTCATCATGTTTAAAACAAACAAAAACTGGAATGGCAATATAAAAAGTATAGTTCCTATGTGTAGGGACAGTGCCACTCTGCACGTTAAAGAACCCTTGCCACAAGTCTTTCAGGGTCAGTAGGTGGCCTGTTGCAAGGCTTAATTTCTGTCCAACATATCCTCTCAGTTGGCAGTCAAAATTTCCCTAACCTTCATCATCAGCCCACTTTATAGAACCTACAAATTGATTTGTTATGAAATGAAGAGATGCGAGACAACTATCCTACAGAGACCAAATGATGTTGATGTAAAATAGGTTACTGTATGGACTTCAACAATGAGAAAAATCAACCAACATTAAAATTTTGCAATATTCTGAATTAGAATGACTTTGTAAATACCTCTAACCTTTAACATCCGATATTTTTATTATCTAGAGCTCTGTAAAAAAATATATAAAAAAAAAATATAAAAAATGAAAATACCAAAAAATAATATATGAAAACAAAATCGTTTGTAAACAGAGTTCTAGATAATAAACATTGAGGGTGGTGTAAAAGGTGGGATTATTGTAATATTTTTTATGACCCCCACCTTAAAGTCTCATGTTATCATTTTTAAAACAAACAAAAATTGGAATGGCAATTTAAAAAGTATAGTTCCTATGTGAAAGGACAGTGCCATTATGTACGTTAAAGAACCCTTGCCACAAGTCTTTGAGGGGTTAGTAGGTGGCCTGTTGCAAGGCTTAATTTCTGTCCAACATGTCCTCCTCTCAGTTGGCAGTCAAAATTTCCCCTACCTTCAACTTCAGCCCACTTTATAGAACCTACAAATTGATTTGTTATGAAATGAAGAGATGCGAGACAACTATCATACAGAGACCAAATGAAGTTGCATGTTACTGTATGGACTTCAACAATGAGAAAATCAACTAACATTAAAATTTTAAATTGCAATATTCTGAATTAGAATGACTTTGTTAATACCTCTAACCTCTAACATCTGATATTTTTATTATCTAGAGCTCTGTAAAAAAAAATATCAAAAAAAATATAAAAAAAGAAAATACCAAAAAATAATATATGAAAACAAAATCGTTTGTAAAAAGAGTTCTAGATAATAAACATTGAGGGTGGTGTAAAAGGTGGGATTATTTTAATATTTTTGATGACCCCGCTTTAAAGTCTTCTAAAGTCATCATGTTTTAAACAAACAAAAATTGGAATGGCAATATAAAAAGTATAGTTCCTATGTGTAGGGACAGTGCCACTCTGCACGTTAAAGAACCCTTGCCACAAGTTTTTGAGGGTCAGTAGGTGGCCTGTTGCAAGGCTTAATTTCTGTCCAACATATCCTCCTCTCAGTTGGCAGTCAAAATTTCCCTTACCTTCATCATCGGCCCACTTTATAGAACCTACAAATTGATTTGTTATGAAATGAAGAGATGCGAGACAACTATCCTACAGAGACCAAATGATGTTGATGTAAAATAGGTTACTGTATGGACTTCAACAATGAGAAAAATCAACCAACATTAAAATTTTGCAATATTCTGAATTAGAATGACTTTGTTAATACCTCTAACCTTTAACATCTGATATTTTTATTATCTAGAGCTCTTTAAAAAAATATAAAAAAAAAATATAAAAAATGAAAATACCAAAAAATAATATATGAAAACAAAATCGTTTGTAAACAGAGTTCTAGATAATAAACATTGAGGGTGGTGTAAAAGGTGGGATTATTGTAATATTTTTTATGACCCCCACCTTAAAGTCTTCTTATGTTATCATTTTTAAAACAAAAATTGGAATGGCAATTTAAAAAGTATAGTTCCTATGTGAAGGGACAGTGCCGTTATGTACTTTAAAGAACCCTTGCCACAAGTCTTTGAGGGGTTAGTAGGTGGCCTGTTGCAAGGCTTAATTTCTGTCCAACATATCCTCCTCTCAGTTGGCAGTCAAAATTTCCCCTACCTTCATCATCAGCCCACTTTATAGAACCTACAAATTGATTTGTTATGAAATGAAGAGATGCGAGACAACTATCCTACAAAGACCAAATGAAGTTGCATGTTACTGTATGAACTTCAACAATGAGAAAATCAACTAACATTAAACTTTTGCAATATTCTGAATTAGAATGACTTTGTTAATACCTCTAACCTTTAACATCTGATATTTTTATTATCTAGAGCTCTGTAAAAAAATATAAAAAAAAAAATGTAAAAAATGAAAATACCAAAAAATAATATATGAAAACAAAATCGTTTGTAAACAGAGTTCTAGATAATAAACATTGAGGGTGGTGTAAAAGGTGGGATTATTGTAATATTTTTTATGACCACCACCTTTAAGTCTTCTTATGTTATCATTTTTAAAACAAACTAAAATTGGAATGGCAATTTAAAAAGTATAGTTCCTATGTGAAGGGACAGTGCCATTATGTACGTTAAAGAACCCTTGCCACAAGTCTTTGAGGGGTTAGTAGTTGGCCTGTTGCAAGGCTTAATTTCTGTCCAACATATCCTCTCAGTTGGCAGTCAAAATTTCCCCTACCTTCATCATCGGCCCACTTTATAGAACCTACAAATTGATTTGTTATGAAATGAAGAGATGCCAGACAACTATCCTACAGAGACCAAATGATGTTGATGTAAAATAGGTTACTGTATGGACTTCAACAATGAGAAAATCAACCAACATTAAAATTTTGCAACATTCTGAATTAGAATGACTTTGTTAATACCTCTAACCTTTAACATCTGATATTTTTATTATCTAGAGCTCTGTAAAAAAATATAAAAAAAAAATATAAAAAATGAAAATACCAAAAAATAATATATGAAAACAAAATAGTTTGTAAACAGAGTTCTAGATAATAAACAGTGTAAAAGGTGGGATTATTGTAATATTTTTTATGACCCCCGCTTTAAAGTCTTCTTAAGTTATCATGTTTAAAACAAACAAAACTTGGAATGGCAATTTAAAAAGTAGTTCCTATGTGTAGGGACAGTGCCACTCTGCACGTTAAAGAATCCTTGCCACAAGTCTTTGAAGGGTCAGTAGGTGACTGTTCCAAGGCTAAATTTCTTCCAAACATGTCCTCCTCTCAGTTGGCAGTCAAAATTTCCCCTACCTTCATCATCGGCCCACTTTATAGAATATACAAATTGATTTGTTATGAAATGAAGAGATGTGAGACAACTATCCTATAGAGACCAAATGAAGTTGCACGTTACTGTATGGACTTCTACAATGAGAAAATCAACTAACATTAAAATTTTGCAATATTCTGAATTAGAATGACTTTGTTAATACCTCTAACCTTTAACATCTGATATTTTTATTATCTAGAGCTCTGTCAAAAAAAAGAAAATACCAAAAAATAATATGAAAACAAAATTGTTTGTAAACAGAGTTCTAGATAATAAACATTGAGGGTGGTGTAAAAGGTGGGATTATTGTAATGTTTTTTATGACCCCCACCTTAAAGTCTCCTAAAGTTATCATAATTAAAACAAAACAAAAATTGGAATGGCAATTTAAAAAGTATAGTTCCTATGTGAATGATGTGTAGGGACAGTGCCACTCTGCACGTTAAAGAACCCTTGCCACAACTCTTTGAGGGGTCAGTAGGTGGCCTGTTGCAAGGCTTAATTTCTGCCAAACATATCCTCCTCTCAGTTGGCAGTCAAAATTTCCCCTACCTTCATCATCAGCCCATTTTTATAGAACCTATTTTGCAATATTCTGATTTAGAATGACTTTGCCTCTAACCTTTAAAATCTGATATTTTTATTATTTAGAGCTCTGTAAAAAAATATAAAAAAAGAAAATACCAAAAAATAATATGAAAACAAAATCGTTTGAAACAGAGTTCTAGATAATAAACATTGAGGATGTTGTAAAAAGTAGGCATATTTAAAATTTTGTTTATTATTATGAATAGTGCACTGTATAATTTGTAAACATGTTTATTGTGAAGTCTTGCAAAATTGTGAAACTTTAGAACTGTGTTTATTTGAGATGTCTATATTCAGTCTTCAATGATTGTCTTGGCAATTGAGGACAATAGAATATAGCTCTGTGTAGAAACTGACTTTTTTATATCAAGAAAGATCCAACAAAAGCTTTCAATGATATCTAAAGAGACGAAAGACAGAAATACTAAAAGGTTTTCTATGAGATTGGTGGATTATGTACAGTCAGACAACTGGCACACTCAAGCTAAAAGTTAAATAGCTATTAAAATAAAATTATGGACTTGTATAATAACATTAATGAAGACAGATGTTCTATAGTGAAAACATGTTCCTACATAATGTTCTATAGTGAAGACATGTTCATACATAATGCTGTATAGTGAAGACATGTTCCTACATATTGTTCTATAGTGAAGACACGTTCCTACATAATGCTGTATAGTGAAGACATATTCCTACATATTGTTCTATAGTGAAGACATGTTCCTACATAATGTTCTATAGTGAAGACATGTTCATACATAATGCTGTATAGTGAAGACATGTTCCTACATATTGTTCTATAGTGAAGACACGTTCCTACATAATGCTGTATAGTGAAGACATATTCCTACATATTGTTCTATAGTGAAGACATGTTCCTACTTAATGTCTTATAGTGCAGACATGTTCCTACATATTGTTCTATAGTGAAGACATGTTCCTACATAATGTTCTATAGTGAAGACATGTTCCTACATATTGTTCTATAGTGAAGACATGTTCATACATAATGCTGTATAGTGAAGACATATTCCTACATAATGTTCTTTAGTGAAGACACGTTCCTACATAATGTTCTATAGAGAAGACACGTTCCTACATAATGTTCTTTAGTGAAGACAGATGTTCTATAGCACAAACAGATGTTCCTAAGTTGCAATGAAGTGTTCAGAAGACAGACAGTGTTTCCTTTTGCAATGAAATTATCCAGAACACATAGTTGATTAGATTTCCAGTTCATTACATATTCTGACGTTTTCTCAAGAAAAACACAAGGTATTGATATAGTTTTAAGTCTGTAAAAAGTGTATTATTTGCTCAGAATTTAAATTTAGAATTTTAATGGCCAAACCTGTTAGTGTGGATTTATTTTATGATTTTCTTGTTCCTGATTTATGATGCTTCTTGAATATTTAAATTTATGGAAGGTAAAATTTTTTCGTGGCTAATATATTTTTGGAAATGTTTTGTAATTTTTTCTGGTTTTCTTTTTTATTGTTGAACATGAAGAATTATGAAATTTGTATGACTTGATAAGATACTTAGTATCGAAAAGAAAAGTTATATCAAAACTGCCAATAAATACTTTTTGACAATTCATTTCCTTAGATGAAGACATTGATATTTCCTCAGTTGAAAACATTGAAAATGCCTAGATAAAAATAATAGCTTAATATTTCATTAGAATCTATTGTAAGGCAGCATGTTATTTTGATTTGTTGGTTATTTGTAAAATCAGCCAGAACTTTTTACAAAGTAAAAAAATAATAATTGAATGCTAACAAGGGGAAATAGTTTATCAAATTGTGAAAGAAAAATACAAGTGAGCACTTGAAAAAAGCTTAAAAGTAAGAACTGTACCAAGCGTTAATCTTACTGCAAGTTAAAACTGAGGGAATTCTTTGCAACTGATGGAGGGTAATAACAGACATAGATAATATTGATAGAAAAGGAAAAAAAATGTATTTAACAATAATGTCATATTAGCTATGACATTAAGATGATGTGGTAGGATTGACAATGGAGAAATCTATGTAGCAGTGACCAAATGAAATCAATTAGTTTGATTATCTTCTTATTATAAAATTAAAAAAAAAAACATACAAAAGTCTTAATAAAATAGTTTTGATTTAAATGATTATTTCATGTGAAGTATGTGACTGCCAATTCATATAAAAATGAATTATTTTTATTCCAGATTTCAATGTTCAAACTGAAAGGAGAAATTCTTAAAATTTATGCTGGACATCTCATATCAAGGATCCATCACAATATTGATATTAGACTTATGAAGAATATTCTGATAAATTAATGGTAAGTGTTTACCTTAAGGAATCTGGTGGGTTGATTGTGATGCATACAATCACCTGAATTAATATGGAATTGGAACCATTGTACAACACACTAATAGAAGCCAGCATATGCTTTTAATATTCAAAACAAACAAAACATATTTTCAAGATACCTAGTAATTTCTTGAAACTGTGTCAATCTATTTTACAAATTTGATCGGAATAATAATAATATTCAAAACAAAAAAAAGTCAATTTTCAAAATACCTAGTAGTTTCTTGTAATTCTGTCATTCTGTTTTGCAAATTTGATCAGATTGATAAAAAAGTACTACTGGGGTAAATGTGAGATGTATTGGACCAAATAATGAGCTCAAGTTGTTTCTAATATTGTAAGGGTATTCTCAATGTTTTCAGAATACTGTAAAATTCTTAAAGGTATAAAGTATAAATAAATATTGTTCATGCAGATGATCCAAAATACTAAGACATATTTTCTGTGTTTCAGATGTACGACAAATCGTGCTACAAGTATCATACCAACAGAATTATTTGATGGGAGTAAAACATAGGAGCAGGATCTCACCTCATACAAGGTTGGTATTCTTACTTCCTTAGCGAATTAATTATCTGTCCATCTGATGTCACAATGTTCTAATAAAAAGAAGATGTGGTTTGATTGCCGATGAGACAACTCTCCACCAGAGACCAAATGATGTGGAAGTTTACAAATATATCTTTCTCGGTTGGCAATGTGACAGAGCTGCTTAAAAACTGTTTCACTCAGTCAACTTATGAACATGATGTACTGGAAATAACCAGTTGATTAAAGTAACTACTTTTATTGTTGTTCTTCATCATAACAGTTGCTGTAGAGTATTCACCTATGAACTGAAATGTTTATACTTAATAACAATGTCAAGATGACCCCTATGGTCAACTTGAACATTATATGTGCAATAATGGTAACATGACTCCAACTGGAGGTATCAGCTGTATTAAATAAAGAGACCAAATAGGAAAATTTTATGAAAAGATTATCAGACGTCAAAAGAATGAAATAATTGTCAATGTATTTAGGTTATTTTTAGTTTTTGTCCGTATACCTCACTTTTTTGTATTTATATCTGAAATTAGAACAAATGACGCTGTTTTGAGAATTTTTAATCTAAGCCTGCTTGAGGGACCTAAATCGGGGAAAATATTTCTATGGTAGTGACATTAAGTTTTCAGAATAGTACTGAACTGCTCTCCATTATTGCTGTAAAACTTTTTTGTTCAAAATTCAAGTGCTGTTCCCATATTCTTTTGAAATTTTTGTTATCCTATTGAATTAACTAATTAAATTGTTGTTTGTAGTGAGGAGGAACAGTTGAACTGATGAACTTTGAACTGATGAACTTGGAAACATCTGAAAGGTATACATAAGAAAAACAGACCACCTAGAATAAGAAAAGAGAAAGATTAACTCATAGAGTAAAGTGTAAAAACAGACCACATAGAATAAGGAAAGAGAAAGATTAACTCATAGAGTAAAGTGTAAAAACAGACCACATAGAATAAGGAAAGAGAAAGATTAACTCATAGAGTAAAGGGTAGACGAAACTATCAACACTTTGAAATTAACAAGAGCAATAATCAACATTACAGCTGCTTCATCACCATCTCAGAGGTTAGGTCTCTAACTGACTCAACTGATGAACTTATAACAAGCTTAACAGATTATCAGCATAGTTGAACAATGAACACTTCAGAGACAAAATATTCTTGGCAATGAAAATATATGACTGAAATTAACATAACAGCTGCTTCATAACAAACTTAGAGGTTAGAGCTGACTCAACTGATCAACATGGAACAAACTTTAACATATTAACAGCATAGTAATCTTGATTTGCTTGGTCTTTAACCTCTGTTCCTGTATAAAGGATAAAATCTTTGAGTAAAAATGGTCTGAATAATGCTTTAAAATCTATCTACTTTGAATTTTGTACAAATTCAATATAGAAAACAATATCAAGGAATAAAATAAAATAATTTCCCTACCTACCTACCCATACTCTGAAAACCTCAATCGGGAAGGGGAAACAAAGATATTTTTAATGATGGCCTAATATTCTTGTCAATTAAAATATATGACTGAAATTTCATAATTGTATATGGTCAGTGGGAGAGAGAGAAAGATGTAGAATGTTCAGAGTGGGAGAGGGAGAACACTTATGATGGTGAGGGGGGAGAAATAAAGAACAATTTTTGCAACTGGTAAATTTGTCTTCAACCAAACTCATGGCTTGTGATGATGTGTCTACCTTAGACATCTGATATTTTTATTATCTAGAGCTCTGTTTAAAAAAAAAATGTAAAAAATAATATGAAAACAAAATTTAAACAGTTCTAGATAATAAACATTAAGGGTGGTGTAAAAAGTGGGCATATTTTAAATTTTCTTTTTTTCACCAATGTATTTATGAAATTTAAAACTTTAAAGTCAAAATGTTTAATTGGACGTACAATTGTTTTGATTTTAGATATTTGGAGACAAAACCTATTCTTCTCCATTTATTACACTCTAAAAGTGTCATTAATTTGCAATATTCTTATTTTGATTGTCTTTGCTTATACCTCTAACCTTAGACATCCAATATTTTTATTATCTAGAGCTCTGTAAAAAAAAATAACAAAATTGTAAATAGAGTTCTAGATAATAAACATTAAGGGTGGTGTAAAAAGTGGTTATATTTTTTATATTTTGAATTCTCCCCCTCCCCAATATATTTACGAAATTAAATACAAGAGATATTTATAAGTGTTGGATAAGTTTTTTCCTTTCATTAGTGTATTTTAAAAAATGTTTTTTTCAAGCTGTACATTTTTCTTGGGTATTGAAAATGGCTTTGAAGTAAATATGTTTAATTGGAAGCAGAATTTTTTTATTATTAGATATTGGAGACAAAACCTATCTTCTCTGTATATTTCACCTTAACAGTGTCTTAGATTTGCAATGTCTTTGCTTATACCTCTAAGTTCTAACCTTAGACATCCAATATTTTTATTATCAAGAGCTCTGTAAAAAAAAAAATAAAAAAAATAAAACAAAATTGCAGAGTTCTAGATAATAAACATTAAGGGTGGTGTAAAAAGTGGGTATATTTTGAATTCTTAAATGGCCTTTAAGTTTGAATGTTTAAATGGAAGTAGAATTCTTTCAATTTTAGATGTTTTGAGATAAAACCTATCATCTCGGTATATATTTATACTGTGTATAACAATGTCTTAAATTCTGCAATACTGTGGATTCATTATTATTCGTTGGATACCAATTTTCGTGGATTTCGTGGGTACAGGTGAACCACGAATTCAAATGTTCAACGAATTACAAATGTTAATTTGGCTTTGTATGCAGAGATTGGCAAAACCACGAAATCAAATATCCACGAAAATGCAAGTGTTCCTCAATCCACGAAAATTGAAATCCACGAAAATAAATGAATCCACAGTATTGTGATTTTGAATGTCTTTGAAACTATAACTTTTAACATTTGAATTCCATTCAGTATTAAAATAATATGTGATACAAATTTTTCTTGTTATTTTTTGTTATTAAGGATATTTGTATTAAATGTTTTTGTCTCACCTGCCACGAAAACTTCAGAATGCAAGACATTGGGATCTGGCGGTGGCAGAAGCTATTTGTATTAAGCTTAATATTTCAGAAATTGATAGGCTTGGAGGATTTAATCATACCATTAATACAGACAGATGCGATATGTTTGGAAGTTTCCGTCTGTCACATGTCTGTTGTCCTTGATTTTATTTTCATGGTTCAGCAACTGCTTAAAATAAGATTTTTTTTATTTAAATAGGATTTGATATGGGTCATTGCAATGTCTATATGTTCTTCAGACAGGGTTCACCTGACCTCAACCTCGTTGATCAAGGTGAAAGTCACATATTTTGGTCTGCTTCCCAGATACTGTAAGCAGAAGTTCAACTTTATTTGGTGTATGGAATGATTGTAAGGTGTACATGTCAGTCTGGCAGGTTTTATCTGACCTTGACCTCATTTTCTTTGTCTGAATGTTAAGTTTTCCTGGTTAATATGAAAATAAGGAGAGATGGTATGATTGTCAATGAGACAACTATCAACTAAAGTTCAAATGAAGTGGGTGTAAGCATTATAGGCAATAGTACAGCCTTCAGCAGTGAGAAAAACCCATACTGTGTAGTCTGCTTTAAAATATGAAACAATTCAAACCCTGTGAGACAGACATGTACACCTAACAATTATACCTTACATCAAATATAATAAGCATATTGCTTATAGTACCTGAGAAACAAACCTAATTACCGTAAACTTGAATATTGACAATTGAACCATAAAATGTACCTGTAAAAAACTTATTTCAAACGGAATAGCACATCCGAATTGTTACGGTGATGTTGTTTACCTAGCCTGGAAAGTTAGATACGATCCGGGTAAACTTATCATTCCTTCAGTAAATAAACTTATTTAAAGGTTACCAATTCAACATTGTAATTAGATCTTTGAATTTAAAAAAAAATAATTTTGGTATAAATATTGATTTTGTTATCAGTAAATTAAAACCAAACTAAATATTATTGTTAAACACATATGCACATTCAAGGTACTACAATCTGTCGATACCTCTATCTTGGCATTGCACAAGGTCATGTTTTTCTCTGACTGTTAGTGACGTCTTTACACTTAATCCATTGGATGTTGGATGTGTACTGATTGACATTTTAGTCTTAGATACATGATTTTTTTTATTAGTTGTTATTGGCTTTGAACTATCTGTCAGAAACTGTGAGTATTCTCAGATCTGTATTTTGCGTCTTTTTTGTTGTGAGGGATGTATAAATATACCCTGCCGCACGTCTGGTTTGTGTTTTTGTTATTTGTATCGACTTGAAGATTCGAGCCCTTTTCAACTGATTTTTATAGTTTGTTATTATGTTGTATGATACACCACTGTCTCAGGTCAATGTCAGTCTTGTATCACCGAACAAGAAGGATGCCAAGCCCAACCCGTCGTTCAAAGTCCAGGTCCACACGTGCGGGATTGAACTCACAACTTCAGTGTTGAAAAAGAGGTCAAGGTCAGTCGTGTATCACCCAACAAGAAGGATACCAAGCCCAACCCGTCGTTCAAAGTCCAGGAGCAGAAGCAGGTCAGCCTCAGCCGTTAAGGCAGCCAAACGTGCTCGTTCCAAGACACCAAGAATGCAAAAAAACGTTCAAGGTCTCCATCCAAAAAAGCAAGAAGGAGGTCCAGATCTACTAAAAAGCCAGAGCTAAGAGGAGGAATAGGTCCAGGTCACCAAAGAAAAGGAGGTCAGCTGGAAAGAGGAGAGTAAGAGCAAAGAAAAGAGGAAAGAGAAGGAGGTCTAAGGGAACATTACCAATACACTGGTGACTGGTCGAAACACACAGAACATTAATGTCGGAGATGTAGTTCAGATTCATGACGATTTATCACTGAGAGTAAATTGAACTTTGGCTGTAATTGCCAAATTAGTTTACGGCAAAGATGGAATTACACGACCAGCCATAATTCGAACCAAGAATGGAGCTAAATCTAGACTATATTGATGTATAATTCGGCAATAGCAACTCCTAACTTAAGTAGTAAATAGATTAGTAAGCTTCGCCTTATGGATGATTGATTGGTTGATGTTCAGGGACTGACAGGGATAATACAATATGCCCTCAGGGCTTAAAATTTATAAATATCTTTGTATCTTTTTACCATTATCACCTCGAAATGGCCTTCAACAATGAGAAAAATAATTACCAATTAAAAAGCAATAAATGAAAAACATCTATGGCAGACAGCAACAAAAGACAACTATTGATTAGCAGGTGTCTTAAGATGGTAGTTGGTTGTCGTTGGTTCATCTCTGTCATAATTATTTTGTTATAAATTAGGCTGGCCGTTAGTTTTTCTCAATTGAACTGTTTTATTTTTTTCATATCAGGGCCATGTATAGCCAACTATATGGTATGGGTTTTTCTCATTGTTGAAGGCCATATGGTTGCCAATAATTGCTAATATCCACTTCATTTGAACTTTCATGGATAGTTGGCTCATTGGCAATCATACCACATCTCCTTATTTTTTTTATGAGGTAGAAACTCTTGTCTATTGTTAAGGAATATGTTGATCTAAAGATAATTTTCTTCTTTACTTTTTTTGGTTGTGGGGGTTGGGGGCAACATGGAAGTTGCTGTGACTCATTGGCATGTACTCCTAAGGGAGCTACCATTTGATTTTTATGGGGGGCTAGGATGAAATTTGAAAAAAATAGGCAGGACAGGAGTTTTGAGTAAAAAAAAAAGGCAGGATGAGACACTTGCAAAAAAAAAAAGTCAGGATGACAATTTAGGTAAAAAAAAAGTCAGGATAAACTTTAAAAAAAAAGGCAGGACCGAATAGAGTGAAAAATAAAAAGGCAGGACAGAGATTACAACAAAAAAAAATGCAGGACAAAATTTTTCATCCTAGCCCCCCCATAAAAATCAAATGGTAGCTCCCTAATCGACTACCTGTGGATATTTATTTGAACTTACATTGCACTTTGCTTTAACTTTAATTGAATGAGTTTAATGAAACTGCAACAAGCACTTTTTGTTGTTTTTAGTCATGAATATGACCGAAATATTTGTCACTGTACGTTGAGCAATCTAACAATCAATCCTTTTGATAGGGGAAACTTCTCCTTTAATTGATTTGATATCAATAGACCTTCATATTTTGTCTTCATTTTTTAGTGTTGACCAAGTTTTCTCCTATGGGTTATAACCCTTTTTAGGACCCCAACAAGTCCTAAAAAAAGGCAGTCTGACATCAGAGCAATCTAGGACTTCTGTTAATGTTAGTGTTTATGTTTGATGGTTTACATGTTATGCATGAATTTTGTGATGTCTTATGGTTAGACAAAAGACATTTACCGATTCCCTATTCACGAAATGGCTCTGCATTATATTTTAACAGGAGTTACATGATGGCTGTCACTTGTGGAGCAGGAAATGGTGACACTTCTTAATGTTTGTGAATGATGCTAATTTTTTATAGTCAATTCAGTATCTTCTTTTCCCTTTTATTACCAAAAACTAGGGTTTTATTTGTTATGTTGTGTATAGAGCTTACCATTCATTTGGGAATAATGCCAAAAGACAGAAAGTTAGTGTTCTATCTGTACTCAGGCTTCAACCACCAATAAAAAAATCCTGTTGCCATGATATAGCCAAGTGTACTGAAAGTGTTGTTAAACCCAATCAGTTAATTACTGTAAATTCAGAAATTATTGTGAGGTTTTTATAAATTTGAATAATGGGACTGCGTGAATATCGCAATAATAAGAACTCGCAATCTGATATCTGATATATATATCTTTATGCAGATTTTCCTGAAATCGCAATAATTAATCTAGCATTTTTGTCCATTTTTCAAAAATTGCAATAATAAATACACGCAATAATTTCTGAATTTAAAGTAATTTATCAATTCTAGCTTAATTGGTTGATGAATGATTAGCAAACAACAACAGATACCAGCTATCTCAAGACAATATTCTTTAAATAACATAGGAAAGTACCTTGGATTGTACAATACTGAGTAATTAATTAATGTTAATGTTTACAAAATAACAGTCCACAGGAAGACATGTCATTCAGTGAAATGCAATTGTCCACATCTTTGTCTTTTGGACTATGGCTAGTTGTCTCAATGACAATCATACCACATTCCTTATTTTTATATGTTGATCTAACCAGACAAAAATTTGTGTTTCTGAGCTGAACCGTCTTTTGTCTTACTCCAATATGCTGCATGCTAAGTGACTAAGTAGAAAATATCAATTTCTAGCTACTTGATTTGACCTGTAGAGGTGTAAAAACCCACAACATTCTGCATACTGGTATATGGTGGGGATACCATTATAACTTTGATCATAGAGGCAATCCTGTTATTAATCAATTGTGATTGGATTGTTGAAGGATTCAAGACAAGTTTTCTACAGGTCTTGCATTTATGTCTCTGCATTTTCTGTGCAACTCTGTCACATTATTTTTTTAAAGATATCTGTAGGAGGGCATCACAGCAATTAAATGTTTTAAAATGTTTGGGCTCAGTTTTGGATAGACTTAGTAAACTTACTATTTTTCATACCTTTATTCTTAGTAATTTTAATTTTTGTCCTTTGGCATGGCATTTTTGCACTGAGAAAAATTCCAAAAAATTAGAAAAGGTGCAGGAAAGAGCACTCCGTTTTGTATATGAGGATTTTACCAGCCCCTACGAGGACCTCTTACTTAAGGCTAAGGTGCCCTCCTTGCAGATTAGACGGATTAGAACAATGGCTCTAGAAACTTTTAAGATTATAAATAATATAGCTCCTGTGTGCTTACAAAATTTGATGAGTGTCAAAAAATCTAAGTATTCTTTCAGGTATGTAAATATTCTGGATGTTCCACAGGTAAAGTCAACCCGTTACGGTAAAAAATCTTTCAAATTTGCTGCCGCTACTTTATGGAACAGCCTTCCAAACCATTTCAGGACTGAAAATAGTTTTTCACATTTTAAAAGTCTTGTTCAGTCCTGGAGCTGTTTGGAACGTCGCTGTTCTGTTTGCAGATAATTCTTGAGATGTTTATTATTTATGTTGCTTTTGGTTGCTCTGGTCTAGCATGTTTTATTTCATTTTAAATTTGTTGCTAAATTTTTATTACATGCTATGTAAGTGAGATTTAACTTCGTATAACAGGTTGTTTTATATGTCAAATTAGACTGTTTTTATGTTATGTATATGTTTTCATATTCGGTCAAAAGCTCCTTAGAGCTTGTGTTGTGTCTTTTAACTTATGCCGAATCAAAATAAAGTTTTCTTATCTTATCTTTTCTTATAAGATATTAATCACAGGAGATTACATTGACATTATTTGTATTTACTGCCTTATTAAACTAAATAAACTTTATTCTTAATTGTAAAAAATAATTGACGTGTTGTTTTATTAAATAATTGATTGATGGATGAAAGGTTCAGTGATGCTGGATACTCTTACAATAATTGAAATAAATCTATTTTTGCTTGTATTTATTATAGTATTTCAGAGATCAGACTATTGATATTGTTAAAATAAGCAATCAAGTACTTCAGCCATAAATCCTGGTTTATCAACCCTGTCTCTCCTAGACAGTCTGAGCCAAGATCAAGAAATAACACGAACATTTATACTAACTTTGTTACACAGATTCTAAGGAGTAACAAGACTATTAATGGCATTTGCCATTTGTTCCAACCATGACCTTTTGAAGAGAAATCAGTTGCTTCCATACCAATCCTTTGGTCTCTTGTGGATAGTTGTCTAATTGGCAATCATAAGACATCTCTTTATTTTTATATGTATATGGATAGATATTGATTTTTTTCCATTTTGCAAATTTTTAGGCATTAAAAAGAAGATAATGAAAAGAATCAAGAGCATAATTTTTATTCACTTCATCTCAAAGTAATTTCTAGTTCTCTAGCTACTTCTAATCTGATTTTACTTTGTAGCTTCCAACTAGTGTCATATGACAACACTTTGTCATGTGATTGAAACTGTAACCTATAGCAACGACTCTTTCTTCCAGTTATATCACAGATATAGGTGTCAATCAATTTGACTGACATGACTGAATCATTAGCCACTCCTCTAATGACATCAGAGAATGTATATCCATCAAAATCTTTCTTTTCATTCACCCAGAAACTCATGTCATGTTCAAACATCACTGGAAATAAACTGACTGGACTATATTCAAAAGAATTATCTCCCCTGATGGTACAATGTTTAGAAAAATCTAAATTATTTGAAAATAACAATTCAACATGAGGGAGTCTGAATGCTGCTATGGTCAGAAGATTTAAATCTAATACAAAAACTAAACAATTGACCGTGTTCTTATTTGAATGTCTCTTGTAAAACCACAGATGACCAATAGTTCTATCACTGAATTTTGAAGGACAATCAATGTCTACTTGTATAGAACCAATCTCAATTAAACCAGGCAGATCAATATCAAAATTTTCTAAAATATCATTTGATATTTTCAAGCCTGGAAAAGATGAATTCAGACAGGAGCTTAGAGTTTGGAAACCTGACGAAATATCTTCAGAATTACAAATTTCTTCATTTAAGCTGAAAGCTCCTAACATCTCCGATTTTACAGGACAAGTAAATGGGCTTATTTCACAAGGTCTAAACACATGTCCAGTCATCAGACATAGATGTTGCACTTTGTCCTTAATTCGTACATTGGAATCTGAAAATTGCTCACAATGTAAATTTTCCAGTTCATGATTTATTTCATTTACAATGGTTTTGCCATTATCAGCTGCTTCATGATTTGAATTTGTAATTTTGCTTAATAAAAACGGCAAATGTTCCAGTAGTGAAAATCTCAAATGACACTCAGACAATTTTTTAACTGTATCCACATCTGCTTGACACTCATTTACTTCCCCTTCTTGTGGATTATAAATTATCTCCCCTTCTGACAGACATGCATTTTCATTACTAAGTTCACTATGTCCATCAATATTTTGAAAGGCATATTTTTTCACAGCACAAATTTCAAAGGTTTGTTTCCCTTCAAACTGTGAATTCCCTGTTCTATAAAATCTCAATTCAAAGTTTTCAAAGTATTTTGATTTAGCCATTTCTCCATTAATCCCTGCAATTAATTCTTTCAGTGCATCTGGTCCCTCTTTTAAAACTGGGTCTGGTGCTGGAACCAGTTCAATAGAAAACTGTTCTGCTATATGACTTTCAAGGTGTTTATATACACGAGAAACTGGGTGATTTTCTTCTTTGAAAAGGTTTCTGGAAAATATAAAACTGACAAGTGCAATTAGAGACAACAATGAAATTCACACTGCTAATTAATAATGTGATGCAAGATATTTTTGTTAAGTACATGTACTTAAAAAAATATCTTACATCAAATTTTAGATATTATTAACAAGACAATTACAAATAATGCCCTATGGTTAGCAAAAAAATAAACAATATTCTTTCAAAACATATAAATATTACTCTTTTATTAATAACTAGTATTGTATCTATTTATCAAGACTATGCAATTTTCTTGTTAAATTTCTGCTTTCACACAAAGTGTGTATAAGGTGTAAAATTTAATTTTCAGTCTTACAAATCGTTTCTACTTATCAACTATGCTGTATACAACATTAACCACCTGTGAGGATGTTTGCTACTCTGTTTCAAAATAACAAGGTTTTTAAAAGACTGTTATAAATTGATAGTATATAGATAACAGAACTTAAAAAGAAGAAAAAAATGATGGGCATGTGCTTGTTTTTGAGATATAAGCCAATGAAAATTTGGCGGGAAATGATTTTCTCTAGATTTTTCATACAATTAACATGTGCAGCTTTTTTCTTTCAAATACTATGAAAAAATAACAAGGATTTTATAAGATTTTCAAATATGGCTTTTAAAACTATATGAAATAAAATTATGAAAAGAAAAGTAGGGCTTAGTGGGCAAAATTTTTACTAGGCACTAGATGGATAAAACCAGAGGATTCCGAATATCTGACAAAAATTCAAAAACAAGAGGAGCGAACATCCTTAATTGAGTTACAGTTGTGCCAGTTTTGATATCATGTGACAAACATAATCATTAGCCATAGCATAGGTTAAAACATCAACAATAAGATTTACTCTCAAATAATAATTATATTGGTCCATTGATTTTTCTTATTTTATGATGCTATGAGATACAGTTTGAAAAATGTAGGTCACTGGTTTGGGCTTTTAGCCTTCTAACATCATGGATGCTATAAAATTACACCACAGTTCACATAATATTATTCAGATTTATTCTCAGTATGGAAAATTTGCCTAGTATTTACTTAACATTTCCATAAAAATAGTAAATATATAAACTTACCTTGAAATTCTTCTGTTTAAATATTCAGATTTGATAAAAGTTAATGGAATACTTTCTGTTGGTAATGGAATTATGTCCCCTTTCTGAAAGACATGAGTTATTGCCCTTTCTGTGTTAAATCCTTTATCTTGACTCCTGTAAAAGAAATGTAAACTAAATACCTAATATTATTGATGAGCTATGATTTTTTGTAGATTTGATAGCTTAATAAAGTGGAAGTTGCACCCCATAATTATTATATAGTTTATCTCAACTGTTCAGTTTATTGTACTCTTCATATAAATCTATTAGGTGTAATACCACCATTGATTTTCCCCTATTAGTCTTTGTTAAATTTGCACTTTTCAAAAAATTGTGCAGAATTTATCTTTGTTTCAAATAAAGAAATACTTTGCATGAGTAAAGTTTTATTCTGTCCAGTACTATAGAAAAAATTTCACATAACATTTCATTGCATATAAGAAAAATAACCATCACTGGAAGTTAACCAATCAAATTTTCACCTCTATTTTACCTGTGTACAAGTTTTAGTAACCATGTAACCTCAAATTTCCAAAATATTCTATAGAAACCCCAAATAAAAAAATAATGGTGCTTTGAAATACCCAAGATATATGTTTATGACCCAGAACTGTTTTACTGCAATGAAATGTAGAATTAATTACCTACAACTGTCAAATTCAAGGGATTATTTTTTTCGACCTATTTTCGTATGCAACCGGATATGACGTACTATATTTGGTGGTATTACACCTAAAATTGTTAGTACTTTCAAATCAAATACATTCAAGTGAAACACTTGATTTAGGTCACTTTATCTTCAATTTAAAGTTCGCCAAATTATATTTATAAAAGTTTTGTAAAAATATGGATTAGGTAAAATATTATTCATTTATGACATTGCAAATCAAGTGTACAACTGATTACAAAATCTATTAAAAATCCTTGCGTTAACAGAAGAAAAAAACAAAGAACCCTGCAAAGTACTTTCAGAAATATATAACTAACATCACTAATGTCTCATTGCGGCTTTAAGATGACGAACAGCAATAATAGCCCTGTTCCTTTGGTTTTTGTCGAGCCTTCGACTTTTGTCGAAAAAGCGAGACATAGCGATCCTAAATTCCGTCAGCGTCGGCGGCGTCCACAAATATTCACTCTGTGGTTAAAGTTTTTGAAATTTCAATAACTTTCTTAAACTATCCTGGATTTCTACCAAACTTGGACAGAAGCTTGTTTGTGATCATAAGATAGTATCCAGAAGTAAATTTTTTAAAAAAAAAAATCCGGTTTTTCCGTATTTTACTTATAAATGGACTTAGTTTTTCTGACAGGAAACATTACATTCACTCTGTGTTTAAAGTTTTTAAAATTTTAATAACTTTCTTAAACTATCCTGGATTTGTACCAAACTTGGTCAGAAGCTTGTTTATGATCAAAAGCTAGTATCTAAAAGGAAATTTTGTTAAAATTTTGTACCTGTTTATCCGTATTTTACTTATAAATGGACTTAGTTTTTCTTCCAGTTAACATTACATACAGTCTGCAGTTAAAGATTTAAAACATTTATAAGATTCATAAACTATCCTGGATTTTTACCAAACTTGGACAGAAGCTTCTTACAATCAAAAGATTGTGTCGAAAGGAATATTGTTAATTTTTTTTTTTCCTCATTTTTGTTGAGCCTGCGAAAGCAAAAGTAGGCGAGACACTGGGTTCCGCGGAACCCTTACAAATTTTTGTATGTTTGTATTGTTCTTTTGTTCATTGTTGTGGTTTAAATCAGGCTGAAATTTTTTCTTTTTTCTTTCACCTTTTGTCATTGCTTTCTTTAGGTTGTCAGTTTTGCTCATTGTTTATGGCCATAGAATGGATGACCTGTAATTATTCACATTTGTCCTTTGGTCAATGATTGTTGTCTCAATAGCAATCATACCTCTTATTTTTATATTTTTAACAATGTACCTGAAACCTGTGGAAGAATATTCCTCAAAGTCATTGACTACAAATGGCCAAACATCTTTCAAAATGAGTCCAGCATTAGCTGCCATAGAAACGACCTGCCAACTGTCATGCCAAGCCCTCATTGGTTTGTCTGCAGGTGTTCCACCTTGACCTTTACATAATGTCATTAAAATCTGTCCTTTGTCTGTAATGAAATTCACAGCACTGTAACGAAAAAATGTTGGTTGAAATAACTATAAAATCAAAAATGCAAAAGGTTGCTCTGGGAGAGACCACAGCAATTTGATAAATGATATTTCTAAAACATAATTACTGTGGATTCATTTATTTTTGTGGGTATCAATTTTCATGGATTCAGGAAAGCTTGCATTTTCATGGATATTTTATTTTGTGGTTTTGCCAATCTCTGCATACAAAGTCTTTGGAAAATTGGCAATTCATTGGATATTTGAATTTGTGGTTCACTTGCAACCATGAAACCAACGAAAATTGGTATCTAACGAATAATAATGAATCCACAGTAAATCATGCCTTTTTCTTTTGCTTGTTGTTCATTTAAGGGCTGAAGACATTCCATAAGGGCTCACATTCAGTGACATTTAAGCATCTAATCAAATCTTAACATATTCTAAAGTAGTAATATATATTAGCAATTAAATTTCTATCAATGTGCAACAAGAGTGTCACTCCAAACGATTGGTTTCTTTTAAAAATTTGCATAATAGGTCATAAAAACATAACCCCTTGTTTTTAGATACATGTATTACACAAGCAACAATCAAATCAAATAGAGCAAGCCTTAAAACCTGATTTTAATGAGATTGATATTTTTGTCATTTGATATCTCTCAATTTTATATCATGAAAACTATTCCTGAAGTTCTTTGGTTATTTGTGTAGTCTGGTAACTATTTGATTGATTGACAAATGTCCCATATCGACTTTTATTGATATGGTATCTTTGGAACAAACATCAAACTAAAATAAAATTACACATACAAGCTGTAAAGATTCTGCACCTGATTATCCAAGAAAATAATTACAGCAGACACTCAATTAAATTTTGTTAATTGATGTTTTTTTTCCAAATAATGGTTTGTTTCACAGAAATTATGAATAGGGCAGCATGTATTTATCTGAGCCGCCTAGGTCGTAGGGTTTCTAATCTTGTAAGTTTTTAATTTTAGTTCATTAATATGTTTAGGAGTTTAGTATGACGTCAATTTTCACAGAACTAGGACACATTTTAGTTTAGGGGCCAGCTGAAGTCCACTCTGAGTGCAGGATTTTCTCACTCATTGGTGGCCTTCGTCTGTATTTTTTACTCTTTGGTCGAGATGTTGTCTCTTTGACATATGCCTCACTCCCATTCTCTATTTTATCATTTTATAATGCGTTTATTTTTTATTATCAAAATTTGTTTCTACTCCGGGATAAGAAAATAAAAATTAATAGGTCAAGGGAGATAATTAAAACCGCAAAAATATCTGTATTTTTATTATAAAACAAATTCAGTTTAACGCCATATAACACATTTTTAGTTAGCTTAATAGTAACTCAAATAGTATAAAAACACATAGAGTGGCATGAAAACATGAAGCGTTACCATGTTGTATAAGCAACAAGAGTGCACACGCTGAAATGTCTCGCCTTCTTTACTAATCATTGATATTATGTTGATAGTCCTAAATATAAAGCTTTACTACAACTATCACATACACTTAACATGATCCAAGAAAATGAGGTCAAGGTCATATAAACCAAACAAGAAATACATGTACACCTTACAATCATTCAATACACTAAATATAGTTGACCTATTGTTTATAGTTTCTAAGATACAGACTTAACCAAGAAAACTAAACATTGACCAATGAACCAAGAAAATGAGGTCAAGGTCAGATGAACAATGCCAGGCAGACATGTACTACAGCTTGCAATCCTTCCATACAACAAATATAGTTGACCTATTGCTTATAGTATTAGAAAAACAGACCAAAACACAAAAACTTAACACTGAGCAATGAACTGTGAAAATGAGGTCAAGGTCAAATAAAACCTGCAAGACTGACAGGTACATCATAAAATATTTCCATACACCAAATATAGATGACCTATTGCATATAGTATTAGAAAAAAAGACCAAAACTCAAAAACTTAACTTTGGCCACTGAACCATGAAAATGAGGTCAAGGTCAGAAGACACCTACCAGCTAGACATGTACACCTTACAATCATTCCATACACCAAATATAGTAGACCTATGGCATACAGTATAAGAAAAACAGACCAAAACACAAAAACTTAACTATAACCACTGAACCATGAAAATGAGGTCAAGGTCAGATGACACCTGCCAGTTGGACATGTACACCTTACAGTCCTTCCATACACTGAATATACTAGACCTATTGCTTATAGTATCTGAGATATGGACTTGACCACCAAAACTTAACCTTGTTCATTGATCCATGAAATGAGGTCGAGGTCAAGTGAAAACTGTGTGACGGGCATGAGGACCTTGCAAGGTACGCACATACCAAATATAGTTGAACTATTGCATATAGTATTAGAAAAAAAGACCAAAACTCAAAAACTTAACTTTGACCACTGAACCATGAACCACCTTACAGTCCTTCCATACACCGAATATACTAGACCTATTGCTTATAGTATCTGAGATATGGACTTGACCACCAAAACTTAACCTTGTTCACTGACTGAGGTCGAGGTCAAGTGAAAACTGTCTGACGGGCATGAGGACCTTGCAAGGTACGCACATACCAAATATAGTTATCCTATTACTTATAATAAGAGAGAATCTAACATTACAAAAAATCTTAACTTTTATTTCAAGTAGTCACTGAACCATGAAAATGAGGTCAAGGACATTGGACATGTGACTGACAGAAACTTCGTAACATGAGGCATCCATATACAAAGTATGAAGCATCCAGACCTTCCACCTTCTAAAATATAAAGCTTTTAAGAAGTTAGCTAACGCCGCCGCCGCCGCCGGATCACTATCCCTATGTCGAGCTTTCTGCGACAAAAGTCGCAGGCTCGACAAAAATGTGATGATGGATGCTCTGCAGAATTGATTAGGGAGCTACCATTTGATTTTTATGGGGGGAGGGGGGGGGGGGGGGCCTAGGATGAAAAATTTTGTCCTGCATTATTTTTTAGTTGTAATCTCTGTCCTGCCTTTTTATTTTTCACTCTATTCTGTCCTGCCTTTTTTTTATTAGTTTATCCTGACTTTTTTTACATAAATTGTCATCCTGCCTTTTTTTTTGCCAAGTTGCTCATCCTGCCTTTTTTTTTACTCAAAACTCCTGTCCTGCCTTTTTTTTCAAATTTCATCCTAGCCCCCCCATAAAAATAAAATGGTAGCTCCTTTACCAAGGGTAACATCTAGCAGAAAAATCCTTTCACCTTTATATTTGTTTCATGCTTCATAAGGAACTTATTTTTAAAAGTATTGATTGCCAAATGCATGAAAATAAAGTTACAAATGTTACAAAATTATCTCTATTTCGGAGAGCCAACTTTTGAGTAAAGGAATGCCGACAACATACCCTACAATATTTCATTTTATACTAGAATTAGCTGTGTTTATTTCCTAAACATAGTAATAAAGCTATATTTTGTGCAATGTCAATTTCATCAAGTAACACTTTTTCCACAACTAGGGGTTAGTTTAGGGATGAAAATAAGTTTGCAATTTGTGCCAAAAGTAAAATAGCTATCAATGTATTAATTTAAGTTGCAGTATAAAAACAATATTAGTTCCCTCATTATTATAATCCTTTTTTGTATTTGGAACAAAAATTTTAGAGACATGTTTAAACCATTGTAAAAACTTTAAGATCAAGGAACAGTAAATGGCTATGTCACAGATTTTGGTATGATTTTGCATACAATTTTGGCTTGCTGAACTTTAATAACTGAAAATCGAAAAAAATAATACTTTATCTCTTATATTATCTGAAATATTGCTGAATGTGCATGTATTCTTTCAAAATAGGTGAATATTTGTAAAGATAGAACACAGAATAAGCAAAAAACGTTCAATTTGTTTTAAAATCATAAAATCTAAAATTTCTATTCCATAGATTTAAAAAAGAAAAATACATTGTTGACCAGTACATGAATTCCGGTTTTAATGATGTAAAATAATCATGGGGTCACTGATTTCGTTTTTATGGTATTTACCAATCTGTTATCTAGTTGGTAGTGAAATACGTCAAAAACAACTTTTACGGCCTATATTGCGATGACGTTACGCTTATTTCGACTTTTTGTTGTAATTTTTCACACAACACTTTTAATGATATATAACGTGAAGACTCTATGATTGTTTTACATCATTAAACCAGAAATTCATGTACCAACAACATCAGTCATCTGGAAGGATTTTTTCTCTATGGGCCCAGGGACCCCAAAAATAAATTCAATGGGCCATTTTTAGAATTAATGGGCCATGTTGTCAAATGAGTGGGCCATTCGTTTACAATTAAAAAAAAATTAAAAAAAGTGTATATTTCACTGTACTTACAAGTTTGATTCTAATTAATATCATGGATATTGATCCTGTGATTTTGTAATTTCAATTTCAATGAATATACAATAACTTCTTCCAAACCGGGCAATATTGACAATACCCTTTATTTACAATGTTAAAACTTGTATTGTTCCCTTGTTCATGTTATTTTTTACATTAAATTTGGGTCTTCGTCGATACCATACTTATTCCAGACGTTCCGTATTAGAGGACGTTTCTGGCATTTCCTCTGCACTTGTATTATTATTACTTCATCACGATGACAAGAATAACAGTAGAGAGCAACGTTAATTGATAAGACACAACAACAATTCACTGAAGGCATGTTTACAAAATGTCAAAACGAGCCAAAGACCAAAAAAATTGACAAGGACAGTTAAGCCCCTTTTATGGAGACAAATACTATGCTATTCATAAAAAGGCTTTTGGATTTTTCAATCGAAATAATAGCAAGCTTACTTAAAAAAAGATTATAATTAGAGAAGAATTCTCGCCTGTACTAGCCAATTTTCACAAATTTAAAGTTGTTTATAAAAAATTATATCATGAATGATGGTTAATTACGTTTTTTGGGTAATCAGTCATACCGCATGTTGCTATTATTACTATAGGAAAACACCCGAGATGTCCCAAAAATATATAGGTGTTCCTATCATTGGAGTAAACACTACACAGTTGTGTACTCACACATGGCGGCACGAAATACGATCGGAAATCTATTTGACGATATCTCAACGTTTCAAAACGAAGTGAAAAATATCATGCGCCTCGCGGGCGCTTACATTTGTCACTCTATGCGCCATTTCTGGTCGATAAGCGCAATTGGCGCAAGGCGCACGTCCTTCCCGATTACTGCAACATATAGTTTTTTAAGAAAGAAGAAGGTGTAGTATCAAGCAAGAAAAAGATTAGTTTTGTGGTGTCATAAAACATAAATATAAAATTCTACTGTCAAATTTGAGTAGCACTGAAGTCACTTCCATTAAGATAGTTTATGTTACCTGCAGAAGAAGTCAGACAACAGCTTTCTATTTTTCTTATGATTAGACTTCCCACCAGAATGAGGAAAATTGAAAATAATTCTATCAAATTTCACATTCTTGAATCGTGGATCCGTGTGAACTTTAGTAGCATCTGTTGCCAGGTAGACTGTAACACCTACAATTGAAAACAAAAAGAATGCCATGAAAATACATTTATGAACTTTCTTTAAAACTGACACCATTTGTTTATAGCAAAAGGGAGATAACTGTTTGTAATTTTCCTATCCTTAAATTTAAATAAGACTACAAGAAATTCAGTTATGTAAGATTATCTGATTTCCTCTATTTTCAAATATTTGAGCAATAAATTAATACTTAACTAATTTTTTTCATCTCTTTAGCAAAAGGGAGATAGCTATTGTACTTGAACTTTTTTTGTTTAAAAACTGGCACCATTTAAATTTCTTATACATTGTAAATATATATATATAGATTCTACCACTGCATTGAGTGTGATACGATATTTATCCAGTCAAGACAGTTAAATTTTCACAAATTTAAAACGCTAGGCTTGCTGAGCGTTTTAAATATTTGAAATTTAATAAGTGTCGAGAGTGGATAAATATAGCATTACACGAGATTTGGTGGTGGAATCTGTTTCTCTAATGATTTTCAAACAATATGCAGGCGAACTTATTCAATCTTTTCGAATAATCTGTAAAAAGATGTGTTCTTTCTATGTGACGTCATCAGGCATGGTCGCCTTTTTTCATGCCGTCACAATAGGAAATTCAGAGGAAAGCAAGTAAATTCGACGTCATAATCGGATTTTAACCAATGAAGAACTGAGATCAAACAAACCACATGTTGATTAAATTTTTTTATACAATGGGTGCAGAAAGGGATAAATTGACAAAGAATTAGAGAAATATATATATACATAATGATATGTGTTAATTTTATTGTGAGAATTATATAAGCTTCATATAAAATTTCTTTCACAAGTTTCAGCAACAAAGTTTCAATTTCCCTTATGCCAACCAAATGGCACAGACATACCATGTAATTTCTATCATAAAAGATTTGTACATCCTACACATTAGAAAATTAAGTCAATAACTGATACTTGAAATGTTTAACATTTTGTCATGTTGGGGTCTTTTATAGCTAACTATACAGTATAGGTTTTGTTTATTGTTGAAGGCAGTACAGTCACCTATAGTTGCTTACATTGTCTTCATTTGGTTACCTGGTGGTTAGATGTCTCATTGGCAATTATACTACATTTTCATATTTTCATAAGCATATATTCTGAGATCATTGTTCAGTAGCAAGGACTAGGTTGCCACACAAGAAAGGTAGAAGTGGCAAAACTTATTTGAATTGTAGCATAAATTGCAATGAATCAGATCAGTGGTTGTTGTTGATTCATGTCTGTCATTGTTTTCCCTAAATCGTTTTGTTATAAACTAGGCTGTTAGTTTTCTCAATTGAATTGTTTCATATCAGGTCTTTTATAGCCAACCATTAGTATGGGTTTTTCTCAATGTTTAAGGCAAAATAAATGCCTTTAATTGCTTATATCCACTTCATTTGAACCTCGGTGGATAGTTGTCTCATTGGCAATCATACCACATCTCCTTATTTTTATATACTAGTCATGTGTACAATTTATATATACCATGTTCTTTCAATAGCTCTATATTTTCCAATGCTGTTTTGTGTTTCTGAATCGACTCTTCTGTCTCAAAACTAGTTGACACCATAAGCTTTCTGTATTGTTTTGATAGGAACTTCACCATGGCAACAGAAAAGGAGAAATCTCCTTCACCAAGAAGTAAAATCTGACCTTCAAATGAAGAATTCATCCTGAAAATACACATGTATTATTTTATAGTGCCAAGGAATTTAATCAGAATCTTCTGTCGTAGTTGCATATATATGCATTCCGAATTTTCATTCAAGAACTTCAAGGGAAGTGAATTATAATTCTTTACCCCATCAAAATATATGACAGCAACATGTTAAAAAATATTACATTGGTTGCAATAAAAAACTTATTTCCCAGTAAAATAAAACCAATATTTCACATAAATAAAACTATGAATTTATTATCATTTGTGGGATACATGTACCAATTTAGTTTATTTCATAGGTAAAAATTCAAAATGAATTTAATTGTCCAGCAAAGTGCAAATTTTTCATACGTCTGTACGAAGACTTCAAATGGCAGACCTATTAAATCAAATATATCCACGAAAATATACTTTTTCCTCAATCCTTGAAAATTGGTAACCACAAAAATAAATGAATCTTCAGTAATATATCCTGTTTTATCACTACTCTAATAGGTGTTGCAATGCCAAATGACCATTAATTATAATTTAAAGAAAAAATGAATCATAATTTCATTTAATCAGAGATTTTATATGTCTCTGATTTAATTTATTACCTTTATTTTACCAAATGATATGTTTCTGAACACGAATAAGAACAAAGTAGAAGTCTGTTCAAATTCTCCAAAGACTAACAGAACTGTACATCTTTATGTTTATGAAGATTGCTTTGCATAGAACACCCGCATCTTTCTAAATAATCATGTGGTGAATTATGGTCATTTACCTAATAGATTAAAAATAAATCATCATAAAGTATGCTACATATACAAACATGACAAACAAAGATATAATGATTGATACATGTTGAAAAGATGACAAAATATTTTCGACCTATAAGGATATAAATATATATTAAGAATTTGTGCAATGCTACTGATAATAGATTAAATTGAACAAATAAGATGAAATGAATCAAATAGACAGGTATTTTGACATAACAAATGGTCTTTTCAGTCTCAAATTTTCAAATTTTGATAAAACAATTAGTTCTTTATATCATCATGATCATAAAATAGTGAATGGAAACAGGGAATGTGTAAAAGAGACAGCAAACCGACTAAAGAGCAAAAAATCAACCCAAGGGTCACCGATGGGTCTTCAAAGCTGCAAGAATATCAGCCTTTATGTAAAATTATGTATTGCCATACAGCATGTCAATAAAATTGAAAATGGAAATGAGGAATGTGTCAAAGATTGAGACAACAACCCAATTAAAGTGCAGAAAACAGTCGAAGGCCACCAATGGGTCTTAAAGTTTTAACACGGTGAGAAAATCAAGTATGCTTTGGCAAATAAATATCCATTCAGTTTTAATAGTCTTGTCTATTAGACATGTTAAATTGTAATCCAACTTATGATTTCTTTGTCATTTACCGACCAAAATACAAACAATTACTTTGAGTACATGTAATAAAAAGTTTAGCAAATCAACTTAATCGATTATCATGTAAATAAATTTTCACACCTTTTAAAATAAATATCTATAAAAAAGATTAACAAATTGTTTTAATCATATTAATAATTTTCACACCTTGATAATATTGAATTATGTTTATTATTTTTTTCTATTTTATAAGCAATGTTTGATTTAAAATGTTATGACTATTATAATGATTTAAGTTAAATCTTCAAAACAAATGTTAACATGGTTAATGTTCAACAAATTCCATACTTTCATATATTGTACTAGAGTACTAAGTCACATTCTTTTAATTCATGGGGAATGTGTCCATAGGGACACAGATGATGCCCCCGCTAGCATATAACGTTATAAAGGGACATAACTCAAAAACTGTAATAGTGACTCAACCAAAATTTAAACTCGATCTGTGATTCGTGGTAATGAGCATTGTGTATAAGTTTTATAACATTTGCAATTGGCTGAAGAAAACTAAAGTTAGAGAACAGAAACGAAAAATTCAGCATTTTTTTTCCATTTTTAAGGGGGTTTAACTCTAGAACGGTAAAAGTGACACCACCAAAATTCATTCTAGCTAATGTAAAAAATTTGGTGTTTAAGTGGTTGACAAAGTCAAAGGCGTGTGTCTCATAAAAATCCAATCAACTTGATATAATTGAAACTCTGTCTCTGCATTCGTTTTGATCCACAAACATCTCCTGTTACGTGACATTTTTCTCCATTCCTCATATTTTAGCCCATTATTCTTTAATCTGAAAACCCCTATCCACACCTTCTTACATGACCGAAGCGGTACATGGCCGAAACGACCAAGGCCTAAACGACACCACCCCATGGCCATGGCCGAAAAAACGTCTTGTTTCAACTTCTATGACCAGAGAAATGAAAGGGATATTTCGTTTTTTATCCATTTTACATTAATTTAGAGGTAAGATTTCTTAAAAAATGTTTTTGTTTTGTCTTTAAAAAATCGTGCTTGAGGTATATCATATCACATGGAAATTTCTAAAATTTAGAAAAATATGGTATTAAAATTTACCGGAAATGCTTCTCACAATATAAAACAAAAGTAAAACCGGATTGCATAAAAAATATTCCGACATCTGTCATAAGTTTCCTTTTCTCTCATTCATGATTTATACTTTAAAAGTGTGGTCTGATTTAGATACATTTGCTTAGTTGATTTATGTTTAGTCAATTTGTATATATTTATTATTTTTTTTAGCTTTTTGGCGATAGAAAATCAAATGACGAAGAAGAGATTCCGACTTCCCGTCACCGGTAATTTTTTAGTAACACCTTCAGGTGATACGGAAGTTGAATTGTTGAATGTTTTGTTCAGGTGTTGAAAACTCATAAATAATTTACAGAGTGTTTCCATTTACGATGATAACAAGCTGACGGAGAATTGTGCTATTTTAACTAAATATAAGATATATTGCAATCAAAATAATCAACAATGCTAATTTTTCCAAAACAAATAAAACTCATCACCTTGAAATTTGTGGTTCTCATATCCGTCAAGTTGGTTGTTACACAATCTGTGAACTGTCCCTGTGAATCTCAATCTTTGTGTCGGATAAATAATTTTACTAACCATCGAGAGGTAAGAAATTAAGTAATTAATGTTTGAAAAATGATTGAATAAAATTGAGAATGGAAATGGGGAATGTGTCAAAGAGACAACCCGACCTCTGAGGGTATCGGGTCCGTTCGCGCCCAATACACGTTCGCACCCTACACGTTCGCACCCCACACGTTCGCCCCCTGGGTCCGTTCGCACCCCTTTTTTTTTATTCAAAAACCCGATGAATTATAAGATGTTTTTTAAGATGTTTATCTCAAAATAAAGAAAAATTCGGCAATTTTAGAATTTTTTAAATGAAATATTGTTTTAATTTGATGATTAATTATTTATGATAACTGTTAATTATATATGGTGTTTACACAGCTAAACTTGATGACCCATCATGTAAATTCTGCATGTAGTTATATTAGCATGTATTTAACTTGGTATGAGTAAAAACAATTAAGATTCAAATTGTTATTGTTGTTGAGTTTAAAGCGGTTTGGTATCTTAACATTTAAATAATATTCAACACAAAAAACCTTTTTAGAAAGTCACTTTATTTTGAAACAATGAAAAAAAAATATAGCAATACACTAACTAAAACACGATTAAAAAGATATTCAACACAAAAAACTTCACTTTATTTTGCATGTTTTGAAACAATGAAAACAAACTTATAGCAATACAATAACCAAAACACGATTAAAAAATTATTCAACACAAAAATCGTTTTTATAAAGTCACTTCATTTTAAAACAATGAACAAAAAAAATATTTATAGCAATACACTAACCAAAATACGATTGAAAAATTATTTAAGACAAAATCAATAAAAAGGGTGCGAACGTGTAGGGTGCGAACGGACCCGGGGTGCGAACGTGAAAGGGGGCAAACGTGAATGGGCGCGAACGGACCCGGATTCACCTCGGAGCAGAAAATAGCTGAAGGCCACCTGTGGGTCTTCAACACAGCGAGAAAATCCTGCACCCAGACGCATGCCTAAACAAAAATGTGTATAGTTCAGTGATAATGGACGTCATTCTAAACTCTGAAATATATAAATGAACTAAAATTAGAATCAACCACAATTTATGAAGGTAGTAGGAATGGGAGATTCCTGGTCAGTTCGTCCAAAATCATGTAGGTTCCCATTCATGTGGGCCCCTTTCACATTTGTACCCCACATATTCACACCCCCATGACCCCTATTAAAGGTTCTGTGTTGAAAATTTTTTAAATCTTTGTTTAGTAAGTTCATTGAACATGTTGAAAAGAAATAAAGATAAGCTTTTTTTCTTGTTTTGAAATAAAGTGTAATTACAAAAATGTAAACAGGTTTCAATCTGTGTTTTGTGAATTATTTTGGACGAAATGAAAAAAAACAATATTGGCTTTATAACAAATGTTTTATAAGGCCAAGTTCATTTATCTAATACTTGTAAAAGACAAGGAGAAGATAAAATGTACCAACAGCTATTAAACATTTATCAAATTGGTCCCTGACACTGCCGCGACAATAACGCATATGGAAAAAAAGAGCCACCATCACGCACAACTATCATGATTTTCAAACGTATATCTAAAATAGCCTTGTAAATATCATACATGTATATTTATTATGTTTAATCAGAGACAATTATAATATGTCTCTGGATTAATATTTACTCAACTGATCACAAAACAATAATTTTTCAATTTAATAAAAAATTCACGAATTTATGAAAACATAAACATTGTGATGATAGATACATATAAGCAGATAAGTGTTAATGATTTAACCTGTATTTGAATAAAAATTTGAGCAGGAATGTGTGTGGGGTGCAAACATGTTATCATGGTTATGGGAATGAAAAGACCCGATACCGGAATGGCATACCCTACATGACAAATGACAGTAAAATATTTGTTCAAATAACTATAAACATGATGAATAAATTAACTGCATTTGATGCTAAAATATAATGGTAGCTACTGTCATTTACTGTACATTTTGTACACAATGAGATTTGACAATGATGATAAAAAAATAGAGGCTCATTTGACACTAACGTCAGCCAAAAAGGAAAGTTTGGCTGTTCATGTTCATTTATATACATGTATTGGGTCCATTCCATTGCCCACATAAAAAGTCCTTAGTCAAGTGGTCCCTATAAGATGTTCCAAGTCATATCATGATCCCATAAGATGTCCCAAGTCAAATTATCCTTATAAAATGCTTGCCTTAGGGCAAGGTTGGCAAAAAAGCGGTCAATACTAGTATTGACCATGCCGGCGGTAAATACCGGTAAATACCGGGAAATACTGGTCAATACTGGCAAATACTGGTCAATTGAAATTTTGATAGGACTTTACTATAAAACTAGTCCCTACCTCAGGTCAATTACTTGGTAAATGGATAGATATAGTCACAAGGCAGAAAGTCACTTATTTACTACATTGTGATAAGACAAAAAGTCACAATTAATTAGTTCATGAACATGGTTTAATGAAGATTTATCAAATATTAATTTAATCATACAACAGATATAGTCATTAACACCATGAAGTCAGTCACTTAAGAGAGACTATATAACATCTGATTTTCTTAACAATTATTTTGAAAGATGCAATTAAAAAATTTAAAAAAAATTGTTTTATATATATATATGTTATATATTTATTAAAAAAAACATTTCCTGCATTTAGAACATTTTTATCATGCTGTTGAATAGTCAGGAATTAATTCATTGTTTAAAACATGCAATCTTTAGAAATCACTTTTATGACTTTTTTCCTGTTATGTCAACATTTATTAGGGGACAGTTGTTATAGTAATTAAACTTTTGACACCTGTTAGCCATATAATAGGTAATGTTCTGATAATCTATATTGCTAGTCACTTGTAATTCTATTTACCTGTAAAATTCAAACCTTTTCAAGAAAAAAATATCTTGATTTATACATGTTAGAATAACTGATATAGCTGCTCAATTTTATATGTATACCAAAAGTATGCAATATCATTACCCCTAAGAACTAAATTAGTCATTTTTAAAGTTTTAATAATTAAAAACATACCAATATCATTCATTTTTATAAATTGAATCATGCCAAAGGAATAAAGTTTTCCCTCATCAACCATTTTTTTACTAGAATTGAAAGATAAGTCAGTCAAAAGAAGCATGAAAATTTCAATTGACCAGTATTTGCCAGTATTGACCACTTGGGGAGTATTGTCCAGGGCGGTAAATACCAGTAAATACCACTGGTAAATACCGGGGGTGGTAAATACCGCCCAACCTTGCCTTAGGGCAATTGGCCCACATGACATGTTTGCCATAGGTCACATTGCCCACATACATGTACATGTAACATGTTTGCACCAGATCAGTTTGCCTTTCTGAATCTGTACATGTAGTACAAGGAATTCCCCCTTCAAAGGAGATCTTTTTTCAAAATCTGTTAAAATTTCAAGTTTAACATGTTAAAGACTTGCATTTTTTTTTGTCACTATATTTACATGATTTATAGGTCTACATGTATATTTATTAAAATATCCTATATTTTTTTGTGTTTTTTTTTAAGCCATCAACAGCATTGTCAGTTTATTTTCAACTTATTAATTTCAATGTCCCTCTTACATGTATCTTTTGCCTCTCTTTTACACTGTACTAGGATAAACAATTTAAAAAAAGAATACGCCTGTGGGGTGCATATTAATTGGCTACAGTACCTGTTCTTTTGCTGGACAGTAAGGCCTCAATAATTTTTATAAACATATCTGCCCTAGATCAGTTCACCAGGGTTCGGTTGCCCTATTTTTAATTTTTTTCCCAGCTGTTGGCCTCATATTTATATCGGTTTAATGAATTTAATAAGTACATGTATTAACAGGTTTTTTTTTTTAGTGGGCATTATATTTTCGGTCTGTGCATTTGTCATGTTTGTTCCTTTCTTTTGTTTGTCCATCCGTCCGTTCATTTGTTTTTGATGAAGTTGAAGTCCAATAAACTTCTTCCCTATGATCATATGACCTTTTTACTTTTAATGCCAAATTAGAGTTTTGACCTCAATAATTCACGGTCCACTGAACATAGAAAATGATAATTCCCGCTTCAGGTTAAAGTTTATGGTCAAGGTAGCTTTTGATGAAGTTGAGGTCCAATCAACTTGAAACTTAGTACACATGTTGCCTATGATATGATCTTTTTTATGTTAAGGTCAAAGAGTTTTTACCCCACTTTCACGGTCCACTGAACATAAAAAATGGTAGTGCGAGTGGGGCATCCATGTACTATGGACACATGTAAATTAGATTTCCCCTGATTTCGCATGTTTAATCGTGTTGATGACTATACGAAAGTTTAAAGTAACGATGATATTTAACATGTTAAATATTCAAATAATAATAATAATTTTTAAATATTTGACATGTTTGATGACAAAAATTGATATTAACATGATTAAGTTAAACTACAATGCATCAGAGACTTTCTACTACATTTGAACCATGATTAAATAAAGTCACTAAATGCACATTTATAAGATTGAGTAATTATTATCTAATTTAAATGTTTTTTGTTTAAAAGGTACTACAGGAATGATGACAACACAATAACATGAATAAAAATATACAATATGAAGCTGCCAAATGTCTGAAAATATCAACAAACAATGACAAAGGGAAACTTTGGAAGGGCAAACTCAACTGTTTTGTGTTGAATACCACATACACCAGAAATAACATATTTCTGAATTGGGCTTGTATTGATTTTATACTGCAACTATAAAAAGTTTTGATAATAGCTGTGAAAGTCTAAACATAAAACTTATTTTTCATCCCCAAATGAGCCCCTGATTGTGATGGAATGTGATTGGCATGACATTTAATATACAATAATACACATGCTATTTATTAAGGGAATATGGACAACATGCACAAACTGTTTTAGCTGCAGAAAAAAAAAAAACTTGACTTATACACCACATCTTTTTAGTTTTAAAAGCGAACAGCAATGAACAGTATTTGATACATTGTACATGTACAAAATGGTATATATTTTGTGGTCAATTCTTAATGGCACTCGTTATATTATGATCATGAATAAAAGGAGATGGAGAGTTTATGACAGTGCGACAGAAACACAAAATTCAATAAGCTAGAACATGTATCATGTGTATAATACATACTTATTCAAGTGTTTTTTTATTTACCGGTACAGTAGGAGGTACTTATACATATTTAGCATAGAGTTATATCCCTTTAACTTTGAAGTTTGACATTTTGACATTTAAGATTTTTTTTTAAACTTTTATAAGTAAAAAAGTCTCACTGTGAATTCATTCATTTTTGTTGCTACCAATTTTTATTTTATGTTTGTACTGATTTTCATGGATTGAGGAAAACTTGTCTTTTTGTGGATATTTGATTTCATGGTTTTGTGAAAGTCTGCATACGAGCTTAAATAAAATGTGTAACTGGTTGAACATTTAAATTCATGGTTCATCTGTAAACACCAAATCCACGAATATTGGTATCCCACGAATAATAATGAATACAGAGTAATGTATTTTTAGTGACACACCTGCCTTAACACACCTGCTGTTTCCTGATTCTAATGGTTTCATTTTAGTTTTTAAATTCAAATGATTATTTTGTTTTATTTAGGTTACTGTCATAACAGAAAAGAAATCTGACTTTAAGAAATGGACCTGGGAAGGAATACACAACGTTATTCATGTAGTCAATGGTACAGATAGTGAGGATGAGGCAGATCTTATGTGTTATACACATAGCAAGAAAGCTAACTATGGAATTCTAGGTAAGATGTACATTTGTCATGTTTGTATATTCCAGAGACATATATGATGCATAATAAATAATTATCTGAGTATTCAAACTGTTCTAGTAACATGAGTATACGTTTCAACTCGAATTTAAGTCCCTGAGTTCTTAACTCACCATTTTGAAGGTTGGTCCTACGCTCCCATTAAGATCCTTTGAGCTGAGTCTAGAAATCATCATACAAATTTTCTCCCAATTTTATTATGACCAGAAGCCTTGTAATGAGTTCATGTTTTACCGTTAATTATTAGGTTTATGCTGATAATGATTTTCTTTAAAGTTTTTGACTAGCTAGTTCCTAGACTCATCTGAAAAAATACTTTGTGAGAAACTTTCTAACATTTTTTGGCATTATTGAGTTTAACTATGAGTATCAGAACAAAATGCTCTTATTTCATCGGAATAAAAATATATCAGGGACTGTGGATATAAAAGATCAATAAATATAACACATGTATAACACATGTATCACACATGTATCACACATGCATACTCTGTTTCACAGTTTGAAGCTTAATTGTTTAAAGTAAAATAGAATTGGTGATCATCAGCGGTCTGCCCAATACCAACACGTTGAAATACGATGGCGCTGAAGACCACAGCACTAAAACGGCCTGGGGAGAACACTGTCAGATGAACATAATTGATGTCAGCTCAAAAGTACTGACTACACACTTAAAAACAATATAATATGATATTCTGCTTGTTAAAAAAATATTTAAATTATGATTTATTTACACTATGGATTGGAATTGTGCAGCAAACTATAAAAAAGAAGAAAACATGTATAGATAATGAGAATAATCAGACTTCTAATACCAATACTGTAATCATGGTAAATTCAGATTAAGTAAAATAACAAAAATACCAAACACCGAGGAAAATTCAAAACAGAAAGTCCTTTATCAAATGGCAAAAACAAACACATTAAACAAATGGAAAACATGTTCCTGACTTTGTACAGGCATTTTCTTATGTATAGAAAATGGTGGATAAAACCTGGTTTTACAGCTAGCTTAACCTCTCACTTGTATGACAGTTGCATAGAATTCCATTATATTGACAACAAAGTGTGAGCAAAACAAACAGACATAATATGTATAAATGTCAAAAATTAGGGTACAGCAGTCAACATTGTGTAATTATTGCATGCATTTTTAATTTTGATTTCAACATGATCGACCAAAATGTGAGAATAGTAATCACGGTAATGCGATAACAGGAAAAACTGCATACAAATATATATATGTGTCAGAATTCAGAATGTTAATTCTTGATATTCAAATATTGTAATTTTCACCCAGTTGTAGTATTTGCAATATATATAATCTCACAATAATTTTTGAATTTGCGATATTTAAATCTCTTTATATAATTTCAGTAAAAATGCCGTACAGTGCTGAGATGACAAAATCTGATTTTGACACATGGGTTAATAACTCTATTAAACGTGCGAAGAAAATGTATGCCGAAATAATAGCGGTGGACTTGTTAAATATTGTCGGCAACTGTCACATGGATGAGAAACATGCACAAATAGCCTTTAACTTTACCAATGCCTTTGCCGATAGGGTTCACTTTTATAATAGAAAGGTTTGTTTCTCTATGATATTAACACGATTCTTCTTTACATGTTTTATCTTTTAGGAAGTATTGGCAGTGCAAGCCTTATAAATATTGTCACTGGAGCTTAAATTACTGTGAACCAATATCATATTCATTGTTAGCTCACCAGGACCCGAAGGGCCCCATGTGAGCTTATGCCATCACTTGGCGTCCGTCGTCATCTGTCGTCGTAAACTATTTCAAAAATCTTCTCCTCTGAAACTACTGGCCCAAATACCTTCAAACTTTAATTAAATGATTCTCAGGGTATCTAGTTTATAAATTGTATCCGAAGTTTTGATCCATCAGCAAACATGGCCGCCATGGCTAAAAATAGAACATGGGGGTCAAATGCAGTTTTTGGCTTATATCTCAAAAACTAAAGCTTTTAGATCAAATCTGACATGGGAGTAAAATTGTTCAAAATGTCAAGATCTATTAGCCCTGAAATTTTCAGACGAATCGAACAACCCATTGTTGGGTTGCTACCACTAAATTGGTAGTTTTAAGGAAATTTTGCAGTTTTTATACGACCGCAAAAAAATTTTTGTGGTCGTATATTGGTATGTCGTTGGCGTCGTCGTCGTCGTCGTCCGGCGTCGTCCGAAGACACATTGGTTTTCGCACTCTAACTTTAGTTTAAGTGAATGGATCTCTATGAAATTTTACCACAAGGTTCAATACCACAAAAGGAAGGTTGGGATTGATTTTGGGGGTTATGGTACCAACAGTAAAGGAATTAGGGGCCAAAAAGGGGCCAAAAATAAGCATTTTTGTAACTTCCAGACATAACTTGTGTGTTAGTGTATGGATCTCTCTGACATTGTACCACAAGGTTCCATATTACAAAAGGAATGCTGGGATTGATTTTGGGGGTAATTGCCTCAAAATTTAAGAATTAGGGGCCAAAAAAGGGACAAAAAACAAGCATTTTTCTAGTTTCATGACAATAACTTGTGTGTAAGTGTATGGATCTTTCTGAAATTGTACTACAAGGTTCCATATCACAAAGGGAAAGCTGGAATTGTGTTTGGGGGTAATTGCCGAAACCATTAGGAATTGGGGGCCAAAAAGGGGCCAAAAATAAGCATTTTTCTAGTTTCCAGACAATAACTTGTGTTCAAGTGTATGGATCTCTCTGAAATTGTACTGCAAGGTACCATACCACAAAGGGAAGGCTGGGATTGATGATGGGGGTAATTGCCTCAATATTTTAGGAATTAGGGGCCAAAAAGGGTAAAAAAACAATCATTTTTCTAGTTTCAGGACAATTACTTGTGTGTAAGTGTATGGATCTTTCTGAAATTGTACTACAAGGTTCCATATCACAAAGGGAAAGCTGGGTTTGAGTTTGGGGGTAATTGCCCTAGATGTTAGGAATTTGGGGCCAAAAAGGGGAAAAAAACACATTTTTCTAGTTTCCAGACAATAACTTGTGTTCAAGTGTATGGATCTCTCCGAAATTGTACTGCAAAGTACCATACCACAAAGGGAAGGCTGGGATTGAGTTTGGGGGTGATGAATCATAAGGGGGTTCAAAAAATTTGGGGGGGGATTTTTTTTTTTTCCTTTTTTTTTTTCTTTTAAAATTTTCCATTTTAAGTTGGTTATTTCTGATTTATATTTAAAAGCAAATTTAAAAGCAAATAATAATGATATGGTAGGAGATACACACCAAACAGGATGTGTAAATTATTGTACAATAGCAAGAAATTTTCAATTGCACAGTATTGCACAATAGCAAGAAATCTTCAATTGCACAGTATTGCGCAATAGCAAGAAATCTTCAATTGCACAGTATTGCGCAATAGCAAGAAATATCCAATAGCACAATATTGCGCAATAGCAAGAAATTGTCAATTGTACAGTATTGCGCAATAGCAAGAAATATTTAATTGCACATGCAGTATTGTGCAAAAGAAGATACTTCGTATAAATTGCTTATTTCTTGATCAATTTCAATGGGGTTTTATTCTTGAATTCTTGGGGTTCTTTAATATGCTGAATCTAAACGTGTATTAAGTTTTTGGATTTTGGGCCCCGTTTTTAAATTGGTCCACATTGAGGTCCAAAGGGTCCAAAATTAAACTTTGTTTGATTTCTTCAAAAATTGAATTATTTGGGTTCTTTGATATGCCGAATCTAATCTTGTATTTAGATTCTTAATTTTTGGTTCCGTTTTCAAATTGGTCTACATTAAGGTCCAAAGGGTCCTAAATTAAACTTAGTTTGATTTTAACAAAAATTGAATTCTTAGGGTTCTTTGATATGCTGAATCTAAATATGTATTTAGATTTTTGATTATGGGCCCAGTTTTCAAGTTAGTCCAAATCGGGGTCCAAAATTAAACTTTGTTTGATTTCAACAAAAATTGAATATATGGGGTTCTTTGATATGCTGAATCTAACCATGTATTTAGATTTTTGATTTTTGGGCCCCGTTATCAACTTTGTCCACATTGAGGTCAAAAGGGTCCAAAATTAAACTTTGTTTGATTTCATCAAAAATTGAATTCTTGGGGTTCTTTGATATGCTGAATCTAACCATGTATTTAGATTTTGGATATTGGACCATAATAGGTGAATGTCCAATTTAAAATTTTTAAGTTCTTAGACCACATTCATTCTGTGTCAGAAACCTATGCTGTGTCAAATATTTAATCACAATCCAAATGCAAAGCTGTATCAAGCTTGAATGTTGTGTCCATACTTGCCCCAACTGTTCAGGGTTCCACCTCTGCGGTCGTATCAAGCTGCGCCCTGCGGAGCATTTTATTGTTTATTATCTTGAATATTATTAAAGATAAACTGTAAACAGCAAAAATGTTCAGCAAAGTAAGATCTACAAAAAAGTTTTTATATGACCAAAATTGTCAATTGACCCCTTAAGGAGTTATTGCCTTTTAAGGCCAATTTTACACAAGTTGTTTATGTTTTTTAACTTTAAAAATCTCAAATGAATCTAGTATAAATTTTGTATTTTATTTCCTTGTACGTCAAGAAACATAGACACTATGGCTAAAATGGAACATATGGGTAAAATGCATTTATTTGCTTTTGAAGAAAATATGACAGATACAATGCACATTTTAATGGCATTTTTAAGCCACTTATTAATATATATTGAAAAGCAAAAATAATCATTGATGAAAGATTTAAGCAAAAAAAATAACAGGTGAGCGATTCAGGCTCTTGAGAGCCTCTTGTTTATTTGCTCCCTAGATATGGATTAAAATGTATCCACAAACAGAATATTATTCGATATTTTTTGTATAGGCATCATGGCAATTACATTTATTTTTGAAAAAAAAAAACATCCCCTGTTTCTTTACCACAGACCAAAGAAATGTATTTCTGGTTTTTCTCTCGGGTCACAAAAAAAAAAGGTTGGTAGGTTTAATTTAAAACTTAAATTCATGCATGAGGAAGCGACCATTTTGAATTTACAATATTACAAAGATATTTTTCACTACACTTAACTTTGGTAATTTTTTCACAAATTTTGCAAAATAATTCATTTGAAACACCATACAAAGTACATGTATACTCAATATAAAAAAGAAGATGTGGTTTAATTGCCAATGAGACAACTCTCCACAAGAGACCAAATGACACAAAAATTAACAACTATAGGTCACTGTACAGCCTTCAACAATGAGCAAAGCCCATACTGCATAGTCAGCTATACAAATAGAAATACTACACAGAGTAGACGTGGCCAGGTACTTGTATATCCCAACAATAAAAAGACACTAAGTACAGATCTGGGAGTACTCGCAGTTACTGACAGCTAGTTCAAAGCCACTAACAACAAATAAAAAAAAATTATGCATCTAAGACCTCTTTAATATCTTTTTGTCAAGAAATAAAAGGGGTTAGGAAGAGAAATACCCCCATCAAGAGATGCTGTGTTAGATAGATATAAGAAGATGTGGTATGATGGCCAATGAGACAACTCACCACTAGAGGCCAAATGGCATAGAAGTTCACAACTATAGTTTGTAAGGCCTTCAACAATTAACAAAACCCATACTACATAGTCAACTATAAAGAGCCCCAAAATGACAAATGTAAAACAATTCAAACAAAGCATGTTTTTATAATGATTTTGAATATAGTTTTGAAATTCACTATCAATGAAATATTGTGTGTTTGATAAGGCCACACCAATTTGATTAATAGTTCTTTGGATTTTCCCGCTCCTGTTTTGGAGAAATTGACTTTTCAATAAAAAAAAATAATTACCGCTTCCGCAAATTTTTGGGCTGCATGCCGTTCCAAATTTAGTTTCTCTTTGAATTTTTTTTTTTCACATAGACGTTTTTCTTGTGCATATATTGCTCCAATCGATTCAAACGCACGTGTGATAAATCGAATTGCAAATAAAAGGTAAAAAATCAGGATGCCAACATGTAGTTGTGTGAGCTCATTGCCGTGGAGAGGTAGTTACTGAACACACAGTTATCCAAAATGCATCTCGTTTTATCTATGAAGACCTGTTCTAGGAGACAAATATTAAAAACATCTGTCTTTAGAAGACCACGATTATATCAATGTTCCTTAGAACCATCGTCATCCCCAATCATTGTTTCAACAGACATAGACCTGAATCTGAATAAATATGTTGCAGTGCCAGGATATAGCATCAATGGCAACAGAAGAGAGGGGCTGGAAAATTAGTCCAACGATGTGAGAGCAACCGAATGTTTAAAGCTCTCAATTGTCTTGGCACACACAAGATTGTTTGGTAGTCTATTCCAATAAAACTTTGTTCTTACAAAGAATGACTGTTTATATTGACTCTATATTGTTCAGATTTGCGACATGGAATTTTGAAACACCGGCTGCTGTTATGTACAAATTTATCTACAATGTTTGTTATTTTATAGACCTATCTATCTTGGATGAAATTAATATTAAATTCCCATGAATTTTAGAAAAATCACAGATTTATCTTATTTTGATGAAACCCCATGGCCATATGCCCTTGTTAGTCTATTGGCATGCAAGCAGAACTCTTTTGTAAGGGAAAATTTAACAGTTCCAATGTTCAAGACCAAAGAGGTGGTATTGTGATTGGCATGCTCATAATAATTATGGATGTGTAATTGGTTCAACCACTTCTAGTCAAGCTAAAGAGTTTAAAATGCATTGCAGCTTTTAGGAGCAAAAGGAAAGAGTATTTTGCTGTCAGAATAATGCATGTGAATGTGGTAACAGGTATACATATTTTAAGGGAATATTTTAATACATTCAGATCTACATGCATAACAATATAACTATCTTACTCATGATGTTGTTGAAATATTCACCTCACTCATTATGTTGATCATTAGTAAGTATGAATAAATAGTTCCAAGTGGACATCAAGCAGCCAATAAACAATCATTACCATATATTGATATATATCAAAAAATATTTAATATTTTCCAGGGGCATTTTTTTAGATACATACACATATTTAAATTTATTCAACATATGTCATTTACCTAACTAAAATAATTCCTCTTGTTAAACTGCATCTGCTATGATTCCTTAATATATACACTTGCATGATTTTTATTGCAAATTCACGCAGACAAAGCTTATTTGACGAAAATAATCAAAATTAACTAAACCACAGCGAGACATGAAAGTTGGGTATGGTTCATGCGCCAATTCATCAAATTATATGTATTAGAGCATGTTTCTTCTCCTTTTTCTATGAAGTAACCCAGTTTTACCATGTACATAAATTCTAAATCTCACAATTTAAAAAAAAAATTATACTGCTCGCTTCACTTGTAGATCACCCGCCTCATAAAAACTCATTTTCAAGAAAAAAATACAACCAAAAAATTTCGCTCACTCGCCCCATATTTTTTGGAGCTTTTGTCCGAAGAACTACAAATCAAATTGGTGTGGCCTAATGAGTAACTTTTATTTTGAATAAAAACAAATTTTTCCCTTTTTTTTTTTTTTTACAGTTGTCATGCATATTGCCATGGAAACCACCATGTTTTGGCTCAAATTGTGATTTGACTTCACAATTGATTAAAAATGGAACTTGTGACACCATAATGACAAGTCCAGACAGCTTTATTACAGATTGTGATAAACCCTGCAGGGCAAAAGCTACTATGCCAATCAGTAATGTAGTCATAGGTAAGCTAGCATATAAAAAGCCACTATGCCTATCAGTAACTTAATCATAGGTACCGGTAAGCTAGCATATAAAAAGCCACTATTCCAATCTGTAACCTAATCATGGGTAAGCTAGCATATAAAAACTACTTGCCAATCAGTTACATAATCATAGGTAAGCTAGCATATAAAAAGCCACTATGCCAATTGGTAACCTAATCATGGGTAAGCTAGCATATAAAACCTACTATGCCAATCATAAGCATCATCATGGGAAAGCTAGCATATAAAAAGCCACTATGCCTATTGGTAACGTAATCATGGTTAAGCTAGCATATAAAAAGCTACTATGCCAATCAGTAATGTAATCATGGGTAAGCTAAAATATAAAAAGCTACTATGCCAATCAGTAATGTAATCATAGATAAGCTAGCATATAAAAACTACTATGCCAATCAGTAACATAATCATGGGTAAGCTAAAATATAAAAAGCTACTTTGCCAATCAGTAATGTGATCATAGATAAGCTAGCATTTAAAAAGCTACTATGCCAATCAGTAATGTGATCATAGATGAGCTAGCATTTAAAAAGCTGCTATGCCAATCAGTAACATAATCATAGGTAAGCTAGCATATAAAAACTACTATGCCAATCAGTAATGTAATCATGGGTAAGCTATCATATAAACAGCTACAATAAAATTGAGAATGGAAATGGGGAATATGTCAATGAGACAACAATCTGACCAAAGAGCAGATAACAGCCAAAGGTCACCAATTGGTCTTCAACGCAGCGAGAAAATCCTGCACCGGGAGGTGGTCCTCAACATCAATGTCAATCAACATCATGCTAAGTGCTCTCGAGTGGTCTAAGTAGTTTCTACTGTAATCACTAGCCAGTCAACACTGAGGTCCTCAACATCAATGCCAATCAACATCATGCTAAGTGGTCTGGAGTGGTCTAAGTAGTTTCTACTGTAATCACTAGCCAGTCAACACTGAGGTTGTGAGTTTGAACCCTGCTCATGCAGGTGCACTCGACTCCAATCCTAATTAAATAGGATTGTCAGTTTTCCTATCGAAGGCACAAAATAGCCCAAAAGCAGAGCTTAAAAGTGGCGTTAAAACACCAAAAATCGATCAAAATCAATCAATCTCTTCAACATCCATATTGCTCAAAAGTACCAGTAAATTTGATTATAGATGAATTTTCTATTTATCTTTTCAGGAACAGATGAATATTTGTACCATTCAAAAGTACCTGTCTCCATGTTCTACATGGGTGTGCCTTGGCATGGATATGATTATAAGTGTTCTAAATACTTAGTAAGTATTTTGGATGTGGCTGTTTTATCGAAACATACAGCTCCTGTAGAGAAGCATGTTGAACAAACCGAATCAAATTCAAGAGAAATAGTCAAATTTTTATAATATTTACCCAGAAAATCTGTTTTTTTATTTTAGTGCTGCATATTATCCACAAAAAAATGAAAACCGGTAAACATTATTGTAAATTTTTTATAGAAAGTGTTGCATTTACATTTTTTTGTCCATACTGTACACACATTAGATATAAAAAAAGAAGATGTGGTATGATTGCCAATGATGCAACTCTCCACAAGAGACAAAATGACACAGATGTTAACAACTTTAGGTCACTGTACAACCTTTAACAATGAGCAAAACCTATACTGCTTAGTAAAAAGCTGTAAAATGCCTCAAAATGACAAGTGTAACAATTTAAACAAGAAAACTAACCTCCTTGATTATGTACAAAACTACAAATTAAAAACAATAACAATATACAGCAACAAACAGCAACCACTGAATAACAGGTTCCTGACTTGGGACAAGCACATGCAGAATGTGGCTGGGTTAAACATTTTTGGAGGAGCCATTCTTCCCCCTAACCTGGGACATAAAAGTTGGATTTCAATATTATTTCAAGCAAAGATTTTTTCTTCCTGCGAAAATAAATGAATTCATAGTATCTCTCGTTTATTTGAAAGATAGGATGTTTTGTTCATGATTAGTTAAGAACATAATATTTTTGCATAAGTTATTACTTTAGTATAGACCGGTCAAAGAGACAATTATGGTATACCAATGTCTGTCTGTCTGTCAACACTCTCTACGTAAACTAAAATTTTTCACACCAATGCCCATTAATTCAGTATGTCTGGATTGATTTTCTCACATCTTTACATTATTTTTGCGATTGATTTAAGGAAGCTCCATTTGATTTTTTAAAATTTTCTGGTTTGTCCTTCAAGAGTAACAGGACTTGTCTGATTTCAGTAACATTTTCACATGTTGAACCATAACACGAGTTTGCTTGGATTCATTAACTGGAAACTTAATATAATTGTTGGAATAGGTGATCATAACACAGCATTTGATATAAACAAATTCTGGGTGAGCAATCCAGAGTTATGGGACTTTGACAGTCAAATAAATAAAAGGCATTTTTAAAATTTCATGCAGTAGCCCTATAGCTAGTATGCTTGGAATAAATAAATTACTACAAACTCAACACTGTTGTTGTCATTGGTGAATGTAGTCTCACAATATAACAAAAAACTCATATAATTAATATATATCCTTAAAAATATACATTTCAAGTAACTTTAATACTATATGGTATAATTTTAACTCATTTTAAAAGCTTTTATAGTCGTTTTTAGTTTTTCATAATTAACCTTGTCAATTGGTCTTTAAATAATTGTCTCATTAAAGGTCATATCACTTCTCTAGTTATCCTTTTATAACGTTAAATCTCTAGTTATGTCCCTTTATAACATTAAATGCAAGTGGGGGTATCATCTGTGTCCCATGGACACATTCTCCTTGTAATATTTAAAAAATAAATCAAGACAGATGCTTTACATTTTCATCATGTCTGGGCCTTTTATAGATTCTAAACAGCATGAGTTTTGCTCATTGTTGAAGGCCCTACTGTGACCTATAGTTGCTTACGTCTATGTCATTTGGTTTTTGGTGGATAGTTTTCTTACTACCACATCTTATCTTTATACTAGTCATGTAACTTTACAGAAAGTTTGCAAACCTATTGAGGTTGTGCACCTTCAATTATGAAATGGTTTATAGATTTTTAATTTTTTTTACAATTCATATTTTCCTTAAAAAAAAATTAAATTTTCAGTATATACTATTCTCCTTTGTTTAGGACTTGGCTATTTGTATCTTGGATTCATTTTTATCGTTGTATTTCATACAAAAATAAGGAGATTTAGTATGAAAATGTGAACAACTATATAGCTACAGGTCACGGTCATTTTGATATTATATTAAGTATATTCTAGGGCAGTTCTAGAAGATGTTCATATTAGATTCATTAATATATTTTTAGGGTAATGATGAAGATGTTTGTATGTTACCACAGAAGAATAACTCTGCGACTTGTGATTTTCAATCAAGGAAGAAAATGACCTTTTATGACCTTGATACAATATACCACAATTATTATGAAAAGAATAACATATGGAGTAAACTCTACAATTCTAATTATTTCAATGTTAATGTAAGTATTTACCAGTTATGAATTTCTTATTAGGGTTCTTGATATAGAATTATAAAAAATATTTGGTTTTTATAGATTATCGATGATTTTTAGAGGAGATGGTGTTTTTTAATTTTAGTTCATTTATATGTTTTGGAGTTTAGTGTGACATCCATTTTCATTGAACTAGTACACATTTTTGTTTAGGGGCCAGCTGAAGCCCGGCTCCGGGTGCGGGATTATCTCGCTGTGTTGAAGACCAATTGGTGGCCTTCGACTGCTCTTTGGTCGTGTGTTGTCTCTTTGACACATTCCCCATTTCCATGCTCAATTTTATTACTCAGCTACAATCTCATTGAAGGTTAACCGCCCTGAGATGAGATGTGGCCTAGAAACATCCTTGAGTTTAAAAGACCATTTAATATCTGTTGATGGCTATTTTGCCGATGATGTCGTTGGTGTTTAAATTGACAAGGGGTGCCCTTAGTTTCTAGCGATAATTTTCTTTCTCAAGAGAGTTGCATGATATGAAAAATCTCACACAAAAAAATCAAAGAAAATGCACCAAATATCGATAAGTTAATGTTATTATTCATCAAGGTCAAGAATTTAGCTAGTTTAATATTCAGACCTTGGGAAAATTATGTCAGATCTTACAGTTATTTGATATGAGAATTATAAGATTTGTTTGAAATTTAACTTGAATTATCATTTTTCTAAAATCTTCATTTATATATCATTCAACTTGGTATCTTGGAAAATCACATATCATTGTTTTGTAATGTCGCATTAAATTTGACAGAACAACATGAATGAGATATATATAATCAATATTTAGCAAATTGGTGTTATTTACATAGAGGTATTGTGAACTTTACAGTCAATATGTCCACTTCTGCAGTGCTATGTAATCTTTAGTATATCATATATATTGAGCAGCAAATTACATAAGTTCAGGCATTCATAACTGCACACACATACACACAAACACATCTTGTATCATAATTGTTTTTAGAAATTATTTTGTTGAAAGGAATTTATTTAAAATGTTATGTTTTAGGTTACAAATGGTGGAGCACATCAAATCTGGTATGATTCTGACTTAAGTTTGTATGAAAAATACAAGTTTGCCCTTGACATGAAACTCAGAGGTAAATCTTCTTAAACTGTATTCAAATTCTGCTCAACAGAGCATGAAATGTACAAGTATATACTGTAGTCATAGGGATGTCAAACTTTGTCTGTAACATCTAATACACACATGGAAGTATTTACTTATACTGTACTATGTTCCAAAAAGATGTGATACATAGACTGAAATAGACTATTTTCATATCACCAACTCCGGATTATACAATTTTTCGACAGGTTACCTTTTCTGTGGTAGGGCATCCTGGTACCAAGTCAAGTAAGAGCAAGGTAAAGAAGTAAAACAAAGCTTTCAATCGGTATAATTTTGGGGAGAAATTAACTGCTTTTCATTTCCTTTACATGACAAAATCATCGGAAAACAGTAAACTTTCCCCTCAAATTACACTGATTATATGTTTGATTTTACTTATTTTGGTTGCTCTTACTTGACCGAGTACCAGGATGTCTTACCACAGAAAAGATAACCTGTCCAAAAATTATATAATTTGAAGTCAAAAGTCGGTAACATGAAAATAGTCTATTGGTATTCGGATGGATAATTTGCATTATGGTGGTATATATTGAGGAGGTACTAAAGTGAAATTTTAAAAATCTAGAATTTAAAATTGTAACTATTAGTCAATAGAGCATTAGTTGAGGAACAAAATAATCGAAAAATATTGATAGGTTATGGAGCTCCATTTTGTGATATTTATTTTTTTTTAAATGGCAAGAAAAGGCCGACTCTGACTTTTACCTTGTATTTGCATTGGTATTATTTTGGTCTTAAATCGAAAGAAAAGAAATCTAGAATCTGCTTAAATTTTGGTAAATGACCTTTTATGAGTTATTGAAGTCTTATATGAAAAGAAAAATGGGTGTAATGGGGCAAAATATTTTACCCTGTATCGTAGGAAAAAAACCAACGAGTTCGACCATTTGACAAAAATTCCTAAACCTCACATAAGTTCATCCTTAAGGAGGTACATTTTGACATAAGGGGGGTGGGGAGCAGATTTTAAGGGAGATAATACTTCAAATCAATAATTTATTTGTGATAAGTCAGTTTCATTGATATGTTTTTATCATTAATGCAAAACCAAATTAAAATGATCTATGTTGTGTAGAGGCTTAGATTAGATTTTTGAAAATGGTTGGTACAAAGGAACCTGTAATTTTTTAAAGTTTTCCCGATTAACCTTGTTTTGGGGTATTCAGGGCTGACTATTATTAAAATTTTAAACCTCTTTGACACATTGTTATAACCAAACTATCTTCAACCCTTTATGATGATATGTGGATTTTAGAGTCCGGCTATCCTTTAGGATATCATATTGCGGACTATCTTGCCTATTGTTACAAAGTTGGTTCTGCTTGTCTTTTAGCTTTCATTTTGCTCCGACTGCTGTGTTGCTGTTGGTACGGAGTGTCTGGCCGTTTGGCTAATATGGCAGCTTCTATAGCCTCTTTTGATGTTATTTTGAAGGGCGACGTATGCTGTGGTGTGCGTAGTAGTTCAGGGTTGTCGATATCAAACCCCTCATCGAAATCAATCCTACTATGTTTGCCTCTTTCTGTAGCCGAGGTGTAGTAATAACCCTTTATTATTGTGTTTCCTGATTTTATAGGTGTTGTGATATGGACTGTGGATGACCTTGTGAACTATGACCAAGGTGATGCTCAAGAATGGCATTGGTTAATGCATAATATGATGGTCACTGGTGAACATAAAGAGGGAGCAGATATGTCAATGGCTTGTAAGTAATTGATAGTCATTATAGATAGCAAGACGCCTAACACATGACTATTGATCCCTTTGAAATCCTGAAATACATTAAATTTGACAATCCTGGAAATTGTTACCACTGATCTTAGCTATATGTAGTTTAACGATTAATGGGAAAGAAAATATATCGTAGATTCATGACACAAAAACCTGCACTTAAAAATTTACATTGTCATTTCGGGGCCTTTTATAGCTAACTATGCGGTATGGGCTTTGCTCATAGTTGAAAGCCGTATGGTGACCTATAGTTGTTAATTTCTGTGTCATTTGGTCTCTTGTGGAGAGTTGTCTTATTGGCAATCATACCACATCTTCTTTTTATACTTGATAGACTTTTATTGCTGTTCTTCATATTAAATACACACCTTGTCAGTTCATTGAAGAAAACGGGTTCAGGTTAATTAAAACAAACTGTGAGGACTTTTATCATTAGCACTGATTGATGTCAAAGTGTTGTAGATCCATCAATTTTAAATTTTTCATCAAAATAAAATCCTGTGATGAAAATTTGATTTTCTATATTTATGTTAGCTACTTGGAATTTTTACTTGTCACAATCTTCATAGCATTGACTGAAAACTGGAAATTCAGAATTCTGTTGGAGGTTGTTGAACAATGAAAAAACATGTGAGATTAAATATTGCGATTTCAAGGAAATGCTGAATACAAATAATGCTATCAAAATTTATTATGCATGTTTTATTAATTGTGAAACCTAGCCCGTTGCAATTTTTGCAATAATAATACAAAGCAAAAATTTCTGAATTTACAATATTAGTTTTGTAATCCATACTTTTATTATTAGATAGATTGTCCCTTTAAACAAAACTTTAAAAAGCCATCTTGCTTTCCAGCAGAAGATAAATTGTTAAAGTGTTACTATTACTGTAGTTGACAACATTTAAATAGATGCGTTGAATAAGTCATCATAGATTATAAATGGATATTTAACTATATAAATCTTTGATTTAGAAAATAGTGTAGAATGCCATTAAGTGTGTGCTATTTTTCATGATAATTGCATTAAAAAAACATCTACAATATTTGTAGATCCATAAACTGTTGTAAGCAAAATACATCACCTCTTGTGATTTTTACCTATTCTGCAATCAAGCATTCATTGATGCACCTTTTCCTTAGGTCAAGTTTGAATTAAAACTAATTGCCAAATTTATTTTTTAGTGAAAGCCATGGCCATTGGCGTCGGATGCTTTATTGGAGGAACAATAATTGGAGCCATAATAACAACAATAATAGCCAAGAAACAGATGAAGTTGATGAACAGAAGATATCAGCCTCCATTCCAAAAAGACGAGGATGATGAAACTGCAAACTTTCATGAAGACGATAGATATTTGTGATAATAAAATTTTAATCAATGTCAATTGAAACAAAATCAACCAATTATTTCTTAAGTTCTCCCTTGTCTGTTCAAGAATTGACTTCATTTTTCTTTTTATTTGCTTTAGAAAATCAACAATGTTTGAAATTGTCTTGTGGGTTTAAGATGCACTTTTGACAATGTATTTTTTGTCAAGATCAGTCCTCGTATACAAATATTTTCACTAAGTCTGAGATGTAAATGTTGTTATGTGTATTCGCCAAATCATATGTTGATATAATTTCAATTTTGTGATATTTTTTACTGTAAAATCTTTATGGACAATTTTTGAAGTGTTTTATAGATTTTTTTACAAGAAATGAAGGTTGTGAACAGATTTTTTATCAGACAATATGTTTATTTTAAGATATTTTGTTTGGTTGTGATTTAATGCCATGATGAAATATGTTTAAATTGAACTCTTTGTTAACAGGAAACATTTCTTAGTAGAATCTTATCTAAACTGGATATCTGTCTAATTTGAAACCTCCATGACTGGAAATCTGTCAGGAAAATTGATAAAAGTTCTTTTAACAGCAATTGAATCTGTAAACTAACCTGTCTATTCAATAAAAATATCTAGTCCTGAAGACCCTGGTTTAAAAAATGTATAATTCTGATCATTTTGTAATTTTAGCACAAAGACCATGATATTAGATTGCTTATTAAGAGCTTTTTTAACTGGATATAAATCTGATTTCATTTTTTTTTAGCATAATGATTTTGAGATTTAATTGCTTATTGAGAGCTTGAAGTTACAAGTTTAGCCATACATTATTCATCTTTTTTTAGAATTGGGAAGATTATAAATATGCTTAAGGAATCATCATAATACAAAATTTCTTTATACATTTAAATGCCAATTTCAAGATTTGATGAATATAATAAACTAAACTATTCCAATAGAATCCATATACAGTGGTAATACAAAATATCTATCAATGTTGAAGATGAATTTACCTTGAATATAATGCTTTGTTGTGTATTTAAACATAATGTTATAAGAAATATTTGTACTAAGATGATATTTTCCCTTTTATATACATGTATATGATAAAATTCTGGTTAGTAAACTATCTTTTAAATTTTTAATGTTCAGATGTTGTTTGCTATATTCATTTTGTTATACAGTGAAATATTTAATATTTTGTAAAGAAAACTTAACGTTATGAAAAAATGTTCAGGTTCCTGTTCGATCATGTTGATAACAGAGTTATAAAATGAAGCCACAATAATAATTCTGAAAATTTAAAAATTATTAATGTATAGAGCCATAATCCATATTCACAGTTTTACACATTATTATCATGATTATTACACTAAGTTTGGTATGTACATTATATATTTGTATAGGGATGGGCACGGATGATGTAGAGGCATATTAAATTAAGACTAAAGATGGTGTTTGTTTTTTTAAATACCAATTGAAGAAATGTACAAAAATAGTATAAGGCCAGTTACTTGCATATGATGATTACTATAGCTTACTATGATATATTTCTACATATATACATATATATATATTTTGGAAATTTTTGTATGTTTATTGTAAATTATGCCATTTAGATTGAGGAGATGTTAAAAAATGTGTACTTATGAAATTTTACATGATTTATAATGTTTAAAACTCTGAAATTTTTCCTTTTAATTTAGATTTATCTCAAATTATGTCCTTTAATGGCTGTTCCATTTAAATGGATGTATTAGGGTAGGAAAGGAAGTTTTATAATTAGGGTCATGGGTCATTTATGATTTTAGTCCATTTGATGTATGCAAAATTATACAAAGAATGTATGTTGGTTGTGGGGTGATGTGTCAGTCAATTCCTTCCCTCCAAATAGATATAAGAAGATGTGATATGAGTGCCAATGAGACAACTCTCCAACCAAGTCAAAATTTATAAAAGTAAACCATTATAGGTCAAAGTACGGTCTTCAACACGGAGCCTTGGCTCACACCTAACAGTAAGCTATAAAGGGCCCCAAAAATTACTAGTGTAAAACCATTCAAACGGGGAAACCAACGGTCTAAGCCTATTTTAATTGAATAGACCTTACAGACAAATTTATAATATTTTTTTAAGTATTTTTTATCAAAATAAAGGTGAAAGTGTATTTTATTTGTTCATCTGTGTCTTAATTTTGTATATCTGTTTCAATAATGTGGATATTGACACTTATAGACCAACACCATTTTTTTAGGTTCTTAGGAAATCACACATTTGATTTCCAATGTTCTAGTTCTTAATTTTAAAATTTCAGTTTGATAGTGTTAAAACTTAAGAAATAGTCTTGAGCAGATAGAAAAGTTCACTGTACAAAATGTCTTCAATCCATCTAGTGTTAAATTTTTAAAGAACTTGTTTGTTCACAAAAGTGTAATCCACAAATATCCTATCTGTGTGTAGTGTTTGAATTGTAGTTTTACATTTTTATATCTGCTTTACATTGTTTGTTAATAATCTGTAAATATTGTTGTTTAATTTGTATGAATCATTTTTACTTCAAGCATAACTCTTTTAAGACATTGCAGATGGACTTTTATGTTGATTTTGTTTTTTAAATTCCATTTACCTGGTAATTCTGAATAAAAGGGTAAGACAGAAATTGAACAAAAATCCCATGGAGATGGGTGGTAGGAGGGGGGTGTCAGACCAAATTCCTGAAGAAATAAAACATTCTTTCCCAGATCCCGAAAAAGTAATCATAAATTCCCGAGTCTGGATAAGTGTAAATTCCGAATTCCCGCAAAAATAAAGGCCCAATCCTGAATTCCCACAATAATGAAGGCCAAATCCTGACGTCCCGAAAAAGGTCCTTCCGCCCCTCCATAGAATATAAAATTATATTTTGTTTTGTTCTGTCTGAATATTTCAAATAAAATGCCTTTTAATAAAGAAGAAAATCTTACTTCTGTTATAACATTTCTGTAGAAGATTTATAGGGATATAAGTGTACCAAAATTTTATTTCTTACCTCAAATTACAAATATTCATGAAATTTGTCCATTCTATATTTTTTATATATTATGGTTTTTTTTCTTAGATAAATCATTATTTGTAAATTAAGTGGTTATTTAAGTACCGTATCTATTTTAGTACCTACTTTCTCAAGAAAGCATTTTTTTTTATATAAGAGTTGAGTCTTTTTATAAGATGTTTGTTTCTAAATGAAGTGGAGGTTGAGACAGAGCCTACTGTACTAAATATTCCCCATCATCTGAGCTAACACATATTGTTTATCTTGATTCCACTTGCTAAAAGGAGAGCGGGCCTGTTGTATGTGCATATAATCATAAATAGGTTTATGATAGAATATGTTTCAGTAAAAAATGTTTTACTTTACATAAGTATTAAAATCAGAGCATATAGTTCAAAAATAATTTTATTGCACGAGGAAATGTAAAAAAAGTTGAACAATTTACTCAAGGGTTATTTTTTAACGTTTGTAGTTTCACTTCCTAAGAACATCCTCGCACCAGAGTCACATGAAGGGTGAGAACAAAAATCTTAAATACTATAATGATTACAACTTCATTTTCTTGGCATGTAAAAGTTTTTCTATTTACTCACCCATCTACCACAAAATAAAATATTCATTTAGGGGGGTAAATGGTATTATGTATATAGACAGTACATGTTTTTAGATTTTGTTTGTTTGTTGGTTCATTCATTGTGTATGCTTGGCCATGCAGTGCTTTAGTATTGATTATTTGGACAAAGGGAAGTATTCATTCAATACAATATAGATCTTCAAATTTGTAAAAATTATTTATTTTGTTGTTGCAATTTTTGCCTTTGTACTAAATCTAAATAATTTTATATTTTCTATTTTAATTTGTACAATCATTCTTAATTTGTGATTTTAAACATTCCATGCTTTTATGTAATTCCAGTCTAAATTGGATTAACCCATTTTTAGAATCATTAAAAAGCTTAAATAAATTACAAATTCTATTATTTTTGATCTCACAATTGATAGGGCAAAGAAGTTATGTCAGATAATTGAACACATTTATCTCACATTATTTTTTTTTTTCATTTTTAAGAGTGATCTCTCATTTTAGGGCCTTTTTTTAAAAGGTCAAATGGGGATACATAAGGTGGTCCACAAAAATTGATTTTTTTGACATGTTAAAATTAAACAAGATATATCCAAATAACTCAAAAAATTTTAATGTTGATATTTCATGCAGACGACACATTATTGATCCCAAATATGCATAACTGTTTGACATAATCATGTGACTTGTTGTTTAGAATGAGATTGAACCTGGAAAAGACGTACTTACCCAAAACTTCAATATTTACAATTATCCATTAATATTCATTTGTAAAGACATGGTTGTGATGTGAAATGATTTTTATACCCTTTTTGTATGGTTTATACCAAGATCACCAGGATGTGAAACATTAAGTTTATTTTTGTTTGTGATTTTATCTTTTTTTATATAAATGTGTGAGTAATTTTATGTGTTTCATATTTATAAAACAGACACATATGATTGTACCTGGCTAAATGCAAATTTCTATTATTAAACCATTGTGTATGTATATAACTTCAGAATGTTTATGTAATTATATGTATTTACTTACATGAAACAGACACAAGTGATTTGTGCCTTGCTTACTGTAATGCAGATTCTATTAGCAAAACTATTGTCTTTGTATATAACTTTAGAATGCCAAATTTAGTTTTTTTTTTTTTTTTAAGTGTTGTCATGGTCTTGTGAACTTTTTTGTTTCATATTGATGGAAAGCAATTCTTTGTTAAAGTTATACATCAGTTCTCATGTTAAGCACTTTATATCTGACTTGATTAGTGTATCATTTCTTGGGTATTAGCATAATCAGTGTAAATTAAGGAAGTTCGCTTGTCATGTTTTGGAATTTTTGTCAGTTTTTTGGAATCCTCTGGTTTTATCTATTTGAATGCCTTAAAAAAAAATTTGCCCATTGACCCCCCATTTTTTTTTTTTTAAATCTTTAACATGCATAATTTTAAGCCATCTGTAAAAGTCCTATAAAATCTTAATTATTTTTTAATAGTTTTTGAGAACTTTAACTTGTCAATGATAAAGCTATGAAAAATCAAGAGAGAATATTTTCCTGCCAAAATTTCAATGGCTCATATCTTGAAAACAAGCAAGCACACAGACCCTTCATTTTTTTCTGCTTTTTTACATCCTTTATTTATATACTATCAATTTATGACAGTCTTTAAAAAAGCTTGTTATTTTGAAACAGAGTAGCAAACATCCTTAAGCACTTTATATCTGACTTGATTAGTGTATCATTTCTTGGGTATTAGCATAGTCAGTGTAAATAAACAGTTTTGATGTGATATGGAGTTTTTGTGTTTTTGTTTATTCATAGAAATAAGGAGTATCATGTTCTCATTTAAATTAGTCAATATTAAATGTACCAGTAATTCCTATCTGAAGTAGATAAAGACATTTTGAGAATTATTACAAAGCTAAAATAAGTTAAAAAAAACTTTTGATTTCAGAGTTGTTAGGGTAAAGAAAATAGTGATAATGATATTATAAATTCAACACACTTTTTTAGCATTGTTTTTTTCTTCATTTTTAAGACATCACTCTTTCTGAAAAAGATCATTTGTATATTTGCGCTGTTTTGCATCAATAATTTTTAAGGTAATAAATTATTTTGAAACTTTCTTATGATAAACCAGTTATAAAGAAGCAGGTATGATTAGGCCAATCTCTTTCCCTAAAACTTAGAACACATAAATTTAGGGTAAATGCGGGCAAAAGGTTAAGCTTTATAAAATTTGAATTGTTGAAAAATCAGTCAAACCTGGGAGTACGTTTTTATTAATTAGAAAAACTAATTAGAGAATATGGATACTTTATTAATAATTTTTGTGATTTTACTTTTTATTATGACCTAAGAATTTTCTTTGTTCCAAATTTTCCTAGAAATCTGATTTCTGGGAGCTTTGTCTTCTAGAAATTAACTGCAGACCAAAGAAATATTATATTAAAAAATGTAAAATCCAAAATCAAAATTTTAGTATATCAATAGCTGCTTTTATAGTATATATGTATAGATCATTCTAGGAAAAACTTATTGTTCTAGTCAACACAGGATCAGCCTCTAAAAATGTGTCCTAGTGTTTGTAGTAATTCCTCCAAGGAATTTTTATTTTGTAATACAGTATACCTTATCGCTATTTGTCTGCCATTACTGGACATCGCAAAGGTTCCTGTAAAATTTTGACATCACAATAGGAAATATCTTACTCCACAATGGAAAATAGATGTATGACGTCAAAAGTTCAACTGGCGCAGTTTCACGGGTCAAGCGGAACAGATCTCCAAATAGAGATAAGGTGTATCAGAGACATATTTACATGTCTCTGTTGTAATTTGATAAAATTTTGTTCAGATAATCCAGTGAAGGAATTTATTGATTTTATTGTTTACATATATATATATATATATATATATATATATATATTAAACAACGACACCAACAGCTAAAAAATATGGAAAATGTCAGCATTTTTTTATAATGACATCTATCGATTTATTATTGGATTAAATCAAGAAACAGAGAAAATAAGTTGGAAAAAACCATTCAGTAAATAAATATTAGCCTACTAATTTAATATGATGTAACACCTCTTCGGATTGGCTGACAGTGTGTTGTATATCAGCTCATAGACATAATTTTGTCATGTGATCATGAGGTCATCAACATTTTTCACGATTTATTCAGGCTTGAAATGGAATTTAGAATTAAATTATAAAGAATGACTAATATTTTTTCTGTTTATTCGAAAGAACAAAAAAAATCTAGTGCACACTTAAAAATAACCTGCTATGCTTGTTATTCAGTGTGCACCAAATTTTTGATGTTATTTCTTCATAGACAGAAAAATATTACAGTGATTTCCACGACTACATGCTGATACAGCTTGACACAGAATATTAAATTTTGTGCATTTTGTACCTTGTTGCTTATTTATTGCAATTCTTTTATGTTATATCATTTGCTTTTTATGAACTGTTTTAATAAACTGATCATTTATACTGTTTTCTATAATTTTACTTGCCATGAAAACAAGACTAATGGATTGGGATTGGGAGATGTTTTTACCCCTCGATTTTGAGGAGTTTGTGTTACTAAGTAATTCATTTTTTTATACGACCGCATATTGGTCGTACATTGGTATCACGTTGTCGTCGTCTGCGTCATCGTCGTCAGCGTTGTCTGAAGACAGATGATTTCCGGATAATAACTTTAGTATAAGTAAATAGAAATCAATAAAATTTTAACACAAGGTTTATAACCACTAAAGGAAGATTGGGATTTTGGGGGTTATGGTCCCAATAGTTTAGGAATTAGGGGCCAAAAAGGGGCCCAAATAAGCATTTTTGTAGTTTCCAGACAATAACTTGTGTTAAAATTTATGAATCTCTCTGAAATTATACCACAAGTTTCCATTCTACAAAGGGATGGTTAGGATTGACTTTGGGGGGGGGGGGGGGGGGGGGGGGGTTATGGCTCAAACCATTTAGGAATTAGGGGCAAAAAAAGGGGAAAAACAAGGGTTTTTGTCGAGCCTGTGACTTTTGTCGCAGAAAACTCGACATAGGGATAGTGATCCGGCAGCGGCGTTAGCTAACTTCTTAAAAGCTTTATGTTTTAGAAGGTGGAAGATCTGGATGCTTCATACTTTGTATATGGATGCCTCATGTTACGAAGTTTCCGTCAGTCACATGTCCAATGTCCTTGACCTTATTTTCATGGTTCAGTGACTACTTGAAAAAAAAGTTAAGATTTTTTGTAATGTTAAATTCTCTCTTATTATAAGTAATAGGATAACTATATTTGGTATGTGCGTACCTTGCAAGGTCCTCATGCCCGTCAGACAGTTTCCACTTGACCTCAACCTCATTTCATGGGTCAGTGAACAAGGTTAAGTTTTGGTGGTCAAGTCCATATCTCAGATACTATAAGCAATAGGTCTAGTATATTTGGTGTATGGAAGGACTGTAAAGTGTACATGTCCAACTGGCAGGTGTCATCTGACCTTGACCTCATTTTCATGGTTCAGTGGTTATAGTTAAGTTTTTGTGTTTTGGTCCGTTTTTCTTATACTGTATGCAATAGGTCTACTATATTTTGTGTATGGAATGATTGTAAGGTGTACATGTCTAGCTGGCAGGTGTCATCTGACCTTGACCTCATTTTCATGGTTCAGTGGTCAAAGTTAAGTTTTTGAGTTTTGGTCTTTTTTTCTAATACTATATGCAATAGTTCAACTATATTTGGTGTATGGAAATATTTTATGATCTATATGTCAGTCACGCAGGTTTTATTTGACCTTGACCTCATTTTCAAGGTTGATTTCTCAGTGTTAAGTTTTTGTGTTTTGGTCTGTTTTTCTTAAAATATAAGCAATAGGTCAACTATATTTGTTGTATGGAAAAATTGTTAGCTGTACATGCCTGCCTAGCATGGTTCATCTAACCTTGACCTCATTTTCATGGTTCATTGGTCAATGTTTAGTTTACTTGGTTAATGTTAAGTTTATGTGACAGTTGTAATAAAGCTTTATATTTAGGACTATCAACATAATATCAATGATTAGTAAAGAAGGCGAGACATTTCAGAGTGTGCACTCTTATTCTGGTTATAGGACAATTGAGACAATTTAAAAGCAGTGTAAGGGAGGTAACCCAAATATAATATGTTTGATTACCTTTTACATTGCTTTTAAATTATGTATAAAGAAATTTTGTAATTTTGAGGTTAAGAAGTTACTATTAAATTTATGATGATTAAGGAATATTGATTTTAGCCATGGTTTTGTATGTCATTTTCTATTTTTAGACTTATTTAAATAGGTAATTATGGATGGAAATTTGAATTGAGATTATGACCAAACTTGAAGGAAAGAATTTTTTGTTTGGAAAAAGGAAAGGGTGGGGGAGGTAAAAAAAAAAGGGGGGGCGTAACAAAGAAATTGTGGGAGGGGAATAAAAATATTTTGTAAAAAAAAAAGGGGGTAAAATTTATTTTTTTAATTTTTTGGTTTGGGTTGTTTGGAACAAGGGTGGGGGATAAAAATATTTTGTAAAAAAAAGGGGGTAGTAATCTTTTGTTTTTAATTTTTTTTTGGTGGGGTTGTTTGGAAAAAGGGTGGGGTGAAAATAAGGGGGGTATGATTTTTTTTTTTTAAGTGGGGGGGGGGGGAGTGTCAATTTGCAACAGCAAAACATTGAGCATAAATTCAAATCCTATAACCAATTCTAAATTCTCAATGGTTTTGTTATAAATAAATGTTGTATTCTTTTGAGGTGATTAGCTGTCAATTTTTTTTTAGAACTTGTGTTAAATGCTGATAAAGGAATTTATTTTTAGATATTACTATTAAATTTTGCTGATCAAGGTTTTCTATTTTTAGCCATGACTATGATGTCATTTTCTATTAAATACTTTTATGATGTACTTAAATGGATTTGGTTTGATGAAGGAATTTAATTTTAGATATTACTATTAAATTTTGCTGAACAAGGTTTTTTAATTTTAGCCATGACTATGATGCCATTTTCTATTTAATACTTTTATTATGTATTTAAATGGGTTTAGTTTTTTGTTTGGCATTAGAGTTACCTCCCTTACAATGGTTTTGTTATAATTTTTTAAAACATGCAGGAATTAAGTGCAAAAAAGAGCAAAAACAAGCATTTTTAAAGTTTCCAGACAATAACTTATGTGAAAGTGTATGGATCTCTCTAAAATTGTACTTCAAGGTTCCATACTACAAAGGAAAGACTGGGATTGAGTTTGATGGTTAATGCTCCAAGGGGGATTCAAAAAGTTTGAAAGGGAGGGGTTCCAATATTTTTAAACAATTCATATTTTTTTTCAACATTTTTCAAATTTCAAATTTATGAAAAGTTTCAAGAAGAAATCTTCAATTGCACAGTATTGCGCATTAAATTTGTAAAATCTTTGACCACATTTATTTTGTGTCAGAAACCTGTATTATGGCAAAAATTTGATCACAATCCAAATTCAGATAGTATCAAGCTTGAATATTGTGTCCAAATTTGTCCCAACTGTTCAGGGTTCGACCACTGAGGTCGTATCAGGCTGCGCTCAGCGAAGCATTTTCTTTATATTGTTTTATTAACTGTTGCTAGGTCTCTGTTTTGCCTTTCTATGCCCCTGCTGAGAAGGAGGGGGCCTTTAGTGTTACCTGTCTGTCCCATTTTCAATTCCGTGTCTTCTAGAGTTATGCCCCTTTATAACTTGGAAAATTGCAAAAATATCATTTCCCCACTTTTTCTCATCCAAGTTTTATGAAATTTGTACACAATGCTAAGAACCACAATATGCAGTCAGAGTTTAAATTTAGACAGGGAGTTATTAACCATTGTAGGGTTATGTCCCTTTTTAAATGAGAAAGCGTCAATTTTCAGGTCAGTACTTAATGGTCAAAGTTTTAAAATATGAAAAATTGCCCGGCTGAAAATATGAAAATAATAAGACCTGGTGCAATTTGCTTTTCTGGAAGAATAATTATGCTACATTTATTGGATTTTAATCAAACTTAAACAAGTTATTGATAGCAGAAAGGGTGAAAAGCCTATCAATTTAAAGGTCAAAGTTCAAGGTCAAAGGTTCTTGAACATGGTGTGAATTCTTCGCAATAAAATTGAGAATGGAAATGGGGAATATATCAAAACCCTGCCACAGAGCAGATAACATAAGTACAATAGTGTCGTAGTAATCGGTGACTTCCCTTTCGTCTTCAACTGCAAATCTATAGGTGCAGAGAGATATCTGCAAGATAGGTTTTCTCAAATCTTCAGTCTTCAACATGTTAATCACTGCTAGAATTTTGTTGAATGTCGTATTATACATGACTAAAATGACATCCAAATGGGGAAAAAATATTTATTTTAAGTTTTCATGATCATCTATGTCTGAGGTTTCAAAAACGCTTGCAACTGAGAAAGTTTGAACTTGAAAAAGCTACGTTAATATAACGATAGGGAGATAACTGCCAACGAGAGATCTTTCCAATAGAGACCAAAATATCTGTTAATGTAACAGTTAATGTTCTTTTCCGTGATGGTGATGTTCTCTATAGACAGTTGTATTGGTACATCAATTTTGAGCGTGTTTACAGTTTGAGTAACGTCTAAAATTTCAATTTATGTACTATCTGTATTAATAGATTATTAAACAGGGATAAAGACATCATACATTATCCAAATTTTATCAAATTGTGTCATAAATAGATATGATCGATTCCATGTGTTACAGACAATTAAAAAGGAAGTAGGAACTCAATATAGTATGTCTTAGAAAAAAGGTATAATAATCGTGCATTCTATTTCAAGGTTCTGTTTTGTTTTCTTTATTTCGGTCAGAGATATAATCTAGAACTAAAGAAGATGTGGTATGATTGCAAATGAGACAACTCTCCACAAGAGACCAAATGACACAGAAATTAACAACTATGGGTCACCGTACGGCCTTCAACAATGAGCAAAGCCCATACCACATAGTCAACTATAAAAGGCCCCACAGTATCTTGCTTATGTATAAAACCGACCGTGCAAGGGCTGTATAGCCAGTTATGGTCATTAAAAAACTTCCATTTGTTGCTTAGGTATAATTCTGATTTCAAAAGTCGTATTTCAACTATACTTAGTGTAATTTGGAATATCTGCGTTGTGGATGTCCAATCAATAACCAAGCTGAAAAGTAATTTCAGTTATAGAGCTTTGTAACTAAAAAACTTGATGTGCAATATATTCGTAGAGGTAGAAAAGCTCTGGGGTTTCATGGGGCGTATGACATTCGCGCCGATTTTTAAAATTTTCATTCGATCATTTGCGCCGATTTTATATTAGCTCCTACATGTAATTGCATTTACAGTTTAACATAGGTGAGTACTGGCCATACAAATCGGAAGGTCAGTGCAAATGATAGCGAGAAAGGTATACTTATGTTTTTTTCTACACACCTCAATCTTGAATGTCTTTGAAATGATATGTCTGCAATATTTATAGATGGAACTTTTAAGTACTGTCCGAAATACTTTTATCAGTTATATACTTTACACGGATGTAAAAATGGAAACTACGTTCCACTAATTTACGCCCTCTTACCAGCGAAAGATGAACAGTGTTATGAAGTGATGTGGAAAATAATTTGCGATCTCTGCCGTCAAAAACAACTTTCCTTTGTGGCCGAGGTTATGCATTTTGACTTTGAACAATTTTTGATTTTTGTGGCCGAGGTTATGCATTTTGACTTTGAACAATTTTTGATTTAGCGTATTCGTCAAATAAACTAATAATATTTCATTTTGCATGTCTGAAATAAAGAACTGCTTATATCTTATTAAAACATCAAATCGATGCCACTCGATCATCATGAGTGTCAAAAATTGGATATCCCCTTTCCATTTCCCTAATTTTTCATGCTATTCTCACTCCCCAGGTTACAAATAACTCGTTTTTAGATCGATATCAGACTTTTCTTATTTTGGTACAGAGTGGGCCTTGCAAGTTGGTGTCTTATCAAGTAACTCCTTTAATTTATTATATAATTCTTTTTTTTGCGAAACAAACAAAAACCAATTTTTGTCATGTCAAATATATAGACAAAACAAACATAAGAAAAACTAAGACTACTATAATAACACTATGTTTTTATCTCTGTTTAACACCACATTATTCACTATCACTATGTTTTGGTGTATACATGAAAATTAATATAATACTTCCAAGGTCTATCTTTGTCTATTAATTATTTGTTTGTCCTTCATTCTCAACGTTTTGTCAATCAAGCTTTATGAGGGTCTTGTTGGGGTCTTTTCTTTCATTAGTCTTTTTATTTACATTTTCTTCATCTTTAAACACAACGCTTATTCTGTAAAATTCGGGAATCCCCTGAAAATTATTTTGATGTTTCATTTATTTGTTCTGTACATGGTTCATTTATGTAATCAGTATTTTATTACATAATTGTTTAATTGTTCACAGTTAATCTTTATTCTTATGGCGATGATGCACACCATTACTCCCAACTGTTTTTCTTACTCTCCACATTAAATACTTATCTTGGCCATTATTCTCTTTTCTGTAAACCCATCAAAAACCTCCTCTAGTATGTTAAAGCATGGAAGTAATATTTGAATTTAAATATTACTTCCATGGTTAAAGGTAAATCACAAAAATACTGAACTCCGAGGAAAATTCAAAACGGAATGTCCATAATTAAATGGCGGCAAAATCAAAAGCTCGAACACATCAAACGCGAATGGATTATAACTGTAATATACCTGACTTGGTACAGGCATTTAGTATTTGCATTTAAACCCCATTAGTACAGATTGAGAACTTTCATTACTTATGGTTCACATACACAGGCACTATATATAAACATTTTTTTTCAGAGACAAAATTAAGTGCTTGTGTATGTGTACCATAAGTAATGAAAGTTTTATTACGACCAGAGACATGAAAGGGAGCAACCATTTAACTATAAGAAGGGGGTAGTGGTTTTTTGTATGAGTCAGAATTTTTTGGAAAAAGTATGTTCTTATTTTTCGACGCTACCAATCAAATTATGTTTTTTTCAAAATTTAACACTATATAAGGTATGGAAAAAATCTGGATTTAGATTGATAATATTTCATTTTGTCACCTGATTGACCACAATACTTTTTTTCATCGAACTTGGGACCAGAATATCTTTTAGGAATAAACCAGTCCACACTCCCCCCTTTGAAGTTAAATGGTAGTTCCCTAATACCTCAGTACATGTATGTATATGTCTCTGACTGTTGTGAAATTGCCCTCAGTAAAAAATAACAGTGGAATTCTACAATTCTCAAGGTTTCGACTGAGTGCCAGTGGGTCCCTTATGAGTAAATGCGATGGTATGAAATGTACAGATCGTGAAAAGGAACGATAAAAAAGCGAACGTCAGAGAGAACACCGAGAACAGTTTGTATTTAGGCGGGAAAGAACTTTGAAGATCCAAGATGTGTTTTTAAATTAACCTGATCAAAACATGATTAAAACTTTTAATGTTATACATTAAACTGAGTTATTAAAATTTAAGACGATTTATTGAATAAAATATATAATTTAATTGTTCTTTGATAAATTATAAATTATGAAATTTAGAGAGTAATATATTTGTCTTAGCACGTGGTTCCGTTAGCTCGATCTTTTCACTTCCGGTAATCTTTCAGGTTGGAAGCATGCCTTTTTTATCCCACTAATTTTCTGCTATTTCCTAAAAAAATAACCCAAACAAGAAGTTTAACTTGTTGAATAAAGATTATTTTAACTATGAATCGCTTCTTTTTCTTGCAGAATGCCACCAAAAGGACCTTTACAGTCCGTTCAAGTCTACGGTCGAAAGGTAAAACTGTTATTAAATTTCTTGAGCCGAGGCTGAGCACTTTCAGAACATAATGAAAGAGCTATACTAAATTTTAATTAAATTTAAAATAAATAAACGAACCCCTGCTCAAAACTTGCACTGGCTTCATTTGAAAACGTACTCTATCGAAAGCAAAGCAATGACTCGTGGGCTAAATTAGACAAAATAAATACTAATAGCAGATATCTAATTATTTAGATATATACATAAATTATACAGATGATAATTTGATACATGCACCTGTACAACAAAAAAATGTTATGACGTTGTAGGAAGCGGAAGGTGCCACTGGAAAAAACTAAAATAGCCTTTCAAGGCGTCAAAATTATTTAGAATAGAATACACCAATCACGGTCTTTTTTATGAATGTGAGTGACACCAGGTGACCCTTGCTCAATCTGCAAATTTTGTCAGTCATAGAACAATTTATTAGTTCGTAGTAATACATCTTGCTGTGATTTCGGAACCATAGCTCTGAGGTCCTTATGTTATTTTTTTACTATTTGCGTTCTACAGGTCTGCAAAGTGGGTCTCATTGGGGTCTAAGCGTGACGCGGGATTGCCGATTTTTTGTAAGCGTGACACGTGAAAGTCAAATTATTATGTCGTGAAAACAGGAAATGATGTCTAGCGGGATACGGGAAATTACAAAAAAAAGAGAATTGCTTACGTACATAGTGTAAGCGGGATACGGGATCAGAACCCCCCAATGAGACCCCCTGCAAATAGTAAAAAATAACTTAAAGACTGAAGAGCTATGGTTCCGCAGCTAGCTGGGAGTGTGACATTATGACGTGAGCATTGTGACAAAGGAAATTTATGGGAAAGTGTACAAATAACAGGTCTGTTTTAAAAATTATTGAAAGTCGGAAGACTTTTCAAGAAATAAAGGTGTAGGTACATAATAGATTTATTAGTTACACACTCTGATTGGCATTATTTACATGTAGTTCGTGAATTAATGCACCATAAAATATACTAGATATAGAACCAAGGAGTTGTGGTACAATTGGTCAAAGACTTAGGGACATGGATGTAAGCAAGACCATGTTTAAGCCACACAGATGGTCAGTGCATGAGAAACTACTTTTTAAACTTGCTGGATACATGTGTAAAAGTGTCAAGTGTTTTCTGTCATGTCTGTGTTTACTGATTTATAAGAAGTTGTCAAGCATGACTTTTGTGTCCATATAGAATTTCTAGAAATAAAGAAAAGAGAACATTGACAGGTTATCTCTTACAGTAATTCACCAGAGATTCTTAATGTTAAGTCCACTCTAAATTTAGCCTCCTAAGATGAAGATTTACAAGTGTCTTCAATTTAATGGAATAAATTTTCTAGTTTTTCTAAAACATGTGCAAGCTTGAAATAAATAACTTGAAAGCTATGAAAAAAGTCCATTTCTTGTTAAGCTTGAGTAATTTTATGACTGGAAGTTGCATTAGACAAGAAATGATTAGATATATGCACGCTTTAAACAACTTGTAGGAGGGAAGATGTGAAGGTCATTAAAGTTGACTTTTTAAACATCATTGCCTTGACCACTTCTATGCCACACATGATGATAGAATATTATGTCAATGATTGTCAGTGATTGATGTTACACACTCTCTGATTGGCATAGAAGTAGTTAGAAGGTAAGGTTGATAAGGGTTATTTTCACAGTGTGACTGCACTCATATGGTATTCCTCCAATCTTATATAGTTCAGTCCTGAATATGCTCAACATGTTTGATCACAACCGTAGCCAGGGGGTGTTCGAGGGGTTCATACAACCCCCCTTTGAAAACAAATAAGCACTTTAAAGTCGACGTTCTGTTTGAATTGTAACTGTTAAAGTTAAGTATGATTGACTTGTATCCCCCCACCCCCTTTGGAAATTCCTGGCTATGGGCCTGGGATCACAATTCTTTTGCAGTTTTCTGTCAGTAGTTAACTGATTGGAGCTTCAAACATACCATATGGGCCCTTGTGATCTATTTTATTATGCCAAATTTACCCCTTATCATTAGCGATTGTCTTGTGTAAGTGTTTTTGGGTTGCTGTCTCATTGTCACTTAGTCAAATTCTACTTGTGTTAAACATGTTAAAAGTCCAGAAAATTTCTAGATAACAAATATATATTATTTTTATTTAATTTTCTTAAATATATTTGGCAAGAAGCCCATAGCTTTGTCATTAAAATGAGCTGCAGCTGTTGAGAAATAACTGTCAATTGGATTTTTACTTGAATCTTTTAAAACAATGTTTTCAAATTCATACTTATGCCACACATGATGAAAGTTTATCTACTTCCATGGCAATGACTGTCAGTGATTAATGTTACACACTCTGATTGGCATAAATCTTTATTTGAATATCTCTTCAGGAGATGAATTTTGAGATGTATGATTTTATTTTCTTTTTCATCAGTGTTTGTTTAAGCAGGGGTATCAGAAAGGGTTGGGATAATTGGATAACCCATTGTTTCTATGTATAAGAATGTCTGAATTTTAAGCTTTCAGAAGAAACTCCTTTGATTTGAAGTCTTACGATATTAGTTCTTAAGTTATTTTGTTGCTTATCACTGTATATGACACCACTTGTACCTCCCAAACAACCCTTTGTACAAGATAATATCTATTAAGACAATCGTCATTTACACATTTAAATATTAAGAGAAAATATAATGTGAGACCTCATTACCAATGACCAATATTTACATGTTCAGCATTTTCAGTTTTCTGGATGTTGTCTCAATGAAATGGAAAGTCTTTTAAAGAGTAGATGCATTATTCTTGGTTGAATGAATGTTTTAAAAGAAAATGCGAAGAAGCAATGACTTGATAAAACAAACCCATTTCTTGGGAGAACTGAATAAAGCACATGTATTATTATACAAGAAGTTGATTAAATACTTACGCCACACATGATGAAAGTATAACTACTTCCATGGCAATGACTGTCAGTGATTAATGTTACACACTCTGATTGGCATAGATCACAATTTGTAATCTTTAAAGCAAGCTAACCAAAGATATTACCTTTCGCTACATACTCTATGAAATCGGCTGTAATATTGATGAAACCTGACCAAATTTCAAGTTTTTAATAATATAATTCTTCAATCATTTTGTAGCATATTGCATATATCATGTATATGTTTACACTATATGTACAGCGTACCTTCCAACCAGATTTATATATACATTTTTTATGAACCCCTTTCATGCCTATATCAAGCAGAAATTTTATGCAAGACCCCATACCAATGATTGACACTAACATGTTCACCCTTTAGTGTTCTGGATGTTGTCATGGTTTATAGTCTTTTAAGAATAGATAGCTTATTCTCAAACCGAATATTTGAATAAACAAAAACAAACCCAGAAGTCCTTTGCAAGAAGTAATAATCTGAAAAAAACCCAGTTCTATAGATAACAATTGTACAACGCGTGTATACTAAAAGTTTTTGAAATACTTATGCCACACATGATGAAAGTTTATCTACTTCCATGGCAATGACTGTCAGTGATTAATGTTACACACTCTGATTGGCATTGTTGAGATGTCCTAATTGAATGTCTATCTGTGAGGAAATGTGCTGAGGAATTCATTTTCTTACTACTTTTAAAACTTGAATCTCGATGCATTTTGGTGATCTTTGTGAAGTGCAAGTGTTGGCCCCTTTATAGCAGTCAAGTATTTAGTTATAAAAATCATGGCATCAGCTTTTTCTTACAAGAATGATATACGTAATGTTTACCAAGATATAACCAAACACTTCTTTTACTCCGTTAACATTCAAAACAGCAGCATACAACAGTTAGCCCTTTAGATACAGGCTTATTAAAGGGTAAGTCAAAAACCCAAAATTAGAGTTATGGCCCTTTTACATTATATAAAGGGTCAGTTAAAAGCCCAAAATTAGAGTTATGGCCCTTTTACATTATATAAAAGGTCAGTTAAAAGCCCAAATTTAGAGTTATGGTCCTATTACATTATATACATGTAAAGGGTCAGTTAAAAGCCCAAATTAGAGTTATGGCCCTTTCTCTTTTTAAAATGAAGGAAATTAAATGGTAGTTTTCCTTCTTTGCTGGTCTTGACACAAAATTGTACACCTGTTAAATATCACCTGTGTAAATTGTGCTCTTTTCTGTCAATGAATGTTTGTATAAGAATGATGTTCTTATATATTTCAGAAAACTGCCACGGCTGTAGCCCACTGCAAGAGAGGAACAGGTTTAATCAAAGTCAATGGCAGACCTTTAGATTTATTGGAACCACAAGTTCTAAGATACAAGGTATTGTGAAAACCTATACCTACAACAGACTGTCACTGACATGACAAAGTTCTTCTGAAAGGTTAAATAATTCTGCTGCATTATAGCTTGCAGTGTACCCCAAACTCTGTCTGACCAACAAAATGTCACAAAAAAAATCGTTTGGTCAGACAGAAATTTAAAAAATAAGTTGACAATATAGTAGAAAAGGTCAAATTTCTTTTCGGTCAGGCAAATCCTAAATCAGTTGCACAGACTGAACTGCTCGTTGGGATTGTGTCATTTCCACATGTCCACCATAGTTATTATTGAACAAAACATGCAGAGAGATAAACATTTCATTTTCTTTTCTTAAAACTTGCTCCTTGAATACAAAAAATACCTATCACAAAATTGTTATGGTTTTGTGATCAATAGTTCTAAAAAATCTAAGATTAAATTTGAGTTCAAGCAGACAAATGGGAGGGTACTCATGATGAAACTGTGACAGTTCTGCTTTTAACTGAGAACAGCTGAGGACAAATTCACAGCGCTCTGATGGTGACCATTCAATTGTACATTGTAACAATAGGCCATGGCAGTTGAGATCTCAATAGACTAAATCCTTGCTTCATTTTCTTGTTCATGTTCAAAGTCTTTCTGTTATTGACATGTATAGATTTTTTTTCTTTATTTGGTGAGATTGGTGTTGGTGGCCCAGTCTCATGCAGGAAAGCAACAGTAAAAGCAAAATACATGTTTTGAAACTTTGAACAAATTTTTTTTAAAGATTTGGAAAATAACTTTTTCTAAATATAAACAAAAATGTGGATTGTTGCCAATAGATGTATATATTTCATTTAGGTGTGACAGTCTTTACTTCAAACCTTTCAATTGGGCAACAAATAAAAACACAAAATCAGGGTTATGTACAAGATTAATATGAAACTGCTTGCAACAGATTTTGGTTTTCCATAATAAATTGTAATAAATTGTATAGATGCTTATGATGATACTGTGACAGTTCTGCTTTTAACTGATAATTATTGAGGACAATCATCACAGCGCTCTGATGGTATAATACAAAGTTTTCTCCAGATGCCAAGCAGTATACTTGTACGCTTGACCAACAACCAACCAACTTAATGTTTTTTTAGTCTGTTGAAAACTAGCTTCGAGTAGTTGGTAAAAATTTACAAATTAAACGAAATGTATGCCTTTAACTCATCATTACCCTACAAGTGTTAAAAAAGACCCCCCCCCCCCTTACACACACACACAAAAACAAATTCATATATATGATAAAGGCAATCCTTAGAAAAGATGTTAATTTCAAGTGCATTTTTTAAGGCTTGTTCATATATATATCAAATATCTTTGTTCTTATTAAATATTTGATATCATTCCAAAACAAGTTTTACCCTACAAAATTGACTAACCATTATATGGATAAAAACTTTACTGAAATTGACACTTGTAGACTTAATGTTTTGTTGGTGTGATGGTCAGATATGGTGCAGTAGTTCTAGTAAAATGTCATAACTTGGATATTACCGTGAAGTCAACCCTGTTACAATGTATTACACATGACATACTTAACAAAAGATACATGGAGAAGTTGAAATTTAACAAAAGATACATGGAGAAGTTGAAATTAACTATTCAATTCAACTGAACATGTCCAAAATTATATATTTTCTGATTTATTCTAGACGGAAAATTTGTATGTTTATCAGTATGATGATACTGTGACAGTTCTGCTTTTAACTGAAAATTATTGAGGACAATCATCACAGCGCTCTGATGGTATCATACAAAGTTTTCTCCAGATGCTGAGTAGTAAACTTGTATGCTTGACCAACAATCCACCAACATAATGTTTAAGTCAATAGATATAGGAAGATGTGGTATGAGTGCCAATGAGACAACTTCCGTCTGTTGAAAACTAGTTCCGAGTAGTTGATCAAAATTAACAAATTGAACAAAATTTATGCCTAGTATAACTCATCATTACCCTACAAGTGTTATACTATTAAAACAAATTAGAAACAGTTAAAATGGTCATTCCTTGAAAAAGATGTTCATTTATAAGTGCTTTTAAAGGCTTGTTCACTTGCATTAAGCATGTAAAGTAGATATCTTTATGCTCTTGTTAACTATTTGATATCATTCAAACAAAAGTTTTTATCTTATCTAACCAATATTATATTGATATGGATAGATAGAAACTTTAGGGAAATTGACACTTGAAGACATGTTGTATAATTGGGTTGTCTGTCAGATAGGGTGCAGTAGTTCTTTAAAACGTCATGAACCTGGATATATATATACATGTACCATATTGAAGTCAACCCTGTTATAATATTTTACACTTCACAAACTTAACAATATATACATGTATGAAGTTACAACTAATTGTGCAATTCACCTGTTCAAAAATTATATATAATTTTCTTTGATTTAGATGAGACTGAAAATTTGTATGTTCATGATGTTTATCTGTATGATGATACTGTGACAGTTCTGCTTTTAACTGAAAATTATTGAGGACAATCATCACAGCGCTCTGATGGTATCATACAAAGTTTTTTTTTCAGGTGCTCAGTTGTAAAATGCAGTAAAAACTTGACCACCAACCAATTTTTTATGCAATAAATTGAATAATGCTTAAAATTCTAAATAATTGTTGGGTTGGTCTATTCTGGGAAACCCCCCATGCATTTAATTTTGGAATATCTCTGTCATGTTACATTTGTAGTTCCATGTATTTTCAATTGTTAAATGAAAACCAAGACACAAATGATATCAAATTTAGGTTGGGGTTGTAAACTTTATGCATGTATAAACTATGATGCATAAAGCATTCACTGCTCTACACAATTTAAGTTTGTCAAATGCAAGTCTTCTTGTACATTGTTTCACTCTCTCTCTAGGCATTGAAGTTATTTCTAATTTTCACTTGCATATATGACTTGCCTGTTTCAAGAGTCGTCTATGCATGTGGGAATTATATAGAGAATATCATATGGCTTTTTCAATATCACATCCGTATCAACCCGAGACACCAATATAATCCCAAGAGCTCTGCTCGAGGGATTATATTGGTCGAGGGTTGATAGGGTGTGTGATATTGAAAAAGCCATATCATATACACTTTATTATATACATATACCTCACGTAGATGTTTTTTTATGTGACATGAGGTCATACAGGTATGGAGGTTTGAAATGACGTCATACAGATTATAGGTTTGACATGACGTCATACAGATTAGGGGTTTGATAAAGCCTTTGCAACAGTGACTGCAATCGATGACGTGACGTCATACAGATTAAAGGTGTGATAAAGCCTTTGCAACCGTGCTGATATCGATATCATCACGGGTGGCTGATACAGCACGCTTGCCAATGATTGTATTACACATACAATTAATCTGTATTTACTACTAAGTATATAATAAAGACTATTACTGAACTTTATCTGTTATTATAATAGTTTATTTCAAGGTACTAAACATGCTCTTAATTTTTATATAAAAATTTAAAGTGTAAGCATTAGAAATTACAATTAATTATTCAAATCATTCTTTCCAAATTTATATTTGCCAATATAGAATGTTTTACGGGACTGAAAATTTTGTATGGGTATGCTTATGATGATACTGTGACAGTTCTGCTTTTAACTGATAATTATTGAGGACAATCATCACAGCGCTCTGATGGTATCATACAAATTCTTTCATGTCCTAATACAATTAAATGTAGTTATGATACTGTGAACAATATTTACAAGCTTTTGTAGGAAATTGAAGTGTTCTCTTTCATGTCTTGTCACAAAGATTGCTCAGACCCCATGATGAACATTAAACAGTTAATTATTTGAATGATGTTTGTTTCAGCTCCAGGAACCAGTTTTACTGTTAGGAAAAGAGAAGTTTGCTGGAGTTGACATCAGAGTCAGAGTTAAAGGTGGTGGACATATTGCACAGATATATGGTACGTTTATATTAGGGTCAGAATATTGCTTGTTTAAGAAGCATATCTCAATACTCATCCTGTTTACTTTCCTGAATATAAATGAAATGTTTTCCACTTGACTTTAAACAAGCAGCAATCAATAGATGTAAGACAGAAGAATATTGCACAGTTCAGTTCATTTTGTTCAATACAAATATAGACAACTAAACTATACACTATCCAGTTGGCAAGGTTGGCAAAAAAGCGGTCAATACTAGTATTGACCATGCTAGTATTGACCATGCCGGCGGTAAATACTGGCAAATACTGGTAGATTGAAATTTTGAGTGGACGTTACTATAAAAACCACTCTCTACCTGGTCAATTACTTTTAGTAATGAAATAATAAAAGTGTTAAAGTCATTTTAAATGTTCTCATTTCTAATTTTATTGTAAATTTTTAAAAAACAGTGATTTACAATGATTTATTAGTACATAAGATAAAAATGTTTCGTCCCTGGCAAAGAAACTCATCAGGTGGCCTTTGCACTGACTATAGCATTACAATCATTACATTTTGCACTGATTTGTTGTTGTCTTATATTGTATAGAAGTTCCAAATAGGGTCTTCAGGTTTCAGTTTGGTGCTTAAGGTCAAGATGGTTGTACTATGTGTATGTAAAAATTGATTATGTAAAGGTAAAATTTATATACATTTACTACATTATATATTTTTTAGTTTAAAACATAAATTACAGTTCAGCAGTAAGAGTAAAGGTCCTTGATACCTTCCATTTCCTGCATAAAGATGATTTTTGTCTCACATTTATTATGATTTAATAGACAGGAAATATTTTGTTTAAGTGAATCTTCAAATATCACTTTTATTACTTTCAACCATGTTTTGTCATCATTTATTGGGGGCTGTTGTTTTTATACGACCGCAAAGAAATTTTGTGGTCGTATATTGGTATGACGTTGGCGTCGTCCGAAGACACATTGGTTTTCGCACTCTAAATTTAGTTTAAGTGAATGGATCTTTTTGAAATTTGACCATAAGGTTGAATACCACAAAAGGAAGGTTGGGATTGATTTTGGGGGTTATTGTACCAACAGTTAAGGAATTAGGGGCCAAAAAGGGGCCAAAAATAAGCATTATCTAGTTTCCAGACAATAACTGTGGAACGGTGTATGGATCTCTCTGAAATTACACTACAAGTTTCCATACCACAAAGGGATGGTTAGGATTTGCTTTGGGGGGTTATGGCTCAAACCGTTTAGGAATTAGGGGCAAAAAAGGGGGAAAAACAAGGTTGTCCTGGTTAATGGACAAATACTTTAGTACAAAACATATATAAAGCAGTGTAAGGGAGATAAATCAAATACATCATTGAAATTATCTCCCTTACACTGCTTTTAAATTATGTATAAAGTAATGGTTAATGAACAATAAAGATAATTTAAAACAGTGTAAGGGAAGTAATCAAAATACAACGTTTTGGTTACTTCCCTTACACTGCTTTTAAATTATGTTTAAAGAAATGCATATTTATAAAGGAAGACCAGTAAAAATATCTGCAAAAAAATCCATATGAAAGATTTGACACTATATTTTTTATTCTATTATAAAATAGATTAAGTTAGCACTATGGTAAATTTAAATGGGTAATTATGGTTGCCAACTCCATTGGAAATTTGAATTGAGATTATGACCATATCTTGAGGGAAAGAATTTTTTGGGGGAAAAGGGGGGGGGGATAAAAAGAAATTGTGGGGGGTCAATTTTTTCTCATTTCAGATTTCAGAAATTAAAAAGAATTATTCTTCAAATATTTTTTTTTTTTCAAATTTCAAATATTGAAAAATTTCAAGAAGTAATCTTTAATTGCACAGTATGGCGCATTAGATTTGTAAAATCTTTGATCACATTTATTTATTTGTTATGCCGAATCTAACAGTGTATTTAGATTTTTAATTTTGGGTCCAGTTTTCAAATTGGTCTACATTAAGGTCCAAAGGGTCCAAAATTAAACTTTGTTTGATTTTAGCAAAAATTGAATATATGAGGTTCTTTGATATGCTGAATCTAAACATGTATTTAGTTTTTGATTATGGGCCCAGTTTTCAAGTTGGTCCAAATTGGGGTCCAAAATTAAACTTTGTTTGATTTCAACAAAAATTGAATATATGGGGTTCTTTGATATGCTGAATCTAACCATGAATTTAGATTTTTTATTTGTGGGCCCCGCTATCAAATTGGTTCATATTGAGGTCAAAAGGGTCCAAAATTAAACTTTGTCTGATTTCATAAAAAATTGAATTATTGGGGTTCTTTGATATTCCAAATCTAACCGTGTGTTTGGATTTTTAATTTTAAGTCCCGTTTTTTAAATTGGTCTACATGAAGGTCCAAAGGGTCCAAAATTAAACTTAGTTTGATTTTAGCAAAAATTGAATTCTTGGGGTTCTTTGATATGCCGAATCTAAACATGTGTTTAGATTTTTGATTATGGGCCCAGTTTTCAAGTTTGTCCAAGTTGGGGTCCAAAATTAAACTTTGTTTGATTTTAACAAAAATTGAATATATGGGGTTCTTTGATATGCTGAATCTAACCATGTATTTTGATTTTGGACATTGGACCATAATAGGTAAATTAAAAAAAATCAAGTTCTTAGACCACATTCTTTCTGTGTCAGAAACCTATGCTGTGTCAAATATTTAATAACAATCCAAATTCAGAGCTGTATCAAGCTTGAATGTTGTGTCCATACTTGCCCCAACTGTTCAGGGTTTGACCTCTGCGGTCGTATCAAGCTGCGCCCCAGCGAAGCATTTTATTATAGTATTTAAATTATCACACCAAGCAATGACAGGTGATAGGTAATAAGACACCTGTAACTTCATTTACCTGTAGTTTTATGTACCTGTAAAAATTATGCATTTTCAATAAAAAATATCTTGATTGAAAAATGTTGTAATAATTAATATGTCAATTCTTTATATATATCTTAAATATGCAATATCATAACTTATAAGGACTAAATTAGTAGGTAAAAGAGTTAACAATGAATAAAACATATCAAATTCATTCATTTATATCAGCTGAAACATGCCAAAAGATAAAATTTTAAATATATCTTACTTTTTATCATTTTTTTACTTCAATAAATAGTAAAAACCACCATGAAAATTTCAGTCGACCAGTATTTGCCAGTATTGACCACTTGAGGAGTATTGTACGGGCACTAAATACCGGTAAATACCGCTGGTAAATACCAGGGGCGGTATTTACCGCCCAACCTTGCCAGTTGGTCAACATGTAAACATTGTAGCTATATATATAGACAACACTGTACTGTTTACAAAGATAAAAAAATAGAAAAATTTTTTTTGTCAGTTTTATTTTACTTTCTTAATTTGTTTCATACATTTATGTAGTGCAAAAAGATAACAGTAAAATCTGTATCAAAAAATTAAATTGAATTCCAATATAAATGAGTTAAAGATTGACAATCAACCAAGAATAATTATTGTGATACACCTCATTAATTTTTCTTGCTCTTTCATTTTGAAAGGAAAAAGGTTGTATTCCTTTTGCTGTGCAATCAGAATTTTTAAATAGATAATGTGCTGAGCGCTTTATTTTCAAAAAAGTTTTGCAACCAATGTTACTTGTGATGAAACTGTGACAGTTCTGCTTTAAACTGAGATTAGCTGAGGACAATCATCACAGCGCTCTGATGGTGACCATAAATTCATTGTAGAAATAGACTGAAGTTTTGAATTTTAAAGTAGAGTTTTACCAAAGGTTTTTTATGAATTCTGTACTATTAAGTTTGAAAAAAAGTAAGCAAATATCTTCTTTATGAAGATTGTAACTACAAGTCAGATACAGTCAAATTAAAATGAATATTTTATTTTTCAGCTATCAGACAGGCTATCTCAAAGTCTCTAGTAGCTTACTATCAGAAATGTAAGTGTGTAATTAAATGTAAAAAATATTGCATTATTGTATGTGTTTCAGGTAAAACCATTAGCATTATCATCATTGTCATGTAGAAAAAACATTCTTACTCTCACCTCTGCTACTTGTGTGTTTATGCTCCTGTAATAAAAATAAGAAACTGCAGGTTATAGCGTGTTGAATGTCTTTGATATTGAGGCAAAAGACTTGCCTGAATAAATTGTTAGTATAAAATAAAAATGAACCATTTTGAAGTATCCATACACCAACAAAGAAAAGATAATCCATGATAAGTAGGTTAATATTGTTGAGATATATATGTGCAGTAGACCAACTTTTACCTTCACTTCTGGGCAAGGGCAGATAATTGTTTATCTAGTCATAATCTGTGAAGGTGACAGTAAATATAAACCATAGTTAATCACAGGCTACCTTCTTTTAGATCAGTCTGTTTCACTTCATGGTTACATATTTATATCCTCCATGAGTACATAGACAAATTTACACATTTTTAGTAATGGTCAAATTCCTCTATATTGATACTGTAAATTCAGAAAGTTTGGTGGTTTCCTCTCAAAAGACTTGTATTATTTTGGTGTGTGCACATGTAATTTTGGTGCTTCCTCAAATTGATGTGTTTTTTTAATTTTGGCACAATAGAAGTGAGCAAGCTCCTTCATATTTGCTTTTATTTACCAGTTTATTGACAAAATATCAGAGTTCTAGGGTAAATTTCAATGACCTAGGAACAAAATTTTGGCACTTTCATTGCAGGTGGCATTATAAAATGAAATGATATTGCCTACCTACCTACAGTACCTACCCTATTTTTTTCAGCACATTTGTAGTAGCACATGTATTATTTGTTAAGCCAAATGGCCAGTCATAGTACAATTTGACATATCTCCTGTTGAAGACCATATTTTGATTAGAGAGGTCTTTCTGTGATATTTTTGTGTTGCTGTATATTACTATCTAATTAACATATACCAAATTTCTCTTTCAACAAGCCATTTAATTCCAAAAGTTGTACTCTAACTTGTAATTAAAGATTGTTTTCTGTAACAATTAAGGTTTCCATTTTAGATGTTGATGAGGCATCAAAGAAGGAAATCAAGGACATGTTGATCAGTTATGACAGGACATTATTGGTAGCTGATCCTAGACGGTGTGAACCTAAGAAGTTTGGAGGTCCAGGTCCCCGTGCTCGTTACCAGAAGTCATACCGTTAAAATGGACATTCTTCTGGTGTACATTTATCAGTAAAGAAAAAAAATCTATTCTGTGTTTTGTGTATTTACTTTGCATCCCAACTAATGTTTGAAATTATTTTAGTATCAGATATGACATTTATGAAAATATTTTTGGCTTTGAACTAAGATGTGGTAAGATGGCCAATGAGAAAACTATCCATCAAGAACGAAGAATAAAATTTTAAAACTTTGCTGTTTTTATGCCCCGCTATAGGGGAGGGGGCATTAAGTTTAACCCTTGTCCATCTGTACGTAAGTTTGTACTTCCGTCCGTACGTCCCAAAATTGGTTTCTGTTCTCTAACTTTTGTTTGTCTCAACTAAATGATATGAAACTTATACACAATGCTCATTACCACAAAACACAGAGTGTGATTTTTGGTTGTGTCACTTATACAGTTTAAGAGTTATGCCCCTTTACAAAAGGAAAAATTGCTGAATTTTTTTGTGTCCATTCTTTAACTTTAGTTTGCTTCAACCAAATATTATGAAACTTATACACAATGCTTATTACCACAAAACACAGATCAAGTGTGAATTTTGGTAGTGTCATTTTTACCGTTCTAGGGTTATACCCCTTTACAAATGGAAAAATTGCTGAATTATTTGTTTCTGTTCTCTAAACTTAAGTTTGTCTCAACTAAATGTTATTAAATGTATATATACTGTGGATTCATTAATATTAGTTGGATACTAATTATCGTGGGTACTGGGGAACCACGAATTTAAATATTCAACGAATTACAAATTTCCTAAAGGAATGTATGCAGACATTGACAAAACCACGAAATTAAATATCCACGAATATGCAAGCTTTATTCAATCCACGAAAATTGGTACCCACGAAAATAAATGAATCCACAGTAATGCTTATTACCAAAAAACTCAGTTTAAGTTTAAATTTTGGTGGCGTCACTTTTACAGTTCTTGAGTTATGTCCTTTTATAACGTTTTATGCTAGCTGGGTCATTCATTATCTGTGTCTTTATGGACACATTCCCCATCTATTTTTTTTTTTATCATTTCTTGAATTAAGTCTACACTACATTTAATTAATTAAAGTAATTGAATTGATTAATATTGTAATTACTTAGTCCATCATCAATCTGTGACACTTTTTAAGTATTTGAAAATATTGTATGGCCATATTTGTTATTTGAAAATTTTCAATAGTTATTCCAACTGAGCCTTTTTTCACCACTTGCATTATGTGACATGTGAAAAAATAAGCTGAGATGTTGGTCGAAAGTGTCATTCTATGTGGATGTTTTTGTTTTGCAAGTTTTACCATTATCAGTCCAGAAATATTTGCCTCAACCAAATGTTATGAAACTTGTACACAATGCTCATTACCACAAAACACAGATCAAGTTAGCATATTGGTGGCGTCACTTTTACAGTTGTAGAGTAATGCCCCTTTATAAAAGGATTTTTTATGCCCCCGCCGTAACGGAGGGGGCATTTAGTTTTACGCTTGTCAGTCGGTCCGTATGTCCAAAAATCAGTTTCCGTTCTCCAACTTGAGTTTGCCTCAACCAAATGTTATGAAACTTATAGACAGTGCTTATTACCACAAAACACATCAAGTTCGAATTTGGGTGGCGTCCCTTAAACTGTTCTAGTGTTATTCCCCTTTAAAAATGGAAAAATTCCAAAATTTTAGTTTCCGTTCTCTAACTTAAGTTTGCCTCAACCAAATGTTGTGAAACTTTACTCAATGCTTATTACCACAAAACACTGATCAAGTTGAATTTTGGTGGCATCACTTTAACCATCATCGAGTTGTGCCCTTTTTTAAATCGAAAAATTGCTAAATTTTTAGTTTTCATTCTGTAACTTCAGTTTGCCACAACCGAACATTATGAAACCTATACACAATACTTATTACCACAAAACTCAGGTCATCACTTTGTAGAACACCACATACGAGGTGTCAGCTATAAAAAGTAGTTTTCAAACCAATAAATTTTCTACTAAGAAGCTGGCGTGATTGGAATTCATTTCTATATAAATAATACATAAAAAAATCGTCAAAAGTAGTATTTTATCGTGAAACTTGCATATAGAGCCTTGAAATCTGTAACACGGAAAACTAGGGAGAGGTGTTTGAGATAAAAGGCCACTGAAAACATCTACTTCTGCTTGCTTGAAACAGATTATGGTTCGGTTCCTTCCGTGCAATATATTATTTGGTACTAACAATTCTCAAAAAAGAAATTTTGATACTTGAACTTGCCGCGATCGTTTTTCTCCGCTTCAAAACCGCCACCCCATGTCAAGCATAGCCGACACCCCATGTGGCGTTCTACACGGTGGATCAAGTACAACTTTTGGTAATGTCACTTTTATCATTCTTGAGTTATGTCCCTTTATAATGTTGTATTCAAGCGAATGCATCATATGTGTCCATGGGGACACATTCTCCATTTATTTTTTTAAAGTTTCTGCTCCCTCAAGTTTGCCCCATTTAAATGGTATGAATCTTATACACCATATTACCACAATAGTTTTGAGACCAAGCATTTTTGGCTTGCCTACTCCAATAGTTGTAGGTGTCCCCAAGGTTTGTGATCAGACATCACCTAGACTTTTCTTTGTGTTAACTAGTCAGTTTTAACTCCAGTGTAATATGACGTATTGTGAAAGCTAGTACTCTGGGTTGGTAAGTCTGGAAGATTTCGTATTTTGAGTTCGATTTGTTTCTGATGATAGCGTTGATAAACCATTTTTATTTCAATTTTTATACGACCACAAAAAAAAAAAATCGGTCATATATTGGTGTCTCGTTGTCGTCATTCGTGTCGTCTGAAGACCCTTAGTTTCCGGACAATAACTTTAGTTTTAATGAATGGATCTCTATGAAATTTAAACACAAGGTTTGAAACCACAAAAGGAAGGTTGGGATTGATTTTTGGGGTATGGTCGCAACAGTTTAGGAATTAAGGGCCTAAAAAGGGGTCCAAATAAGCATTTTTCTAGTTTCCAGACAATAACTTGTGTGTAAGTGTATGGATCCTTCTGAAATTGTACCACAAGGTTTCATACCAAAACTGTAATTGTTTAGGAATTAGGTGCCAAAAAGGGGCCAAAAACAATACTTTGTATAAATTGCTTATTTCTTGACCAATTTCAGTGGGGTTTTATTCTTGAATTCTTGGGGTTCTTTAATATGCTGAATCTGACCATTTATTAAGTTTTTGGATTTTGGGCCCTGTTTTTAAATTGGTCCACAATGAGGTCCAAAGGGTCCAAAATTAAACTTTGTTTGATTTCATCAAAAATTGAATTATTGGGGTAAACTTTGTTTGATTTCAACAAAAATTGAATATATGGGGTTCTTTGATATGCTGAATCTAACCGTGTATTAAGTTTTTGAATTTTGGGCACCGTTTTTAAATGGTCCACATTGAGGTCCAAAGTGTCCAAAATTAAACTTTGTTTGATTTCATCAAACATTGAATTATTGGGGTTCTTTGATATGCCGAATCTAACCATGTATTTAGATTTTTAATTTTTGGTCCCGTTTTCAAATTGGTCTACATAAAGGTACAAAGGGTCCAATATAAAACTTAGTTTAATTTTAACAAAAATTGAATTCTTTGGGTTCTTTGATATGCTGAATCTAAACATGTATTTAGATTTTTGATATTGGACCATAAAAGGTAAATGTCCAATTTAAAAATTTTAAGTTCTTAGACCAAATCGGGGTCCAAAATTAAACTGTTTGATTTCAACAAAAATTGAATATATAGGGTTCTTTGGTTTGCTCAATCTAACCATGTATTTAGATTTTTGATTTTTGGGCCCTGTTATCAAATTGGTCCACATTGAGGTCAAAAGGGTCCAAAATTAAACTTTGTTTGATTTCATCACAAATTGAATTCTTGGGATTCTTTGATATGCTGAATCTAACCATGTATTTAGATTTTGGATATTGGACCATAATTGGTAAATGTCCAATTTAAAAATTTTAAGTTCTTAGACCACATTCATTCTGTGTCAGAAACCTATGCTGTGTCAAATATTTAATCACAATCCAAATTCAGAGCTGTATCAAGCTTGAATGTTGTGTTCATACTTGCCCCAACTGTTCAGGGTTTGACCTCTGTGGTCGTATCAAGCTGCACCCTTCCGAGCATTTTATTTTAGAATGATTTGTTGGTGTTTTTGTCGAGCCTGCGACTTTTGTCGCAAAAGCGAGACATAGCGATCCTACATTCCGTCGGCGTCGTCGGCGGCGTCCACAAATATTCACTCTGTGGTAAGTTTTTGATATTTTAATAACTTTCTTAAACTATCCTTCATTTCAACCAAACTTGGACAGAAGCTTGTTTATGTTCATAAGATAGTATCCAGAAATAAATTTTGTAAAAAAAAAAATCCTGTTTATCCGTAATTTACTCATAAATGGACTTAGTTTTTCTGCCAGTTAAAATTACATTCACTCTGTGGTTAAAGTTTTTCAAATTTAAATAACTTTCTTAAACTATCCTAGATTTGTACCAAACTTGGACAGAAGCTTGTTTATAATCATAAGATAGTATCCAGAAGAAAATTTTGTAAAAAAAAAATCCTGTTTATCCGTATTTTACTCATATATGGACTTAGTTTTTCTGCCAGTTATCATAACATTCACTCTGTGGTTAAAGTTTTTCAAATTTTAATAACTTTCTTAAACTATGCTTGATTTGTACCACACTTGGACAGAAGCTTGTTTAGGGAGCTACCATTTGATTTTTATGGGGGGGGGGGGGGGGCTAGGATGAAATTTGAAAAAAATAGACAGGACAGGAGTTTTGAGTAAAAAAAAAAGGCAGGATGAGAAACTTGGTAAAAAAAAAGGCAGGATGACAATTTGTGTTAAAAAATTCAGGATAAACTAGTAAAAAAACAACCTACTGATTTACTTTGGTATTTTATATTCAGGAAAAGAATGCTTTTAATTTCAATCAACTGTTGGGAGTACAATTGTATGTTCATGCTAAGTTAAAAAACATTATGAAGTGGATGAGATGTTGCCATCTTTTT